GTTTGTGTAAGATAGATAGAAGAATGTAACGGAATGGTCAGAAAAAAACAGAGGAAATTTCTGAAATTTTTATAAGAATAGTTTTAGTATAAACACTGATTCCAGTATTCTGTCACAATTTTAGTGTTACGTAACTATCTGTTTAGCGTGAGTCTTGTGTTTTACTGAATCTTTACATGTAAGAACGTTTAGTCGCTAGGACCAGTGTCAGTTAGAAGTTTGAGACGATTCATAATTGTGTAAGCATATGGTTCCACTGCATATACTTTTTTTTGATGGTTAGGTTACATAAAATGGGAACAGAAACGACATATTCTCTCAATACAGTTTATTACAGCTAACGGACGGAGCAGAAAAAACATAACATCATAATAATACCTATTTGTAACAAACATTTATAAAATGATTGTAACAAAATCAGATTTTTAAAGTATCACTATTGATCCAGATTTAATAATGATGATGATGATGGGGCACGATGTGGTGAGTGCTGTGCTTCACGTCCGCATGGAATCTGAGGAAAGAGATGAATAAGAATAAGTATTGAAAAACTATTTTCAATCAAAGCATGCCAATGACAAACAACTAGAGCGTCTTCTTACCCGCTGTGGTGGTCGCCGTGGTAGTGCACGTCCCTGACGGAGCCGTCAGGCTCGTGCAGCGAGTAGTGGCCCTTGACGACGTCACCGTCGCGGTGCTCGTGCTGCGACTTGTGGTCGCCCGTGTGATCGTCGTCCACTTTGTAGCCGAACTCAAACTTTGGGTGGGTCTGTCAAACAAATATTTATTGATGTTAATATAATATTAAAATATTTTAGCGAAAGCACAAATATTAGACCAAAACTCTCACTTACATAGTAGTCATGGTGACCATGCCCATGTTGTACAGGCTGGTGGTGTCCGTCGTATTTGTGGACGAACTGAGAGGAGTGTCCGTGAGCGGAAACCACCGCGACGGCTACAGATAGTAGGCAAAGAACCTGAAAATTAAGTGGTTTTTTAACAATACGAAATTATTAAAACTAGAATACTAATAAAGAAAAATGATTTCTTCTAATACCTTAAAGAACATGTTGTAGTTTCGCTAATGCTTTGTTACAAGTCCAGATGTGAACTGATACCATAACTTGTAATGCTCACGTCTTTTATATGATTTAAAATAACGCAGCCAAGGTAGTATTGATTTCTCTCAATTATGTCGCATACTTTCATGGGTGTATGAACTGACAATAATTGTTTCGTAAATGCTATTAAAGACATAACTCAGTGCATAGTTGCAGGATATTAAATCATTTGTTGTTACGTGTGTTTTTGCTATTAGTTCGTTATGAATATACAAAATGTATAATATATTGGATGGATTAACCGTAACATCCTCCAGGCACGCTGTTATAGCAGCGGTAATACCCCTCTTTGAGAAGTGGCTTGAGAGACCTTGCGTCTGACACAGTTGTTTTTCAGGCACAGCAGCTTCGGTAAGTTCTTCTTTCGGATCCGTGGAAACGACCGAGTGTCGTCAGGGAAGTGAAGTGGAAGTGATTGGCGGCGACAACCTCACGAAACGAGAGGAATTGGGAAGCCATCTCCTCTTTCTGCGAAGCAGTTATGCTCGCAAAGAAGCGCTGTTAGAAGCGCTAGAAGAGTTATTCTCCTCCTCACACTCTAGCCACCGCAGTAGGCATCACTCCGGGCGTCGGGGATCGTAAGACGATCTCCGACAATTAAAATATTCGGAGACAGGCATTTCATTAATGTAACATATATGAGGGTTGCAATAAACTTAGAAGTGTCAACCGAACTAATTACTTACCAAAGAAACAAGTTACGACAGACGATCTCCGGCTATCGTAAGCGCAGGTCTGCAGACGGCGAGTAAGGGCAGTTTCTCATCCGACTGTAACCAGATCTGAGCGTTCGGTGCGTTGTGTTCCGCGTGCGCCTCAAAGACCCAATAGACCACCATAGACGGGGTCGTATAGGGTTGATGCTAAGCCGGGGTTAACGGGTAAGCGCATTGAGGCACCGCAGCCTCGGCATATAGCAGGAGATGGAACAGGGGGCTTTTTATTCAGTAAGAGTCTGACACTAAACGGCTGATTTTCCATTTATAAAAAATCGTGATATCACAGATTACCAAAAAAAAAATGTCTTGGTGGCCCGAATATTAAGCAGCCCGCTTCCCATGCATGAGGGTGTAGGTTCGAAACCTGGCAAGTACTAATGTGCCTTTTTCGAGTTATATGTACTTTCTATGATTATTTCGACAGCACTGACTTACGGTGAAGGTAAACATCGTGAGAAAACCTGACTTATAATTTCTAATTATAAGTTTGAAATCGCTAACCCGCATTGAGCAAGCGTGGTGATTAATGCTCTAACCTTCTCCGTATGAGAAGAGACCTTTGCTCAGCAGTGGGCACTTATAGGCTGATGATGATGACTACGCAATAAGGTGCCGAAGCGGGTTCGGCCTAAAGCAGAACAAAGTACGGGGGCCGGGTATTTAGTCGGACAGACCTTAACACTTGCTCTCAACATACACAAAAAAAATGTTTTTTTATCATTAACTAACTGCTCGGCTCCATTTGATCGTAGCGTGAAGTTTTGTAGCCTATAGCACTCAGGAACATTGTAGCTATCTATAAGTTAAAGAATTTTGGCAATCCGACCAGCGGCAGCGGTTCCAAAGATTACCCCCTACATACAAAACTTACAACCATACAAACATACAAATTTTACCTCTTTATAATATTAGGTATAGATTCAGCATACATAACTAGCTATCCTTATTTTTATCATGAAGAACATTTTGTGCAAATGTAAATGTATAAATTTTATTAGTACTTATCATCATAATCATCATCGGCATTATCATCCCCATTATCATCATCATCATCATTCAGGTTAATCCGTTTTTGAGATTAGCCTGAACATACTATACACACAACTATGCCTACTTAATTTATGGTGAACATAGAAAAGAAAAACAGTGTTTTATTTAATAATATATTTTATTTTTACAGTCAATATTACATACACTTAATGGATATTTGTCAATTATTTACATTAGAAACTTTAGTATCTTCAGAATTATGGCCAAATCTCCAGTTAATAATGATAATGATGATGAGGCACGATGTGGTGAGTGCTGTGCTTTACGTCCGCGTGGAAGCTGAAAAGTGACAAAATATAGTAAGTATGAGGTTGTCACAAAGGTATGTAAGTACCTACATTAGAAAATTCCTCACCCGCTGTGGTGGTCGCCGTGGTAGTGCACGTCCCTGACGGAGCCGTCAAGCTCGTGTAGCGAGTAGTGGCCCTTGACGACGTCACCGTCGCGGTGCTCGTGCTGCGACTTGTGGTCGCCCGTGTGGTCGTCGTCCACTTTGTAGCCGAACTCGAACTTTGGATAAGTCTGTCAAAAAATATATATTGATGTTATCATCATCAGGTTATAAGTGCCCACTGCTGAGCAAAGGCCTCTTCTCATAAGGAGAAGGTTAGAGCATAAATCACCACGCTTGTTCAATGCGGGTTGGCGATTTGAAATGTATAATTATAAATTATAAGTCTAGGTTTTCTCACGATGTTTATGTTCACCGTGATTTTGATGTTAATTTAAATGTAATTAAAAATATTATGATGACGGAAGCCCAAGTATTTGTTAAATCAAAAATACTTCTTACGTAGTAGTCATGGTGACCATGCCCATGATATACAGGTTCGTGGTGTCCGTCATATTTGTGGACGAACTGAGAGGAGTGTCCGTGAGCGGAGACCACCACGATGGCTACTGATAGCACACAAAGGATCTTTATGAACATGGTTATGAAGGGGGTTTGTGCTTTGAGGTGAAGTCCAAATTGGTACTGACAATGTTTTTTTATTCTGAGGTCTTTTATACGGTATCGAAATTATAGTGGTCGAGGCTAGTATTGATTTCTCTAAATTAAATCATTCATCATATTATACGCTTTATGACAAGTATATGGTATGTTTCGAAAAAGTAATAAAATTGGTTATGGCATGTTTTGTACGCTAAATTATAGTTCGCATGATACTCGTATATATATTTATATATATTCTTCTTAATAGCTTTTCAACGGTTGTCTTCAAAGGACTGACTAACACTTTTAGTGTTATTAGTGGCTAGCCGCCAAGGGATCAATCAGGGTAAATTATTTTTTAGATAATTATTTGTTAGTTTTTCAGTTTTCAGAAGACTTTCGTCGTGTGTTGATTATATCAGCTATCATTGTGTAGCGGTTTGATCGACCTATCACTAAGTATAATGTCATTCTACAACATTTTACTATCAGTGATCATAGTATGATGGGACCCAAAACAGCGTGACGATTTATTTACATTTAGGAGAAAAGGAGCAGGCTGATTCTTACAATAGAGTACTACAGAATAATCTTGGCTACAAGTTTGACTCGTTGTCAACCAGTAAGTTGTTAGTTGTAGTTAGTAGTTGTAGCAAGTTTTTCACTGCACGGTTGGCGCGGTGGCTGGGCAACTGGCTGCCGCGCAACGTGTCGCGGGTTCGATTCCCGCACGGAACAACTCTTTGTGGGATCCACAGATTGTTGTTCCGGGTCTGGGTGTGATGTGCATGTGAAATTGTATGTTTGTAAACGCACCCACGACACAGGAGAAAATCCTAGTGTGGGGCAACGTTTTAAAAAAAAAAAAATTAAGGGGCAACGTTTAAAAAAATGTTCTTTCCATTGTTGACCTATAAGAATGTTTGTTCTCTTCAAACCATTTTTTTCTGAATTTCTGATTAATATCGTAACTTGGAACAAATAAAATTGGTGCACGAAGAAGTAGCAGTAATCTGTCAATTAAACTTAGATTAAAGGTTACGTTAAGGGTATTAATTTTTTAATCTGATAATAATAATGGAAAATTCTCTTTTAATTTTTCAATACTTTTTTATTGCAAACTAATAACAACATAACATTTACTGTAGATAATACAACATAACATTAACTGTATCAATGGTGGTGTTCGGGAACAATGTGCTTGGCGTGACCCTCAAACTTGACGTTAGCGTTAAATCTGCAAAATGGAAAATAGCCAACGTTAGCTATGAATGAAATAACACGATGCTTGCACAGGATGGAATCCAAAGTTAGTACTCACCCAGTCTTCTTGTCAGCGTGGTACTCGACAATCCTGACAGTACCGTCGGGCTCGTGCAGACTGTACACGCCCTTCACGACGTCACCGTCGCGCGCCTCGTGCTGGTATTTCTTGTCACCGGTGTGAGGGTCCTCTACTTTGTAAGCGAACTCGTACTTAGGGTGGGACTGGAATACATAAGAAATCATTAGTTTGCTTGACTTTTTACGTCATAATCGAAAGGCAGGCAAATTTTTAAGATCGCTTTACTTACATAATATTCAACGTGTTTTTCAGTAGCTTTTCCGTGGTGTTGCTTAATGCTCTGTGAGGAGGAGGCGTGGCCGTGCTGTTCCTTGAGGTGCTGCTCGTCGTGGCGTTGCTCCTCGTGGTCATCATGATAGTACTGAGCATAATGGTGTTCATCTTTGTGATTCTGTTCCTCGTGGTGTACAGGGTGTTTTGTCTCGTGAGTGTGGTGCAGTACGATGCTTTGTGAGGAGATGGCGTGACCATGACCGTGGTGTTGAGGCCGTGCGATCGCTACAGCGAAGAGGGTGATGACTAAGGCAGCCTGGAGAAAACAAGATCAATAATTTTAAAAATATCAATATCCTATTTATATAATTATGTACTGTAAAAATATTTTTAACAGAAATATTTCTCTTTTTTTCAATTACTTTAATGAATGTACCTTTGCAAGCATTTTTTTTATATTTTAATTAATCAATGCGTTCACAACAAGAACTTTTTGTTAAGTGATGATTATATTAAGAAGTGTATGTCCTTTTATATGACAAGTGTATTACAAGTTTTGCAAAACTTTACTTGTTTTTAATATATAGCTTGGTTTACTTTGATAAGACATTGGCCTTGGTTACCTTCGTACTTGCCTTTCTCCAAAAGGTTGAAAGTAAGTCTTTAATCATGTTTATTTGTTAATGCAATACTTTTGTTGATAGAATTGGTATAATCAACTTACACTGCCATTGACTGCACGGTTGGCGCGGTGGCTGGGCAACCAGCTGCCACGCAACGTGTCGCGGGTTCGATTCCCGCGCGGAATAACTCTTTGTGTGATCCACGAAATGTTGTTCCGGGTCTGGGTGTGATGTGTATGTGAAATTGTATGTTTGTAAACGCACCCACAACACAGGAGAAAATCCTAGTGTGAAAGAAAGAAAAAGAACTTCTCAAAGTAACAGTCATATCATTATTTCCAAATACAATAAAACTTTACACAGTTTCTTTGAAATATGAGTTTAGTTATTTTTATATGTATGTCTTTACCAATCCCGGGGCCACAGAGTCCCGGTCATTATTGGGTCGCGTACGAGGGGCCGCAGCCAACTGTGCAGTGGCCCTTTAGACAACTTTAATCAAAATGAAACGGGACACAAACCAGCGACTGTTCCTGTACACTATGGAAATGAACCACGTTTTGTGCTTTTATTTATGGAATCGGATAGAATCGAGTACACTTCTGAGGATCATCTGATGGTAAGTGATCGGCCTCATTCATGGACACATGCAGTACCAGAAGAGTTACAGGCGCGTTGCCGACCTTGTATAGGACTATTGCAATAATGGACACCAGGGATAAGGCTATGGGGTGTAGGTTGCTATGGACTAGTATGTTGGGTACTATCTAAGGACTCTGGCACTGCCGAAATAATGTAAAAATGGCAGGTGGAGACTCGCTAGCTCACCGCCCAGGCTCCGGGGAATTGTTGCAGCAACAGAAAGTAAACGGACCAATGAACGGACCAATGAAATGTGATCGGTGAATGGTGAAAAGACTGCCACCAGCTTTCTACTCAGATCATCTGCATTTGCCTAAGCATTCTGCATCACTGGCTACTCGCCACTTACGAACAGCTTCCACCCTCCGAGCAAGATCACTACTCACGCGACTGCAGTCTGGACGGCTAATGAAGGCAAACCAGAGGTGGGCTTCATTGTTCACTCGGGCCAGCCAATAAAGGTAAGCCGGAGATAAGGAACGGTGACTTCTCCCTTTCAAGGTTCATTCCCGTCAAGGTTATTATTATTAATCCGGGCTATTATTATTAAATTTGACCACACTTGCAGCTTAGAAAGCTGGTGCTTGAGCATTAACGGTTTTTGAGATTTCGTTTAGTCTGTTTTTAAAGAATCAATTGCTTTTATCACATTTTCTGGAAGTTTATTACATTCTGTGACTATTTGATAGAAAGTGTGTCAAAGGATTTAGTTTCGAGGATGTTCTGCATAGTTTTAATGCAAATTTAGATTTTCAGAAGACACTTATTATTATTTTTTAGCCCAGGAACGTTGTAGCAGTCACTCATTAGTTTGTAAATCTCAATAAAGTTTCTTCTCAGATTTCGATACTTGGTATGTAGCCTACTACGTAGATATTGTGGATACAAACTCTCATCTTATCAAATCATATACGCTATATATTTTCTTATTCAGTTTGCACGACCCAATAATGACTAATCGAAACATATTAGGTCATAGCGGAAAGAGACATTGGATGTTTTGCCACTCAACAAAATGGACTATTTTCTAAAATGATAGCCATAATTATTCTATTTCAGAAAAGAAAATATAAATCAGGTGTAATAATAATTTGGAAATCCAATACAGTGTCGACAAAATCTCTCAATTTTTGTTTCTTTGAATAGGTGAATTTTGCGAATATTATTTGTGTAAATATTTGGTTTTATACATAACAATTGTATGGTTTTTGTAAATTCTACATTGATGGCACGATGTCTAGGAGGAACGCCTAGCGTCAAGCTCAAAGTTTGTTCTTTTACTTCTAGATAGACAATTTGCACTTTATAGTTAGTTTTTCGCAGTTTCAAAGTACTCCAGTTCCACCATACAGCAGAATGATGGTTGCATAACCGTTGCGCTTAAACATGTAATTAAGTTAAAATCTAATTTGTATTTCTATGGTTTTTAGTGTAATTTTCAAGAGGTAACTGATCCATCTATTGTGACTAGTCTGACCCGATAAATTTGTTTTAAGTTTCTGGAGGCATCCCAGAAAATATTTATCTTCGTGCATTTTAATCATTCAGTAAGTATTACGCGTAAATCTTTAAAAGGTTTAAGAGTACTTATATAGGGATATAGGAACAGAGAAAGCGACTTTTTTTAAACTATGTGGTGATATGCGAACAAGAAGGAAATTACAAAGGAATGATTTGTATAACATTTATTTTTACAAGATTACATGGAAATAAAAACAATAAGGTCGAATCAGTCAGTTATTAGTCAATACTTGTCTTTTTATTTTAGTAATGATGATGATGGGGCACAATGTGGTGAGTGCTGTGCTTCACGTCCGCATGGAATCTGAGGAAAATATAAATAAGAATAAGTATTAAATAAATATCTTGAAGTAAAACATGTGAATTATAAAAAAAACGCTTCCTCACCCGCTGTGGTGGTCGCCGTGGTAGTGCACGTCCCTGACGGAGCCGTCAGGCTCGTGCAGGGAGTAGTGGCCCTTGACGACGTCACCGTCGCGGTGCTCGTGCTGCGACTTGTGGTCGCCCGTGTGCTTGTCGTCCACTTTGTAGCCGAACTCGAACTTTGGGTGAGTCTATAAAGCAAACCAAGTGATAAAGATTATGTGACAAATTGTAATTTTAAGATATCAATGGAGCTTATATTGAATATTAGTATAACTTACATAGTAGTCATGGTGACCATGCCCATGGTGTACAGGCTCGTGGTGTCCATCATATTTGTGGACGAACTGGGATGAATGTCCATAAGCGGAGACCGCTACAGCAGCTACAGACAGCACACAAAATACCTAAGGAAGAATTCATGTATTAATATTTTTTTGGGCACAGCGTAATTTGGTTTCCTTTTTTCTTGTACGTACCTTGAAAAACATGTTGCTATTGTTGTTGTGGCTTGATAGCAAGTACAACAGTGAACTGATGCATAATGTCTAAGCCTCACGTCTTTTATATGACTTAAAATAACGCTTTCAAGGTAGAATTGATTTCACCTATCATGATAACGGCCACATTGTTACTGGGTGTTGCATGTAAGACATTTCATAAACGCCTTAATTGCATAGTTAATAAGGGTTTTGGTTCATTTAACATTTTGTAATGTGAATAACCTTACACTTGACTTATAAAATGACCTGCTATTTGTTATTTCCTAAATTCGCACGAAGAGAATTCTTTTTAAACATGGGTGACTTGCGTTCAAAGTCAAAATCTTAATGATTTTTCTTATTCAGAAAATCCTCTGTTTGTTTCAGATTATTTTAATACAGTATAGTATTCTTTTGCTCTTAGCTCTGCTATTATAATCACGTACTAATTTAGGCAATTAAAACCACATCAATATAAACTTTAATTTTATTTAATCTAGGTTTTTATTAACATTTAACAATACTTAACGAGTCAAAGTATAACAAGCGTATTTTATAATATCACAGAATCAGTGGTGGTGGTTGTGTTCAGGAACAATGTGTTTGGCATGACCCTCACGTTTCACATTGGCATTGAATCTGCAAAAAAGAAAAAAGTAAACGTTAATTAAACGTATCAAATCGTACGTTTATAACAAATGAATCGAGAATAAATGCTGACCCGGTTTTCTTGTCAGCGTGGTACTCGACGATCCTGACAGTACCGTCGGGCTCGTGCAGACTGTACACGCCCTTCACGACGTCACCGTCGCGCGCCTCGTGCTGGTACTTCTTGTCACCGGTGTGAGGGTCCTCCACTTTGTACGCGAACTCGTACTTAGGGTGAGACTGTAACACACAATGAAGGCATAATATTCGAGATGACTTATTAAATAAATAAAATTAGAAAGAGTAAAATAAAACTTTGAAATGGTTTTCTAATCTTACATAATACTCGACGTGTTTCTCAGTAGCTTTTCCATGGTACTGTTTGAGGCTCTGTGAGGAGGAAGCGTGGTGGTGGTCGTGGTGATGGTGTTGTTCTTGTGCTTCAGCGCTTATTACGAAGATGACAGCGGCTACTAGGCAGATCTAATGAATAACGAAAACAAAATTATTAATTTTGTTAAAATATCTCTAACCTGGGTTTCGACCACTGGAGTCTGCTCCGCTATATATCAGAAGAATTTGAATATAGTACGTAGTTTGTATGAAATATGGTCCACATAAGTTTATCGGAAATACATATATATAGTATGATGGTGGGTAACTAGAGCTTAATATGCAAGAAATGAGTATTCAATATCCCCTCAGCTGTGGCGGCCATTTTTCGCGATTCGGCGGATCTGTGTAAGCACTTCGTGTGTGGTCCGCGCGATACCGCCGCGTGTTTTTAAAATTACAATATCTCAAAACTTTTGTATGGAAGCTTATATAAAGTTTATATATTTGGAATCGCAAAGAAATAAGCTAACATAAAAAAATGTATTGGTTCAGTTTCAATTTGTAATGTATATTTAATCCTAATTTGAAATCGGTCGAGCTACTATTTTCCCAGTTTGGTACAAAAGTCGTTACAATAGCAAAAATAAACAATGATCTAATGTTTACATCTAAATAGTACATGGGTCAATTGGTCTAAAAAAACGTGGCAGTTCTGTTCAAATATATCTAATTATACATATTAAATCAGTTAAACGAAAATACACATTACTTACTTTGGCAAACATTTTGGATATTCAAAATGTAACTGCTGTTTACTGATTAAGTTTTGAAGGGTGACTGATAATATGTAACAGTGCGGGCTGCGTTTTATATCTCACCTGAATCTGTATTAATGTATTAAATTATATCGTTGACAAGTTTTGGTAATTGTGAAAAACGAGTTTACGTACGTATGGCCGAAAATAATGACCCGAAAACTATCACTTTAAGCTTAAAAATTGCTCAAGAACTAAATACATTGATAAAGATATGAAATTTACCTTTCTTTTACCAGTTATTCAATGCTAGATTTTGAAACGACTTATAAATATCCCACTGACCCTGATTTATAGGACATTAGAAACAGATATCTCTTTTCTTTTATTTTCCCCTGGACTGATCACTAGAACCCGCAAGTCTTAAAACTAAGATATTTTGTCATAATGCAGATTAAGATGCTCTAATTACTAGTAACTAGTAGATAGTATGTGTTGCATTCGTCCGTGCGTTACTGCAGGGGTGCCAACTGAAAATCAGTGTTGGGTGCTCTGTGCCCAGCTTTTGCTGAGTTGGTGACCCATTCGGATTGGGCATGTCCGCCATCCCAGGGTTGTATTATTTTACTTTGTTAGGCTGTTTTCACGTTATTGTTTTGATCAATTTTATTTTTATTTTATTTTGTTGTCCTGTTACTTCAAACTTTTACTGTTGTATTTTTTTTGTTTGTTCTTGGCCTTCATGTCTCGGTCCGAATAAAAACAGTTTTCTTTCTTTCTTTCTTAGATACCTAAAATAAATAAAAACGCCTTAGTAAAAAAAGGGTACAGCTGTTTAACTGTTAACAGATAGTCCCATTTACTACACATGTGTTCTATCTGTGTATTTTACATAAATATATAAATAAATAATAAATTGTCAGAAATGTAATTATTTATTCGAATATGAAAATGTACGTCTAAATAATTATTTAAATAAAATAATAATATTATTATACGGTTTACAATAAATTGACTCATAGTGACAAAGTCTCTTGCAATTATTATTACTTTGTTATCAATGTTTAGTTTACCTAGTTAAATTAATTCTAATACATTACTCTGTATATACATTAATCTCGCATGGTTTCACCCGCTGTTTAGCTCCTATTTATCGTATGGTGATGATACAAAGTTTATATGTTGAGCATTCCTCAAAAAGTAAATTTCGTTTACCTACACCGTGTCGTTTGGGAGATGACAGCGTTAAAACCGATTAACAAACTCTTCAACTTTTTAATAAGTATTGTTAACTACTAGCTCACGGCTATACAACCAGGGCAACTGGATGCCGCGCAAGGAATTAATATTTATATTATTAAACTATAATCAGTGGTTTTAGATCATAAATAGTGTTGGCTTAAATATTGCACTATATATTCTACTAGCTTTTGCCGACGGCTTCGCTCGCGTTAAGAAATATTATTATTAATTAGGTATAGTTTTTGCGGCTTTACTTTTGTCTTCATCTATCTTTAATTTCAGCTCATCAGTCGAAAATCTAAGAAGATTTATATATATATACAAACTTTCATCCCCTTTTTATCCCCTTGGGGGTAAAATTAATTAAAATCCTTTCTTAGCCGATGCCTACTTCATAACATCTGCATGCCAAATTTCAGTCCAATCCGTCCAGTGGTTTGGGCTGTGCGTTGATAGATCACAATATCAATCACCTTTGAGTTTTATATATTTAGGTTTAAGGAATACCGATATTAGATACTCTAAATTTACACGAGAAAAGGTATTTTATAGGATAAACAAAATCGGGGCTAAATGAAAAACCATCAAGATTAATATAAAAAAATCTCCAATTAGGCTTCCGAAATAATTTCTTTCCTTTTTATTCAAAATCGTTGGATATGGGCATACTATCTGTTTAAAATGTGCCAATATTGTTCAACCTATCCACGATAACGAAGTACTTATAATTGGAGTTGGGAATTCCAAATTGTGTTTATTAATGCTTAGGATATAAAATCAATGATTCCTTAAACTAAAAGGAAAATAACATTAAAAGGCGCAGTATTCAGTTGACCTCTGATGCGCTAGTACTTAAACCATGGATGTAATAAATAATACCATAACAGTTGTAAATAATACGGGTGGAAACGTTACAGAAATAAAAAATCCTTTGGCTGTGACATATTTGTGGATAATTGGATTAGTGATATCAACATTATGTGTAGTGTTACAATTTGTGCTTTATGTGATAAGGCCGGAGATACGAAAACTAGATCAGAAGATACTCACACATTTGACGTTAGCAAGATTATTGAATACAATATTTGAGTTTGCTTTAGTAAACTATTATTCGTCACTAAGTACTAGTGGCGTTACGTTTGCAGGTTATCAGTATACCGATGCCGTCCTTGTTTGTTGGATGTTTGTCTACGCTAGAAACATATACAACAAAGTCGTGTCAGTGTTTGTTCAAAAATGGAACTTCATCGTTCGATCGTTTGTCATTTGGTTTTTTGCAATACCTGTAGGAGCATTATGTCCAATTTTTATTCAACTGGATTTTTATAATGAATACTATCAGTCTTATGTTTGGATAAAATTGTTAATTTTGCTAGTTAACTTAACGTTCTTTTTAAGAGTTTTATTAATTGTCATTTATAAGGGCTATAAAGGTAATGTCAATAGAAATGTTATGGATGTATTGAAAACATGTATTATATCGTTTATATTGGTTTGTATTACGAGTTTGCAAGCGTTATTACAAGTTGTTTTGACTGATGTAATGACGTACTTTCAAGAGGGAGATGTTTTCTTTGTATTGAACAGTTATCAAGCGGTCGCTGATACTATTATTTTTTTGATTCTTGCCAAGAATTGTGTAAACTAAATTTGTACTTCAATTCTCACGTTACTACTATATAATAAAGGTTATCTGGGAGATCGCTAAGGAAACCTATGGCTTTGTAACTCTGTGTTAGTAGTAATTATAGTAGGTAAACTGGAAAATGGTTTGATATTGTAACAATATTACATATATAGTAAAATGTGTATATTTGTAGTAAATTGTGGTTTTATTATAATGCTTAATAATATTAAATATTATTAAATACATATTGCTCTACTATAAAATTATAAAGAATAAACACCCCTTAAATTTTGAAGATCTTTTAAATGGTTGTATTACAAGTTTTAGATTACATTTGGCGAGAATATTCATGCTTAATATTAAAATCGTGTTATCTTAAAATAATACAAAATTATAGTCATATATTGGTAATCGTTTATTTATTCGATACAAAACAAAAACTTAATAATAACAAAACAAAGTACCTATTTAATTTAAAAATCGAATCAATGGTGATGGTGATGGAGGTGGTGAGTGCTGTGTTTCACATCTGCGTGGAACCTGTGAATAAAAAAAATACTTATAATGTTACAGGCATAAAGAAAGCCAAAAAAAAATCATGATAATAAAAGAATCAATTCATTTTACAAGCTTTAGACATCGAGATATTACAAAATTTTCGAAATTCGAATCCGAGACTGCTCTGGGCATGGAGTAATCTGTTGCGGCTAAGTTTATTTATCGTTATTCATTAACATAACGAAAGGATTATATCATAATATCAAAACCATTGAATCCATTAAAACAGAAGAATCTGTAGATTCTCTAATTTGGTTTTCGAACAAATCACTTACCCAGTCTTTTTATCAGCTACATAGTGGACATGTCTGAATTTCCCATCGGGCTGTTTGAAAGAATAGTGTCCCTTGACGACGTCACCGTCGCGGTGTTCATGGTGTTCTTTATGATCACCGGTGTGACCATCTTTCACTTGGTATTTGTACTCGTATTTTGGATGCGTCTGAAAAGCAAATGATGAATTATAAAACTTTATATATTATTCTACTGTTTTTTTTTTAATAATTATTTGTCAATGTTACTCTACAACTTATGTATTGTCTTAGAAACACTTCGCGCGGTTTTACCCACTTCTCGGCTTCTGTTGGTGTAAACATCACCAATAGAAGCCGAGAAGCTTTAAGCATTCTTCAATTATTGGACTATTAATCACAAAAATAATGGTTCAGTTCAAACCAGTAGTTCCGAAAAACAAAAAAGAAAACTTCAAATTTATCTTACGAATATTATAAATTCGATAATTACGCTGTTTGGATGTTTGAATACTTGTTACTCAATCACGCCAAAACGGCTGGACGGGTCTGGGTGAAATTTGGCACAGACATAGGATACATTCCGGAATAGGCTACTTTTTATCAACATACCACGCGGACGAAGCCGCGGGTGGAAGCTAGTAATATTATATGTGTATGGTAAAGATAAAATAAACTTGTCTGTATGATGAAAATTAATTTGAAAGTATAACTCACATAATAATCGACGTGGTGGTGATGTCCATGGTGGTCGTGTATATGCACCAGATGGTGATGACCATCATGCTTGCTGAGGTGTTGTGATGAGTAAGCGTGATGAGCTGATGCCATCGCTACGATTGCTAGTACGCACAATACCTGCTTGTAACATGGATGAAAGAAGTTAGGTTAGAGATAAACATGTAAAATTTTTGGAAATACATTTCCTGAGAGGTATTCACTGTTTAATTCAAGTCAAATTACAGTAGAAAATGAATCTAGCACAGACGATCTTATTACTAATTTCAGATTTTGAAGCTTATTAGCTATTCACATTATATCCTATCACATTATTTTTACCTGAGAGTACATTCTAGTGTATTTGTTGTACTTTTGTCTGTAGTCAACTGATATATATCAATAAAATACTTGACTTTTATATTGAAAACAAAAGCAATCAAGGTGCTGTATGTAGATTTCACCTTAATTGATTGATGGCTATTAAAATTATTTACGACAATTTTGTACGCAACTACTGTATTTGTAACCGTTTCGTTTCTAAAAATATGCCTATAGACCTTACGCAATGTTGCCGTGGATATGTAGGGTTTATACAGAATTAATATTCAAACGATAAAGTTCTAATGACTACTCATTCTATTATTATTGACCCACTCGTTGGTGGAAAGAAAATTTAATCTTAATCATAGTTTAGAACCTTGTGTTGGTGCTTAGCATATTGCAGTAGCATTTATTTATTTATGACATGGGAATTATAAAAAATGATGGTACTTACTAAGTAATTCTTTTTAAGTTTTAGGTTATGATTTTGAAATTGAAATCCAAAACAAAGACGCCCGCTGGACAGTTTTAAATTAAATGTGATGGGACATCATAAATGCAATGAGACATTTGTTATTGTTACATTAAATGATCAAGGCTTCTAAGACATCTATACTTGGTCTATCTGTGGATGGACTGGACATATGCTCTGATAAAGTTATAGCTCGCTGCAAAGCCAGAATCGGCACCGAGTGTATACAGTACGTCGCGTTCCGCATGCGTCTCAAGGACCACATGCATTGTGGTCCTTGAGACGCGATCCCATCGTGTGGTAGAGCACCGACTCTAGTGCGCCCCATTTGTGGTGGTCTAACCAATGTTGAAGATGTATGCAGGATAAGGAACGGGATGTTGTTTAAGTAGTAATTATCTGACGCCTTCCACCCGGGGTGGGAGAAGAGAAAAAATAATAATCGTTCTTAAAAAATATTACTTCACAATAAAATGTAATTACGTCAAAATATATGAAGTTACGTCAATTAATCATATTTTCCTGTGTACAAGAAATGAAACGTTAAATAATATTGTTTATAGTAGCTACTAAATAAAATTATTTATTTAAACTGTATGACGCCTGTAGGAATGCATAGAAATATTTTTAACGTCATTATGGGGTATATGTTTGCAGGTTAATGTTATCTAGCCACAGGGTCAGGTTAGTTGATCTTTAGTACAGTTTTGGTGAGGTGTTTTCTTAGGAATACAAAGTATAATTAATATAAAATACTTTTCAGGAATCAGTAAGTATTTGCTTGCTATATTTATGTATTTTTTTTCACATGCAGTCGTATTTGCTGTCTTAGCTAATAATATGTGGCCTAATGCAAAAAACTAATCATTTTAATAAAAAAATATATTATATTATTACAACAAATTTAATAAGTATTTAACAATCTTAAGATAGGAGGGTAATTAACATTATATGAAGTATCAAATCAATGATGATGGTGGTGTTGAGGAACAATGTGCTTGGCGTGACCTTCCCTTTTTACGTTAGCGTTAAATCTGAAAAAAATAAAGAGTTCATAAAAAGTCTGCATTTTTAACCTGATACCTTATGAACTTTAACGAAGTGAGAATTATATAAATTCTTCATGACATTTTACACTCACCCAGTCTTTTTGTCAGCGTTGTACTCGACGATCCTGACAGTACCGTCGGGCTCGTGCAGACTGTACACGCCCTTTACGACGTCACCGTTGCGCGCCTCGTGCTGGTACTTCTTGTCACCGGTGTGAGGGTCCTCCACTTTGTATGCGAACTCGTACTTAGGGTGGGACTGTAATTAAATTGTTAAGTTAGAATTATGTAGGTACAACTACAATTTTTAAAGGGTCTTGAAATGTCATTTTCCGCCCAACGTGGGGCGAGAACGGGTAGACTCCTACTGACTAAAGAGCACTCCACAATAGAGTAAAAATATAAATAAAGCGGATTACTTAATACTTACATAGTACTCGACGTGTTTCTCAGTAGCTTTTCCGTGGTACTGTTTGATGTTCTGTGAAGAGGACGCGTGGTAGTGTTCATGTCCGTGTTTCCCTTGCGGCTCTCCAACAACGACCGCCACAACAGCAGCAACTAAGAAGATCTAAAAACAAAATGGGATCTGAAAAGCAACGTCTTGTTTCCAACTTCTTTGAAGTATCAATTTTATTGACATCCTAATACATTTGTAAAGAAGGTAGAGGTTACGATAGCTAGGAAATAAATAATTTCATTTTTATTACAAATAAAAAGCAAAGGAGACGGATACGCTTTCATACAATTTTGGGCCTAGATGTAAAAAGATGAAACTGGTGTCATTTGATAGCTACTATATTAACAAACAATTACTGAAAATTTCGCAAATATTGGCAATCTGGGAGCCGAGATATAAAAGATTTAAAAAAAGTGAGGTTAAGTAACAATCTGTATATATTAGCCAATTTTTGAAGTGCGATAGTGATTTTTACCCGATTGCCGGAGGCGGGTAATGGTTTTAATAGTATACGTGTGTATATTTGTATGTATTTATGTTTGTATATAAACAAATATCAAATATAAACCAGATGCATCCTTCGACTGCACAGCATAGCTTACTTCTTGTTTACCTACTTTCTCGTCTTTTTAGTTTACTTAGCAGGCAAGGCTTATGCAGTAAGGCTCGCCAAGGAGGAGGTCAGCCTCCTCCTTTCGCCTCCTCTTTTGGCCATTTTCGAATCACTGCTAATATCATTTCGTCATCCAAAGCTCCACGTCCTAGTGTATTACAGCGACTAGTCGCTATGCCACAATTTACACAACGATCCATAATGTCGATCAATATCCTATCGGTAGGCTGTTCGTCGAATCCAAAATATGCAAGTCCAAGTTCAACGTTTAAGCGAAGTTCTCCGTGTCCGGTATGGTAATGGTAGCAAGGCAAGAGTCGTAGAAGGAGGAAAATCAAAGGTCCGTGGGAAAGCCGGGCTGAGGAAAATACCAATAAGAAAAATGGGAGGAAAATAAAAACACTCAGAACGCACACGCATAGACGATTCGAAACGAGTGTCGATCGGTGTCATGTCATACATGTCAGAGCTAGCACAGATTAAAAATACAATAATCGATTAGTAAAATCGAATCGATAAAATATTTTTAATTATGTTGACATTTGAACTCTAAACTCAGTTTAAACTCTTAATTCTGTGAGTTTAATTGATTTAATTATTTTAATTAAATAAATCATCCAGTGACATCATTTTCGTAAATAGTATGAACTTTGTTCGTTACAGAGTTATTAATTGCAATTGAATCGATAATCCGATTACTTCGTAACCCTAACTAAATTGTTGGATTTTTCATTTCCCAGATTGTAAAATAAATTGATTTTTCACTGTGTTAAATAGAAAAAAATAATCATTTTTTTAAGCCCTACTTCAACTTATTACGTGAGGGCCCAGAAGTCCCCGTCTCCTTTCAGTTCTATCTGCTATTAAATAAATTATTAAATGTGTAAAGAGAATAAATGTGCTTATAAAGCTAGAAACCTAATTATTTACTCTTATCAACTTCACTTACACACAAAACATTTTCGATATTTGGCGGACGAGGCTATCAAATTCTTATTTATATTAGATTTATAATATTAACTTCTAACTGCCGTTCTCAGATATTCAATGTTTCGATTTGTTAAGATTTTTTCCCGAACAACAACAATAGATAAGGCATGAGCTAAGTAACCGATAAAGACTCTGAATACGGCGATAAAATATTGTATAATATACATACCTTCGTATACATGACTTTAGCTTTTGTTGGTTTTCTTGATATAACGAAAGGCGACTGATAATTTTTAAGGGTCAGTTATCTCTTTTATATTAAGCGATACCAATAGTATGAAAAGAATTTTTGTAATTGCAAAATTAACTGGTTTTACCTGTAGGTTTCAAGTGGTACATACATAACATACCTACATAAAATTTAAATTAATAAACTGATTGTTGTCAACTGCTTAGCTGCTTGGTTGGTCAAAATTAAATGCAACTGCTGAAAATCAGATTACGTGTTTTCTCAGATCTAACAAAACTTATTGGGGTACTTACTCCGGATTTTTAAAATGAATGTCTTATAACGCGACGTTTATCTAGAGTTGTGTATGATTAATGATAATATTCACTCCCCTTATTACATATCAATCATAATTAAGATAACTATAGAAACCATATACTACTATTATAACGATACAATTAAAAGTGAACTTTAAGTTTTTGAGAAGTTAGTATTGCAATTAACAACTCGCGCGCACGGTGCTCATGAACAAAAGTCTCGTTTTGATTTGAAGCTATGAGTAATGTCATTGTTATGCGATTATAATTTTAATTCACCTAGCCCTAATTTATTAGATAACCTTTTCTATTATTTTTAAATTAATATTAATGGATATAAGCATAGAATGTTATCTGTCTGTTTACTATTTGTATGATGCAATCTTCCGTTATTGTAGAACAATAATCTTTTTGTGATTATCATCAACTCGCTACATGTACAGCATGTCGCGAGTGTTGACTATTGGAGGTACCGATAAAATTAACAAGTAAATAAATAATTAGGCATTTCTGCATACCCCTTCGGATTTTATAGGCATAATAAGGTTATGATTGTAATCTTTAAAACGAGACCATAATTTAAATAGTCTAGTGTTATTTCAAAACGTTGTTTTTTATGGTCGGCAAACGAGCAGATAGATTACCTGGTGGTAAGCAATCAGCGCCGCCCATGGACACTTGCAACGGAGAAGTTACGAGTGCGTTGCCGAACTTTTAGGGATTAGGGATTTGGAGATTAAGGGATTGAGGAGGGATTGGGGGAGAGGAAGGATTGGGCCTCCGGAAACCTCACTCACACGGCGAAACACAACACTGTCGTTATTTCACGCCAGTTTTCTGTGAGGCCGTGGTATCACTCCGGTCTATCGACCTCCGACCCATTGTGCCGAAGCATGGCTCTCCCACACTTTGTTGTTTGTATATAATACTAGACTAGTTCGTATTATATAACACCGTTTCACGCGGTTTTACCCGCTGCTCGACTCCATTTGATCGTAGCGTGATGTTCTATAGCCTATAGCACTCAGGAACATTGTAGCTATCTATCAGTGAAAGAATTTTGGCAATCCGACCAGCGGTTCCAAACGTAATGTTTGGAACCAGCGGTTCTAAACGTAATGTTTGGAACCGCTGGTCGGATTGCCGCTACATAAAAACTTACAAACTTTTACCTCTTTATAATATTAGTCTAGATACGTATGTAGGTGGCAGTACTTTAATGTGGTTATAACATAAGAAGTAAAACTGATATATTTTAAAAACATCTTTATTTTAAACAAAACAGTGATAAACAAGAATAATTACTATTAAACTGTGATTTAATGATGATGCTTCTTGGGCACTATGTGGTGGATACTATGCTTCACGTCTGCGTGGAAACTGTAAAGAAAAATAAAATATAAAAAATATATTTCAAGTACTATAAAAATAAAATTAATATAATGAATTAATAAATTGTGGAAGATATTAGTACAAGAGGATAACCTTCAATAGGTTAGAGATACATAAGAGGTAAAACTATTTATAGAGGTTAGATAAGGCCTAGGTACGCGAAGTGTGGACTATGTTTTTATGTTTCTATGTATTGTATTTAATCGAAATATTAATAATCCAAATAGTTTCTTCACCAAAACATCAATAGAAATCTAGCTAAATATGTGACTGTAATAACACAAACTAATAATAACTTTAAAAAAATCGTTGTAAAATAAAAATAAAATAAATACACAAATGTTTTTTTATATCTGTTTTTTTGCATTGCATTGCATTATTATTATTACAAAAATGAATAGTTAATAGTCTAGACAAAGACCGGCAGTAAGTGTGAATTTTTTTTCAAAAATGACTCTTATTTCTACAGTCAATAAATTTAAAACTGAACAACATTTTTTATTTTATACCCCTGGGTCTCGAAACAATTTTAAGCAGCTGTTTACAAGTTCATTTCTTACCCGGAATGTTTGTCAGCGTGATAGTGAATATGCCTGGCACCGCCATCAGGCTCGTGCAAGGCATATTCTCCCTTGACATGGTCACCGTCGCGGTGCTCGTGGTGTTTCTTATGGTCACCAGTGTGATGGCTCTTTACATCATAACCAAACTTGTACTTGGGATGTGTCTGGAAGTTTAAAAGAAAGAATACTTTATTGTTAACTTTCTATCACATTTCGCATTATGCTTATCCCTGACCTTGGAACTGGACTGGTGATGTCTGCCGTACCTTGAACGAAAAGTGGGTAAACCTCTCTAATGCGTGGAGCCGACATAACATCGATATACCTGGCGTCAAGCTTAATGGAGATGACAGGATGAAATTTACGCCTATGACAAGGATTGGTTGGCAAATAGCTTTGCACACAGTGGGAAGAGAGGATTGAGGCCCATGCCCTGCATTGAGACAATCACGGCTATAAATAGGTGCCCGGCTGCAAACTACTTAATTTTGTTACTCGTTTTTTTATCAGGGGAAAATCATCTAATGACTTCTCCGAGAGTGTCAGAATCGTACTAACTAAAAACCCCCGTTCCTTCTCCTGCTCTGGGCTGAGGTCGCGGTGCCTCAGTTAGCAAATGATCTCAGATAGCAATTAACTTTTACATATACAGTGTTTTATGTGTTTAGCCTAACATACAGTTTTTGAGATGCAATAAAAATGTTCTCATAATTCTGCAGTAACTCACATAGTAGTCCACGTGATGATGCCCATGCTTATCTTTTATAACCACAGGTGTGTGATGACCGTCGTGTCTTAGGATGTGAATCGAGGAGTGGCCATCATGAGCTGATACGGCTGCCACTATCACCACAATAAGCAGACATACCTGGAACATGGGATACACAGATGATAAGGTGGAATTTGACGATTATACGGAAAAGTTCACAAGCGGAATGTCCAGTACTGCATTATGTTCACTTTAATTTTCTATAAACCGTATTTTGATTTAGATAATATCATATCATGTAATCACTGTTAAAAAATTAGACTTCACCCAGTCAAAAGTCACCTTTATAACTAATAACCTAAAGCTCAGATAGCAAAAAACACAGTCACTAAAAACTTTTTACTTTAGTCGAAAGAATTAGGAAATTACCTTAAAAATCATTTTTTTATCTAAGTTTAGAACTATTGTCTTGTTTTCACTGAACACGGTAGTGTACTGATGAAAAATTCACAAAATATCAACTTTTATATTGAAAACAAAAGTAATTATTTTATTGCAATATTCTTATTTTAAATGTAGACTACATTTTAGATCGCGGTAGTAACGCAACCTTTGAATGCGCAAACTCTTTTTTTATATTTCGCAAAAGTCCATTCACACGCACATGTGCTGCTTATGCATACAAATGTTGTATCGATGATTACAAGAAACTTTATAATTTGATCAATTTAAAATTAATTGAGAATAATATAATTTTCCACTTTGTGCTATCATTATGTAATATCAGCCTGATTAAACGACTGACCTTTTGCGAACAAAATTCAATTTTCACATAGGATCCGGAGTATCCTTTTGGAATTATAATATTGTACCTACATCTTCGTAGCCCACAATTCTAAACCACCAAGTTTTGTAGCAATAAGTTCTGTACCAGTACTGTAACAGTACTCATCCTATAATGCTCAAAAGCAATGTGTTTTTTTTTTAATTTGCCCCACTCTATGGTTATTTTCTGTGTCGTGGGTGCGACCCAAAACTGGAACAACAAGTTGTGGATCACACTAAGAACCCGCCACACGTTGCACGATAACCAGTTGCTCAGCGATCGCACCAACCATGCCGTTTTAGTCGTATTTTATTATAAAAGGTTATTTATTAACTTAACGTTTCATTAACAACACTTACGTTGTGTTTCACCATGTGAGTGAGGTTACCGAAGGCCCTACCCTTCCTCCCCATCATCATCTCCAAGTCCTCCAACCGTAAATCTCTAAAAACCCACAAAAAATCGGCAACACACTTGTTATAAGTCCTAAGAAATTACGAGTGTCTGACTGCACCGATCCCTTATCATCAAATGTAACCTTTCTGTAAATCCAGAATTTGTTAAAAGTCAAAAGTCAAAAAATCATTTATTCCAATTAGACCTTTACAGGCACTTTTGAACGTCAAACAAAAATTTTGAAGCTATATTGTCAGTCTGTCGGTCAGTCCTCTTAGTGAAGCTATTTGCTCGTTCCAAAGTGTAGATTCCGATGGAGAAGAACGAGCAAGAAACTCCATGGTTACTCTTTTTAAATCAGTTTCACATACAGATTCTTTTTACGAACAGTTGGTTCAATTATGTGAGAACAGTGTAACACTAATATTTAATCAAATATAAAAATAAAGTAACCTTAAGGACAATAGACAGTCCGGAGCTGACCAGTCCCAACTGACGGCGCTCGTTCACGAGCATGACACGCACACCAGCATCGCCCAACTCAACCATATTATAGGGAATTAAGCGAACCAGCGCCCATGCCACCGCCAGTGTGACCTTTCAGTGAGCATGACAACTCCAAGCTGTTATAAGGACCGACATTTTGCTAGTCTAACCAATTATAATAGGTTACAGGGCACTCACATTTACAAATTTATCAAGTTATAGTTATACAATGTAATGCAATTTCACTAAAATGAAGAAGTCCCGTTCAAGCAAAATCCACTGGAACGTTATTTATTTTGGTGTAGATTTGCTATCCTGTGGAGCAGGACCAGCATGTCTCCAAGCATCTTTATCTACAATGTAATCATTCAGTGTGTAGTATGCTTTTCTACATAAAGTTTTCTTTACACATAATTTAAAATTTCTTTCATTTAATTGTTGTATTTCGCCTGGGATTTTGTTATAACATTTAACACAGAATCCCATGAACGACTTATGTACCTTTGCCAATCTAAATAATGGCTGACATAATCTATCTCTATGTCTAGTTTGATAATTATGTCTACCTGACACCTTATCGAATATTTTTAAGTTTTTCCTAACATACATAATGTTTTCATAAATAAACTGACATGGCACGGTCATAATATTGATCTCTCTAAACTTTTCTCTAAGAGACTCAGACTATTCATTTCTCACCTTATATTTATTTCCTATCCTCATATGTCAGACCACAGACAGATAAGTGCCCACTGCCTCTTCTCACATAGAGAAGGTTTGACCATTAATAACCACGCTTTCTCACTTTTCGTCACTGTATGTCAGTGGTGTCTAAGTAATCCGTTAAAGTACATACAACTCGGAAAAAGTTACACTGACACTTTCCAGGATTCGAACCCACACCCTCATAACGAGCGGGCCCCATAACCTCTGGGCTACCACGAATTTATTCTCACTCAATATTTATATAAACTCAATACACTTGTTTATGCAAAACATGATATGTATTTGCACTAAAAAATACTATTTCTTATTCCTAGTCAATTCAGGCGTGACGTCATTAATATTGTATTTACAAAATTATAGAAAAACAGAAATAATTAAATTTATATTTATACAGTTTTAAATTGGGAAAAGCAAACAACATTTTTCTGTCTTTGTCATAGCATCCGGGCTTGATGTTAATGTCAAAATATCATTAGGGATGACGACATTTTTTTTAATGTCCATCTTATAATATTCTTTTTGGAATCGAATACTTTCGACGATATATATTTAAATGAAATATCGTATGACTTTACGATTAAGAACCCTCTATATTTTGCGACAACCTTGCTATAGCTTCCAGCCCCAATTATTTTTTAAAATTTTTCTTATTACGACACACTTAAAATATATATAAGGGGAAGCATTTAGTAGAAGGATACTTTATGTATTTTTCTTTACCATTTTGAGCATAACGTCATTGACGTGCAATTGGTTTATTAACTTTCAACGTCTTCACTTATACTGTCTAGTGTACAAACAATCGGTTTGACGTCATCCTAGCAAATCTATACTAACATAATATATATTGTAAAGATGTAAAACTTGTAAGTTTAATTTTTGGGACCGCTAGCTGGATAGCCGAAATTCTGGTTTTTTCTCTGACAGATAGCTTCAATGTTCCTGTGCTGTGGGCAAAACATATATTTGGTTTTCGTTTTTTAGTCGAGCTATTGCTTTAAACGTTACTGTTTTAAAAGCCCCGGGAAACATTACTTTTATCCGCAGTCGGCAGATTATGTATTATGTATCCATTTTGGATACATGCAGCTCTCAATTTCATACTAGTTATTTTTGGCAGAATACAAGACCTTCATGCTGAGAATATGACCATCTGGTGTGGTGCAATAACTTTAATTTAATATAATGTATGTATAAGCATTAGCGTAGGTACTCAATCATAATAGTACACTTTAATTAAATATATTTTCATTACAAATGATTAGAAAAATCTTTACACTTGGCAGGTGCGTTAAAAATCGCAGTTTTGTGTTATAAACTGTCATCACCAGTGACTTGTCTTTTTAAAATGGTGAAAATAATGTACATCACATTAAAGAACAGGAATGTATGTACATACATTTATTAATTTTTAAAGACCTGACAAAAAATGCAATTTTATTATCAAAAACTTTTATTATTACCAAAAGAAACCATTATAGAAAATCCTATATACAAACAAATCAACAACTGTTTGGGTGTGACGATTAATTTTGTGGAAGTTCACAAATCGATTAGTAATGATGGTCATCGTGATGATGATGGTGGTGATGATGATGATGGGGAACGATGTGTTCTACGTGGACTTTGTAATCGCTTTTGGTGTCATGTCCGTCGCGGTGCTCATGCTGTTCTTTGTGGTCTCCGGTGTGCTTGTCGTCCACTTTGTACGCAAAATCGTATTTGGGATAAGCCTGGAAGGGATAAGAAAGAAACTATTAGATAATTCTTATTCTTATTCTTTTACGTTATTATACCTTATTTAAGTAGATAGTAGATAGATGTGGCAGACTCTATATAAGTACCATTTTCTTTCAGTATTCATAGGTTAACGTCATTGTGATACACTAAATTTAAAATCTTGTTTGAGATTTCCAATCCAAAGATGGAGAGGAGAATTGCATTGCTTTCTTTTATTTTAAAACACAATGAAATCACTCTAATTTCTTGAATCAATAACAATTACAATCAATAGAATACCATTTTCACAGATTTTTTAAAGTAAAATTCAATAAATATTTTCTATCGCCCAGGGTGAAGTGAGAGGGAGTACAAGGCATTTACTGATTAAAAACCCAGCAGGAGAAGGAACCGTCTTTTCCCTGTTCGAGGCCGAGGCCGCGATTCCTTAAGGCGCTTGCCCGGCAATCTGATCTTCTATGCTACGACGAATTTTGAAACTAACCAAACTACAATAATGTTTCCTCACAAAGGTTTCCTTCATCGTATGTCAGTGGTGTCTAAATAATCATAGAAAGTACATATCCAAACTCGGCAAAAGTCACATTGATACTTGCCAGGTTTCAAACCCGCACTTAATCTTCGGGCTTAATCTCAAATCTTAACTTCGTGTTACTTACGTAGTAGTCGACATGGTGGTGTCCATGCTTGTCCTTGAATTCCACAACTTGGTGATGCCCATCATGTCTATGGATATGTTGAGAGGAGTGACCATACTCCGCTGACACAGCCACTGCGATGACGGCCACGATGCATAAGATCTGGTTATTAATTAGAAATTATTAGGAGAAGTAGAGGACCCTAAGTAAGGATATTAAAGTATTCTATTGTTAAAATATATGAGTAGTTCAAAATATGTTTATTATTTTATTCCATTTTGTTGTTGCACTGAGTTTCTTAAATTGAATAAGGAATGAGAGTAAACATTTATTGCTGCAGACAAAGAAATTACCATTCCAATAACAATAGAAATTCGTGGGCAAAAATCGATTTTTCTGGTCTGCTTTTAATTAAAGAAAAATCTTACCTTGAAGTACATTTTCGATTGTTCCAATCTGAAGGGTGTGTTGATTGTTGATGAAGCTGTACTATTCGTACTAGATTCACTAATGAACTGATACATATTGGAACAAACGCGTTGCTTTTATATAAAAAACATAACAACCAAGGTAACATTGATTTCACTTTGAATGGCCAACAATAAAAATTATTAACGATATAATAATTTGGATTATTTCGCAAATTTTGAGCTTTACACGCCTACACTAATTGCTTACAAGTGACAACGGAAATGCATAACAATGTTATGAGAGAGAGCAAAGATAATTGAGGAGGTAATTATACTAAAACTTATTATGTATTTGCAGTGCACTTTGTTAACTTGCGACATTTTATAATCTTAATGTAACTGTATGAACATTATGCAGACAATTAATGTGAACTAACCTAATTGCAAATTGTGACGCATAGATTAGAATTAAAATTTGTTGTAAGTTATTATAAAGAGGTAAAATTTGTAAGTTTGTATGTAGGGGGGTAATCTTTGGAACCACTGGTTGGATTCCTAAAATTCTTTCACTTATTAATAGCTACAATATTCCCGTGTGCTACAGGCTATAAAATATAACGCAACAATCAAATGGAGCCGAGCAGCGAGTGAAACCGCGCGGGAGTAGCTAGTGTCAATAACTAAATAATTATTTTATTTTGAAGTCGGAACGTCTTCAAATGATTTTGCGATTGTGGACAAGGAGGAAAGGAGTGTCAGACACTTGCAGTCAGTAAGAGTTAAAAACCACAGTGTTCCTTCTCTCGAATGCTGAGACACCCCGAGGCCTCGGGACATTATTGAACTTGACCCGCGACCCATAGTGCAGGTAAATGTTGTGTGGTTTTACCCATCCTGACTAAATAGTTGATTTGTGCTTTGATAATATTCGTATTTTTTACACGAATTATCTAAGGAGGTTAGGACCTTTCATGCATGAGGGTTCAAAACCTGTCAAGTACCAATGTGACTTTTTCCGAGTAATATGTGCTTTCTATGATTATTTAGAAATCACTGACATACGGTGAAGGAAAACATTATGAGAGCAAGCGTGGTGATATTTGCTTAAAACAATGCCAACGAGTTTAATCATGACACCTTATATTTTTAATGACTAGGTACTCTCGTGCGGTTTTACTCTCTGTTCAGCTCCTACAGATCGTTGCGTGATGGCCTATAGCCTTCCAACAAAAAGACTAATAACGAACAAAAACAATAGCTAATAATCTACACGTCATTTCAACCGAATAAAATACTTAATTAATTGTTGTTTACAATTAATTCGATTTCTTAGTTTAAAATTAAGGTTAATTTGTATTGTAGAATAAAACATAAAAAATGGTTTGCTGTCTGTCAGTCTGAAACTAATCAGAAGCACGCTAAGGTATGAACGAAGTAGTGTAAATGGCCATGTAATGGCTTCTACACACGATATGCCTGTTCCACGCATTTTATTGCTTCTTGGGCCATAAATGTACTTCATAACAACAACTTAGTCTGTCATCTTGTTCCAGTTGATGGAGAAGAGCAGGTAGTCAGTCGGTTGTTACAATTTTTTCGTCATCATTTATCATTTACATGAGAACCTCTATCTACATCGTTAAGAATCGAAAGTCGTGATATTATCTACATATGTATGTATTACTATGTATGTGTTACACTATTCTATATCCAGTTTGGTCCAATATACGAAAATTAGACTGACAATCACTGGACACAGTTCTAGACATTTTGTTTTAGTGACCTACTTTTCAGAATATTGTTATCAACGCCAAGAAATTTTACTCGGACATTATAACATATATTAGGAAAAAGAAGTGTGGAAGACCCAAGTTTCACCAGGGGGTCGCCTCGACCGGAGTAATAACAAGGCCTAATAGAAAACCGACGTGAAACAGCTAAAATATTGTGTTTCACGATATGTGTGAGGTTACCGGAGACTCAATCCCTTTCCTTCTCCCCATCCCTTCCCAATCCCTAAATATCCAAAACCCGTATCCCCAAAAGACCAGCAACGCACTCTTAACTCCTTTGGTGTTGCAATCGCGATTGCTTGCATCAGGTAATTCGTAGGTTTGTTTGCGATCTATCCCATAAAAAAAATATCAAAGGAAAAGTTTACGTCAAGTCAGTTATATCTTACAAGAGCTACTTCATAATATGTGTGTCTTGATTCTTGTCTGCAGCTCCAATGACTGTGACGATTATCAGTACAATTATCACTGAGGCAACTTGCTCTAGATACTTAACTTTTTTATCTTTTCAGGCATCATCAGACTTGTTGTATGTAATCCTTATATTACCATATTTTACTCATAAAATAATATTTATAAGCATTTTTTATTTGTAAATAACCAAATCCTAATACTACATAATAATATATTTTATCACTATAGTCATAAATCTTCTAATTATTAAAGGTGAGCCTGTCTCCTTTGTATTCAGAGAAAATTTCTAAATACTCTGATTATAATTATTAGATTTGTATTTATGCATAAGGTATTGTTGGACACTTGACGACCCAATTTTCCGAATCCTAATCGCTGGCTCCAACCAAAGGTTGTCTCTAAGAAATCAAATTTAGCGATAAGACCGCCTATTTTACATTGGATGTATCCCAAGCTTTTCTATGTATATTTTTATTGAGTACAATAATAGTCACTATTAGTTTGTTTCAGTCAAATTCTGCACTTTTTTTTGTATTGTAAAATGGATTGTTTTCTGAATCATCTTCAGCCTAATTCCGTCATCTGCTAGGCATAGGCCTATTCAGCTCATCTCAGTGGTTGGATGACCAACCACTGCCAGCCACCCGCGGTTATCGTCAGTGTTCACCTCTCTGGAGGGCGAAGGAATACCTACATATATTTCGTGAAGACATTTTTGAGCCAAATAACATACATTATTCACAAAAAAAATAAGAGAAATTTAAAAGACTAATTATTGTTTATGCATAAATGCATATATTTGTATTTTTTGGAACATATTGATAAATATAAAATAAAATAAAAACATATTTTAATGTGTAATTCACACGCAAGTAAAATGTTGAATGCGGTAAAATTTTAAAATATTAAATAGTATATAAACATACAGAATGGGGATGTTGACAAATTTTTGTTTTATCATCCGTATTTGAGATTAATTTAAAGCATTAGACACGTATTTTTTTTCTTTTGTTAGACAGTGAATCGGGTGAAATTACATTTTATGCGCATGTACCTGCTGATCGGGGACTAAACGACTACCCAATGATTATTTAAATTTTAATATTTATTTATTTGAGTTTTATATAAGTACTACTTTGTTCACGACTAATATGAAAATTTAAAATCTAAATAACCCTTTTATTATGATACTAAAAGGATTTATTCGATTTTTAATTTTGATACCTAATCATAATCATAGTGTTTGTACTTTGTTTTAAAATGCGTTTGTGACTAAGGATAAAGTAAAAAAAAACAAGAGTAATTTGATGATCTTACTATCACGCTACCATACTTAGTATAAAAATATGCAGTGAAACTGAAGCAAGAGATACTTGGTAATAAAACCAAGCAATTTGAGCACTCACGAATTACAGTTTTTGTCCAATAAAGTGATTCGTATTACATTGTACGCAACGCAATTGCTATGACACATTATGTGTATGTGCATAGGTAAGATCACCTTGAAAAATGTAGTTAAAAGAAAGCCACATTTTTATCTACTTTATGTAATAAAATAAACAAAAAATATAATAAAAAATGTGAAAATTGTATTTTTAAAAGTAGAACAAAATAACAAATATGTAGTATACATAACTAAGTAATTGAAATAACATTTTTATTTGGTTGAAAAATATGTATTAATAGTGGTGGTGATGTTTCGGCTCGATGTGATGGGTGCTATGTTTCACATCGGCGTGGAAACTGAAAACAGAAAGAAATTCTTTGTCAATTTATTACAATTAAAATAAAACTGTTCGTTTGTCGCTATTTCCTAGACTAGACGTTTTGTCAGTTCAGTTAGGTTAGGTAGCCTGTTCGAAAGAAATAGGCTAACTAAGGATCTCTAGTATATTAAAGGTTTTAAAATACTTCGAGAAAGAAAATTAGTCAAATCTGGAGAATAGTAAAATGTAGGATCATCGCGATACGATTTCGGAACAATTTTTATCACCACTACTTGTAATTTTTCCTTCGTGGTAATACGGAACATATGTTCGCGTCGGGTATGATGAATTCAGTTCATACATTTGTAACAAAAAGTAGAATAATGACAGAAAGAATATTAAAAATTACCCGGAATGCTTGTCAGAGTGGTAGTGTACGTGTCTGATGGAACCATCGGGCTCGTGCAGCGAGTAGTGGCCCTTGACGACGTCACCATCGCGGTGCTCGTGCTGCTCCTTGTGATCCCCGGTGTGACCGTCCTTCACTTCATACTCGAACTCGTACTTAGGATGAGTCTAGGAACACAAAAACCTTTTGTGAATTCTTATATACTAAAAAAAAATCAATTAAGAAAGAGCCATTTTCGGCACAAATGCGTCAGCGTGATCGCAGCGTGATCGTCGTGATCGTGACACCACGGCCTCATAAAAACCCAACGTGAAACAACAACAGCATTGTGTTTCGACGTGTGACTGAGATTACCGGAGGTCCAATATCTAATTGTCTGAAACCCTAATCACCAATAGGCCGGCAAGGCACTCTATACTCCTGCGGAGTTGCGGGAGGCCACAATAAATAAAAAAATATGAGTCTTCGGAAATAGGCGGTTTATGAAAACTAACATAATAGTCGAAGTGATGATGTCCATGTTCCCCTTTGACTTCTACGGTTTCGTGATGTCCATCGTGTTTGTGGACATGCTGTGATGAGTAGCCGTGTTCAGCTGCCACAGCTAACACACATACTACAGCCAAAAGTAGTACCTGGAAAATAATAAGTATTTAATATTAGATATTGTAAAGTTAAAGAGTTTATTTTATTATATTTACATTTTTATTTATATTATATAATATATTTATTTATTTTTATTTTTATTTATTTTTTAAAATAAACGTAGCCCCACATTAGGATTTTCTCCTGTGTAGTGGGTGCGGTTACAAACATACAATTTCACATACACGTGACACCCAGACCCGGAACAACAATTTGTGGATCACACAAAGAGTTGTTCCGTGCGGGAATTGAACCCGCGACACGTTGCACGGCAGCCAGTTGCTCAGCCACCGCACCAACCGTGCAGTCGATTAAATTGCACACATACACTGAAACACGTTAGATACAATAAAAGAAGAAGAATATTATTTTTCTTTATTGGTGGATAGAAAATAGAAACAGAGCTAAGCTACCTTGAAGAACATTATGTATGGATGCGATGTGTTTGCAGGTACGTAATACAAAGGGTGGTTGAGTAAACTGATACACGTTACAAAAACAGCTTGGCTTTTATACTAAAAAATAAAAGTACCAAGGTGGCGATTTCACTTAAAATTCTTCGCCGTTAAAACGATTGCGCTAGATTGGATATGCATAATTCGATAATAATGTCGCAAAAGATGCACGTTATGATTACGTTGCAATGTGCCATGAAGGTATGACGCCCATATTAATAAACAATTACTGTTTACGAAATGAAACTTACTCTCGATACAATTTCTTTTTAGTTTTGGTTATATATTTAATACACTCTGCTTCATAATGTTTAAATAGTTGCTATGTACAGTACCAATTAGATTTGAATATAGAAGGTATAATTTACAAACTAGGTACCACACATTATTGTCTTATAATATGTCCTGTATTATGAAATTGTTTATACTAAATTGCGTTTATTGAAAACAAATAAAGGGTAGGTATGTACTTATCGTTTGGTCATTGCTCAATCTAAAGGGAACGTATTTGCCTAGTTGTAATATCTATGTAATCTTTATTTAACAAATGAATGGATGAATTACCAAAGCACCAAATAAAATATAAAATTGCAGACAGTAAAATTAAATAATAAACCAAGAGCTATTTTTTATAATATGCATCTTTATTTACAAAAAAAATTAATCACGTAAAACAAATCAACAAAACATTGAACAAAGTAATCAATAATAGTTATTGTTTAGTGATGATGATGATGAGGAACGATGTGGTGAATGCTGTGCTTCACATCCGCATGGAAACTGAGGACAGGAGAAAATTGTATTAAAAAATGTTCGGAAATTTCTTAAGTTATTTGTAAAAATGTTGCTAAAGAGTTATTGTTACTGATTTAAAATTTTATATTAGTCGTAAGTAAACCATAATGTATTGTGTTAAAAACACATTATTAAAAATATTCTGAGCATTCAGACTTAAGCCGAAACGAATACCCTTATGCTCCTTATTACCTATATCAGCAATTTAGGTTAAACCTCGTATTGAGACATATTGATTTTGAATACTCCTTAAACCTATAATGCCCACTCAAGTAAAAAAAGGTAAAATTTCCGGATATTTGTATAAAGAGATAAATATTATAAGATTTTCTTTCTTTTTTCAAGATACGAACCCGGAATGTTTGTCAGCATGGTAGTGAACGTCTCTCTCATGATGATTGTCAGGTTCCTTCAGGGAGTAGTGTCCCTTCACACTGTCGTGGTGGCGGTGCTCGTGCTGGGACTTGTGGTCGTGGGTGTGAGGGTCCTTTACCTTGTACCCGAATTCGTATTTAGGAGGCGTCTGTAAGAGAAAAAACAAATAGGTATGTAGATAGGTTAATAATTATTCCGTCGTAAAATTCAGTTCATTACGGTAAAGTGCAGAACAGTCGTTTCTTCAAGTGCTTCATTTGACTTCGATATTGACTATTCTTTAGAACTTTAGATTAATTATCTAATAAGTATACATATTATTAGGGACGAAGATGGATATAATATTAGGTACCAACTAAATCCAAATTCTAAGTATTTTTTTTAGCTCTAGAGCAACAGGCTAATAACATTATTACTTTGACGAATAAATGTGTGTTCAATATGGTATTAAGAGTTTAAAATGGTCTCGTGCGTTTTCCTTAAATCTGTTCAATCTTAGATACAAGAGACGTGCTTGGTAGTGAATCTGAAAGCACATAATTTATCGGAGTACTGAGTATAGTTTGTAACTCACATAGTAGTCGTAGTGATGATGTCCATGTTTGTCTTTAAACTCCACTTTCTGGTGGTGATGATCATGTTTATGAAGAAATTGTGACGAGTGGGCTTCATGCGCGAAGGCTGCCACCACAGCGTACACTGCTAATACACACAGAGCCTGTAATTCGAAGAACAAAATTTAAAACAGTATTAAATTACTTTAATAAAATCCAAAATTAGCAACAACTTGTTAAAAAATATCACAAAATCAGGAAATTTTAGAATATATTTTTTATTTATCAGAATTTACGATGAGAAAATAACAATACCTTGAGAAACATTTTGAATAGTTTTCTTGTATGTCAAGCTCAGTTTATTAGCGAACTGATATAAGTGACTAGAACATTTAGCGCTTATATAGTAAAAACTAAAGAAATTATTAAGAAATTATCTTCTTTCACCACGATTGGTAGTTTAGAATTGTTTACAACACACTTTTATTACGATTTCATAAAGTTATAATTCGCGTATGCAATTAAACGTACTTCATACTCAAAGATTCGTTTGGCTTCGCCTATTCTTGTTTTCTTAATAGTCTGTATCTACACGCATGTCACTGGTATACATGAATGGCGGTAAAATAGTTTAGAATTAACAGTCGATCAAGATATCTGAGGTCGTCCTAAATCTTATTACTATCACGTATTTTTCGGTTCGAAAATTTAAAAATTATGTGCCTGGAATATTTGATGATTTTGCTTTTCTTCTCCATAGCGGTAAGAATTCACACTTATTCTTATTAGACTAATTGTATCACTAAAACTTTACATAAGGAGATTCCAGGAGATCGATCCGCGAGACCACATTCCGGCAAACACCAAAACTGTTCAATGGCTTTATCAATTGTGAAATACACCCTTAACGTTTTTGTAATTTGTGGAGGAGAATCCTTCTTATAGTCATATTTAGAGCGATGCAAAACATCTTTCTATTTTTTCAAAGAAACAACATGGTTGTTTCTTTTCTATATTTACAATTAGTTCTATCGGTCAGTAAATACGTTGTGTGAATCAAACATTGGTTAAATAAAAGTGCACGAATTTACCACCGATATATGGATTTTAGGCATTTTCTATGCATATCTCCTATGATATCAGTTATGGTAGTTCGTTCGGTTCGATATTAAACTTGTTCGGATTATGTTTCCAGCAAATTTTTGTAGTAAAACTAGAATATAGATACCGTTTCGAATCCAGAAATACTAAGACCACACAGACAGAGTTGCACTCTGTGAGGAACTGGAAGCATGCGATAAGATGTGTAACATACCAGTTTAAAGAATTTCTATGATGGGAACCTTTGAAGATACAAGGTAGAGGTTGTAAATTAAAAAAAAAATGACAAAGTGATAAGAGACTATAATTCTTTATTAACTAAATCATATTTAATAAAAACATAACAATTTGATCATCTTAATAACATAACAATTTGGTGCATGATGATAAAGGTAAAGTATCATTTGGAATTAGTGGTGGTGGTGGTGTTCAGGAACGATGTGTTTAGCGTGACCTTCATGTTTCACGTTAGCGTGGAACCTGTGAATGGAGAAATCAAAATGTACTCACTGAGAATTTATTTTATTTCAGTTATAGATACGAGAAGACATTGGATGATTTCTTTCCTTAAATAAATAGAAAGGCATATTTTGTTGAATCGTTAAAATGGAACTGTTCGTCGGCCCTTTATTACTAAAACTAGGTGCTAAGGGTAATTCTACTCACCCAGTCTTTTTGTCAGCGTGGTACTCGACGATCCTGACAGTACCGTCGGGCTCGTGCAGACTGTACACGCCCTTCACGATGTCACCGTCGCGCGCCTCGTGCTGGTACTTCTTGTCTCCGGTGTGAGGGTCCTCTACTTTGTAGGCGAACTCGTACTTAGGGTGAGACTGAAATGAAACGAGTCAGTCAATAGCATACGCTATTGGAGATTAAAGTCTACTATTGTTTTTGCAAACTACATACGTAGTATTCGACATGTTTCTCAGTCGCTTTCCCGTGGTACTGCTTGATGGTCTGTGAGGAAGAGGCGTGGTGGTGGTGTTCATGATGCTCCTGAGCAGCAACAACCACAACCATAGCGACGAGAACGACCTGTTTGGATTAAAACTGTATTGAGGATGTATGTTGCTTGAGCAGACGACTGCGATTGTTGATTAGGTGTAACAATCCTCGTGGTAGGCAAGATAGTTTTCATATTCCAATTTCAAAAATAGTATTAGTAGCACAATTACATATTTGTGAAGTTAAACCAATACTGTGTTTGATATTTGGTTACCGATAGGAAAAAATGTTCTATTAAGTTGCTTGACTTGTTATCCTGTTGTCAAAGATCCAATATGGAAATCATGTGTATAATACATAAAGTTTTAATATAAAAATAAATACCTTTGCAAACATTTTGATTTTAGTTTATTGTACTCTTACAGTTCAGTACAAACTGATATTTAAAAAAAGTGTTTCGAAGTTTTATATACCTTTAACCAAAAAACAGGTTTGGAGCAATAAATTTCTGAAATGCACACTTGTTTTATTGAAAGCACGTTTCAGAACGTGTTCGGGCTTTGTATAAAGTCTTTTGTTACATTACAACTTTGTCATAAAAAATATGGTAAAATTAAATAATTATGAACTGATGTGAACTTATAATATTTATATTCCCTCCGAATGTACCAGGTAGGTATACCGGGTACCGGGTACCGTGTACGCTGTTAGACCTCTAGACTCTGACTCCCCTAGCAGTAAGACCTCTCTCGAGGAGTGTCGTGAGCTCACCTTCCCCCAGACGCAGGTCTGTGCTTCCCGGGCACGGCAGCTTCGGTAGGTTCCGGTTTCTGATCCGGCGGGAGAGAACGCCCGATTATCGTCATTATGAGTATCACCTAGAGGACACGGTGGAGCGTATGGTGGCAGTATGCCTTACTTGGGTTGAGCACCACCGTATCCTCAGGGAAGTAATCAGTTTCGGCAATCTCACGCGACCGACCCTAGTCGAGGCTATCTCCTGTCTCTTCTTTTTGCGAAGCATGTAGGCTCGAAAAGAAGCCGTCGCAATAGGCACTCCGAGTGTTGTGAATCGAGCTGAGACGATCTCCAGCTACTCTAAGCGCGAATTTGCTGAAAATTGGCCCTATAGGACTGATGTTCAGTAGGTGTTGCAGGGTAAGCGCAATGATACCAATGGGACCGCGACCTCGGCCTGGAGCAGGATAAAGAACGGAAAGGTTTTTAGTCAGTAAGATTCTGACAATCCTTCCTACCCCACCACCAGAAGTAATTTGATTACTTTTCCCTCACAAAAAAATACAAAATAGCTGTACAGGGTACTCTATCGGTAATATTATATCTACGTATGTACCTACTATATCGGCTCGTCAATTTAGTTTTCTATGTGTGTGTGCTTACCTGTTTATGTGAGTTTTACATAGAGAGTAAACTAGTCCTAGTACCAGATAAATTTAAATATTGAACTTAGTTTGTATGAACTATGTAACACAAAAGTTTACTAGGTTCTTACATGAAGGTAATGAAAAGGTCCATTAATCTAAGTTATAGGAACTCAAGGCCACTCTTACTTTAAGCAGGCACTAATTTACGCAATCGTTACGAGGTTTTTTTAATAAACCTGAAAATGTCGAAATGCAATTATTACTTTTCTGCTTTATTTGCAGCTCAAAACTTGATATTCTGTCGAATATAAAACACAGTCTCGTATTTATTTAATTATCAGTTATCATCTGGATCTTTAAACATACAAACGTATCAAAAACACAAACAAAATGTTCGCAAAGGTATAAAAACTCTTAACAATTTTTAGTTGCTCAACTGAAGTATAAGTTATTTAGTAATAAAACTAAATAATTTATTTTTATTAGATTCTCCTTATTGCCGTCGGAGTAGCCGCTGTAGCTGCTCAAGACCACCACCACCACGCCTCCTCTTCACAAAGCCTCAAGCAGTACCACGGAAAAGCCACTGAAAAACACGTCGAGTACTATGTAAGATTAAAAAACAACCGTACTAACAATATTTTTATGGTTTAAGTAAGTAATCGCTCATATCGATCATTTGATGGTAGATTGTCGCCGATTGACCTACAACAGCAAAGGAGTTCACATTGTTCACATGTTTTGCTGACCTTTTATAATTGTTAGGGTTTTAAGGATTGGAATTGGCTTTACAAATTGTGGAATCATTTTTAAATATTTTCGTTTATTCCAGTCCCACCCTAAGTACGAGTTCGCGTACAAAGTGGAGGACCCTCACACCGGTGACAAGAAGTACCAGCACGAGGCGCGCGACGGTGACGTCGTGAAGGGTGTGTACAGTCTGCACGAGCCCGACGGTACTGTCAGGATCGTCGAGTACCACGCTGACAAGAAGACTGGGTGAGTGTGACTATATCATTTATCATCGTAATTGTTCTTTTTACGATACCATTTACTCATATTTCTCTTTCTTCTTTACAGTTTCAACGCTAACGTCAAGCATGAGGGTCACGCCAAACACATTGTTCCTGAACATCACCTCCACCACTGATTCTAGAAACGCAAATTTGTATTCGTAAACTTGATGTTATTTGTTATTAATGTTTTATTGTGATACTTAGTTTGTTATATTAAATTAAAATTTTGTAAGAAAACACCAACGTTTTATTTTGCCTGTGTGTGGTTCCGAATTGTATTAGTATTTTCCTGTATGCAATTCCCGCTATACATATATATATATATATATATTTTAAAATTTAAAAGGTAAAAACAGTAAACAAATGAAAATGGATGTATCTATATACTTACTTACATATAAGTATTGTATGAAAAATTATAGTACAGGAGATGCTTCGTTAAGAATGGATCAGCTCAACCAGTGTGATTCCACGGCTTTAAAGAATACCGGTTTGAAGCAATAATTACGTTGTATTTTACTATGTGAGTGTCTACTCGTCTGCATATCTATATCAAAAAAGGAAATCATTTTTGTTACTTGAATTATCAACTTATATATCAAACGACGAATCAGCCATGCATTACATGGCTGATTCGTCGTTTATATAGTCAAAACTAAGTTAAATGTTTAAACTAAGAATACAAGAGTATGGACCGATTTCTCAATGTTTGTATAGTCACTATGTACTAGATAAATTAGAATATCGAATGTGGTTTATATGATCATTTGCTTAATTACCTTTATCAGGTTAAACACAGGCATAATATACACAATAATTATGTCTGTTGGTACTTTAGAAAAGCGATAGAAGGAGTTCTAAATGAAATAGTAATTTTATATTTATTGTTCTTTAGCCAATGTCGAAAATTGTTTTAAAGAAATAATACCCATGCAATTTAATTATTTTAAATAATGTTTAAAAAATTAACAACTTGTGATCCATTCAAAATCGGGAAAAATACTTCAAATTAATATAACGATACCTATAGGTATAGTAAATATCAATAGTAAGTACCTAAATGGCAGATGCTCTGCAATCAAAGAAGCGTTGAAGTGTTGAAGTTGTGTGCTAGTCAGTCTCTGCTTGCAAAGGTGCACTAAAACCTTGCAAAATTTTATTCGATCTGGCGATATGAGGTGTGCCTATGTCAGATTATTGGGAATATTTCTCTAGGTTTAATAATATAGATACGTTGCAACAAATCGAAATATCCAATGATCAAGGCCTTACCTAGGTTTTAAGTTAAGACTTGAGACTTCATGATGCCTACAATGGCAAAGTTTGAATTCTTGATTAGAAAAGCTGCATCACCTTACTGTGAGGTGTGTCGTAATAGAAGACGACTTTTGTTAATGAAGTGTGAAAAATCTAATTGTTGGCTATAAAGGTTGAATCTTGGACTAAGGCTTTATACTAAACGTTATAGCGCACCCCAAATCAGCAACCACTAAACGTAACGTTTTGGCATATTTTCATAATACAGGCATATAAGTTTATTATAGTAATTAACTTATTGTAGTTCAAATAAACACGTAATTTAAATAAAGTTGTATTTATAAATAACTACAAAGGTTCAAGTCACACAAATTATATAACAATCATAATATTATCAGGGCCTCAAGTCTGCTGTTACAATAGTGTCAGAATAGTGGTGGATCATTGATTTCCAAAGTTTTGCAATCTACTAACATGGCGTAAATTATGAGTTACCAGTGATCAAACAGTGACACTTCGTTGAAAATTATTCTATAAAACGGTAAACTCGTACAAAACGTCAATAATAATTGAATATTAGACATTATAGGGTAAATTAATAAAAAATGGAAAGTTCCTTTAATTAGTGATTTACGATTGAAACATTATTGAGCAGTTATTGTTAATAATTCGTACATTTTTCATTTGGAACGACAAGGCATCTCGTACTACGATTGCATTATGACACCGCTGACCGTCCAATGATCAGTTATTATGAATTTTTAGCAAAATGACAATGGAATCGTGTTGGAGTGATAATATTTTGAAAATAGCAGGCTTGAGCTAAACCCTTTAAAAAGTAAATTAAAAACAGTCGTGTATCTTATAAAATTACATTTATTTATTATTTAAAATATTTTAATAGCATCATAACAATCAGATAACAGTAAATAACAAATTTGAGAACTTTAGTCTAGAATCAGTGGTGGTGGTTTTGTTCAGGAACAATGTGTTTGGCGTGACCCTCACGCTTGACGTTAGCGTTGAACCTGTAAATAAGAAAAATAAATGTGAGTCAATGGTATCGTAAAATGTATAATTATCATGATAAATTATATAGTCACACTCACCCAGTCTTCTTATCAGCGTGGTACTCGACGATCCTGACAGTACCGTCGGGCTCGTGCAGACTGTACACGCCCTTTACGACGTCACCGTCGCGCGCCTCGTGCTGGTACTTCTTGTCACCGGTGTGGGGGTCCTCCACTTTGTACGCGAACTCGTACTTGGGGTGAGACTGGAATATACAAGAATTCATTAGTTTACTTGACTTTATGTTATAATCGAAAGTCGGCTTTTTATTAATCAAATCTACTATATCTTACTGCATTTAGGTTCTTACATAGTATTCCACGTGTTTTTCAGTGGCTTTTCCGTGGTATTGCTTGATGCTTTGTGAGGAGGATGCGTGATGATGGTGTTCATGGTGTTCTTGTGCAGCAATCGTAGCCACAGCAACAGCAATAACAAGGATGACCTGTAAATATTACGAGTGTTAGAGTTCACATAATGTTATCTGTCTAGAGAAACTGTTAAGGCGGTATTCTTGACACATTAAGATACTTAAAATAGGATTGTTACTGTAATGGATTGACTGTTATATCTTAGATTAGGTATCTTAGTTAGTCAATATTAACTTCGGTAAAAAGAATTAAATAAAATCCTAAAAAATACTCATTTCAAAATACCTTAGCAACCATTTTGAAATATTTTTTTTATATTTTGCTCTCTGACTGTTGAGTGGTGAATGATATCTTTAAAAGTTAATTCAGTTTTATATAGTCGAAGCCAAAAATCAAGTTTGTAGTAATAAATAAAGTTCAAAAATGCTTTCGTTTTTTTTTATAATAACTCGTTTGCAAGCCTGTTCGAAGTGCATGTACCAATATTTATTTTTGTTGAAATTTTTGAAAAGTATTGTGTTATGGGGATTGATAATTTGGAGTAATATTCAGACATTTTATTATAGAAGACTCGAATTTTTTTTTCATCTAAAGAAAACCTTTATTTGTAAGATATATTTCGACTGATGATGATAATGATAAGGGCCGATAACAGGCCTCTTGATAAAGTACATAAATCATCATTTAGGTAAAGTAAATTACTAAAAGAAGATTATTCAAATGAAAATGCAGTGTTTTTGTCATTTTCCTTGCACTTATATTGGTTTAACTAACATTTTTGTTTAAGAAAGCCAAAGGGTTCAATGTGTCGTGGTGAAATGTACTTTTATTTTGTGAGTTGAAGGTTACAGATCTTGATTTGGAAGAGTCTTGTTTATGCAATCAGCATATTTTAATGGAACTGAAATATTGTGTACTTTGTCTCTTAAAACCTGATATCGAGTCGAATATAAAACATCGAGTGTGGTTTATTATTAGTCTATCAGTTACAACTTTAGCTTTAAAAAACATTAACGTATTAAAAAACACAAAATGTTTACTAAGGTAAATATTTAAATAAATAATTCAAATACAATACTTATAAAAATTATATTTTCATGTCAAAATAACATTGTGTATTTTCGCTAGGTACTTATAATTGCTGCAGCAGTGGCAGCTATAGCTGCGCAAGACCACCACCATCACCACGCCTCCTCTTCACAGAGCATCAAACAGTACCACGGGAAAGCCACTGAGAAACACGTCGAGTACTATGTAAGATTAGACAACGAATACTTTGCCTTCTATTCTTAAATTAATCAAGTATCCTAATTGAATTTTGTGTATTCCAGTCTCACCCTAAGTACGAGTTCGCGTACAAAGTGGAGGACCCTCACACCGGTGACAAGAAGTACCAGCACGAGGCGCGCGACGGTGACGTCGTGAAGGGCGTGTACAGTCTGCACGAGCCCGATGGTACTGTCAGGATCGTCGAGTACCACGCTGACAAGAAGACTGGGTAATATTTTGTTAATTACATTTCCTACTCATAAAATGTTTCTGTTTAAGTTTATTTTGTAATGATCGTTTGTTTTCCTTGCAGATTCAACGCAAACGTGAAACGTGAGGGTCACGCCAAACACATTGTGCCTGAACACAACCACCACCACTAATCTTAGAAATACCAAAACCTATATGTTACTGGACTGCGTTATGTTTTTTATATTTGTTAAATTGTGATAATTTTTATTTTTTATAAATAATAAACAATATTTTAAGATGGAATTATAATAATTGTTTTTTATTTACTTTTATGATATTCCTACAACTATAATAAGTCCACATAACAAAAGGCAAAATTCTAGACTCCAGAATGATAAAGACTTAAATAATAAGAACCAATTTACTTATCAAGCATCTGTACCTCGTAACAATTAACTTCAGAAGCCCAAACAAAATTCTAAACGTACTTACTTGATTATCTTAGAATATTTTTTATAATATTATGGTTATGAATTCTATAAATATTTAATTAAAATATTATTAATTTTATATTTGAAAACAAAACATGATAAGCCTCGGTCTTTGTCATTTCAGGCGTGATGTATAAATTTTTATTCGTTTCATATTGTAGAATAAGTAAATGTTTTTCTGATCTGTGAGAACTTTTTTTTATTAATATATAACATTTATTTTAACAACGGCTTACACACAAGGAGTAACTAAGAACTAGATGAACGTCCGTCTGGAGTAGAACTACTACTTACTTTCGGGGCTAATGTTTAACCGGAGTAGGGGGTGCAAATGCGGAGGAACAGGGTGGTTTTAGTCAGTAAGAACCCCACACTCCCGTTTGCTCCAGCAAGGGCGAGAAAAGTCATTTAATAATTTTCCTTCCCCAAAAGTGGTATAGGTACAAGTGCATCTACTTTCACGATTTGACTAATGCAAATGATTTAATGATAAGAGTACCAAGTAGAAGATTGCTTTTCATCAAGGCAATAGACATATACGGACATTCGTTGTTTTGGGCGCAGGCCACTTAGAGGCAACTTAGAGCAGTGGACTGCTCTAAGTTAACCAACCAACACTAAATTATCTGATGATCATTGATCTCTTCAATGCCTAGAGTTTTTACAAACCAATTATTACCTAGTTGTTATATTTTTTTGTTTTCCTTTAAGGATTGTAAATCAAAATCAGTCGTGTATCTTACAAACTTATATTTATTATTAATTCAATTATTTTAACAGCATCATTACAATCAGATAACATTAAATAACAATATTTAAGATCTTTAGTCTAGAATCAGTGGTGGTGGTGGTGTTCAGGAGCAATGTGTTTGGCGTGACCCTCGCGTTTTACATTAGCGTTGAACCTGAAAGACAAAAGAAAATAAAATTAATATAACAAAAAAAGTTTTCACCAATACTTTAATTGTTGTAATGTAGGTATTAGTAAATATACCTATAGATAATGTTAAGAAATAGTTTACGTAAGATAGAAAAAATTTGTATCGGGTAGTCGAATTATAACCGTGCTGTTGGACGTTGCATTTCAATTATCTCCTCAAATATATTACAATTGTCAAATTGTTGTATAAACGCACCCAGTCTTCTTGTCAGCGTGGTACTCGACGATCCTGACAGTACCGTCGGGCTCGTGCAGACTGTACACGCCCTTCACGATGTCACCGTCGCGCGCCTCGTGCTGGTACTTCTTGTCACCGGTGTGAGGGTCCTCCACTTTGTACGCGAACTCATACTTGGGGTGAGACTGGAATACACAACAATGTATTGTTAAGCTACATATTTCAGCAAGCAGCAGCTAGTGTCTGGTCTATATAATAAATAAAACAAGGTAAATTTTTATCTTACATAGTATTCGACGTGTTTCTCAGTAGCTTTTTCGTGGTACTGTTTGATGGTCTGTGAGGAGGAGGCGTGGTGGTGCTCGTGGTGGTGGTGGTCTTGAGCACCAACCGCTGCCGCAGCCACGACAATTAAAAAAACCTAACAACACACAAGAAAATACATATAATATAAAAAAGAATAAATACTAGGAATCAATCAAATTTTTATTTAAGTAAAACTTTAAAAGAAAATAATAATATTTACTTTGGTGAACATTATGATTTTTGAAGTTGTTTTGCTTCGAAAGCGAAGTGATAACTGATAAATTAAAAAAATAAATTTCGTTATTTATATGTGGTAGAAAATTAACTGTTACTGTTGTTCATTATGCAGGTTTCATTTCATTTTACTGATGAAGAGATTTAAAAGTTGAAAAGCCTTGACAAAGTCGTGTACATTTAAAAAGTTGCCTACTTTCTTTATGAATTATCATAAGACAGTTTTTAGCACATATATTGTTTTTGTTGTAAATAATTTATCGATTTTGTAAAAAAAATTTACTTTTTGCATGATTATTTTAAGATCTCGGTCGGCAAAGACACATGTTTGTGCACATATTTCATGCTACATAGTCCTCGTCGAAGTTTTACAAGTGCATTCTTCGGCATTTCTTCTCAGAGTAGTCAGATAGGAAATGCCGGCTTCATATAGTTTTTCACATATAAATTGACGTGTAAATTTTTTGGATTATTTGCAAAAATAAATTCATTGTTTCATTGTTTCATTATCGGCCTTTTGGGAGTAAATGTTGTACCTCTATATATTATCAGCCTAACTACTAGGGCTAAATTTTCTTTTTGAGGGGAACAATCATCAAATGACTTCTTTCGCCCACGGTGAAGTGTCAGATTCTTAGGGTGCAGTTCCATTCAGGCGGAGCGGAGCGGAATGTGGATTTCAAGCCATGCGATTGGTGAACGCGGCACAGCTCTGCTCCGCTCTGCTCCGCTCCGCCTCAATGGAACTGCATCCTCACTGACTTAAAATTACTTAAAATCCCCCGTTTCTTCTCCTAATTCTGGCTACGGCCACGGTTCTTGATTGCCTCGGCTGAATTTTTAAGGCTGTGAGTCCATAGACGTTCTAATTAAATTCATCATAATTTTCAATTACAAATGTACTAAAATTAATTCGTTTTTCTTACATTCTTTTTATTTGACATTCGTAAAAAAGGGACTTATAATAATATCGCTTGAGGTCATCTAGGCTTTAACCAGAGCACTTATTGCAAACCCAACAAGTTTGGTGACAAACTGGCTTTGTAATGAAATATGTACGATTCAGTTTATTACTTTATCTTATACTTACGTTTTAGGGCTATATAAATTCGGTGATTTCTTTCGAAAATTATCAGTCAACCATCAGCTTAACAAGCAAGAACTACAATAATAAAAAATTTAAAATGTTTGTTAAGGTACAAAAAATAAACATATTGAAATTAATAAATTAATGTTTCTAATTATTCACTCTTCTAAGAAACTAAGACTTAAAAGTGTTTATTATAGTTAAAAAGTAGAACTGCTAAAAGATATTTTCAAAAACCACAATAGGAACAGATTATTTTTATTAGTTTAATAGATTTTTTTTACAATTTACTTTATTTTTTATTTGGTATTTTTCAGCTCATCCTCGCAGCTGCAGTGGTAGCGGTAGTCGTGGCACGTCCACAGGACGGTCCCCACCACGAGCACCACCACGCCTCCTCCTCACAGAGCATCAAACAGTACCACGGGAAAGCTACTGAGAAACATGTAGAGTACTATGTAAGTTATTTAGTCACGTATTACCAATTTACACAAATACAGCTTCTAATAAGTAGCTTAGTAAAAAGGACAATGCATTGTTTAACGAACTTATATTGAGTATATGTTTTACAGTCTCATCCCAAATATGAGTTTGCGTATGAAGTTAAGGACCCGCACACCGGCGACCACAAGTCCCAGCACGAGGCGCGCGACGGTGACGTCGTGAAGGGCGTGTACAGTCTGCACGAGCCCGATGGTACTGTAAGGATTGTCGAGTACCATGCTGATAAAAAGACTGGGTGAGTGCATTAAAATTTGATGATTCGTTTTTCACTGCATCTGTGTTATAACGCAAAAACTATGCTGAAATCTTTGGAACTGTTGGTTTCGTTGGTCATGCATGTTGAATTCGTTTACTAAATTTTCCACCTACCTTTCGATATGAGAATGCAGGACTAGTCCCATGCCGGGGTTGCGGGGTAAGTGCAATGAGGCACCGCGACCTCGGCCCAGAGCAGGAGAAGGAACGGGGGTTTTTAGTCAGTAAGAGTCTGACACTCTCTCTCGCCTTACCCTGGGCGGGAGAAGTCATGGATTGGATAGTTTTCCCCTGACAAAAAAAGGACTAGTCTCATGCATTCCTTAACAATAGTGACACTGAATATGTTTTTTTTTACAGGTTCAACGCTAATGTCAAGTTTATTGGTCACGCCAAGCACATCGTTCCCGAACACCACTCCCACCACTAACTAAACAAACTCGTTTTTATTGAATACTATTGTCGTTATAACTAGTTATCGTTGTTTTTACATTTTAATTTATTTATGTATAACATATTACTGTCATTGGTGAAAATAAATAAGTCAATATAATTGTATAATATTGTTTCCTTAAAATCCTTTGTCATTTTGATGATTATAAATATGGGAAGGTTTTATAATAAAAACAAATCTTGACTTTGATCAAAATATAAAGGATAATATGATAATGGCAAATTTACGAATGTATTGAAAGAAGTAATTTATTGAGAAATCCTAAAATGTATCAGAACACGTCAGTAAATAGCAGTCACAATAAAATTTAATTCGCATTAATTCCTAGTGTGGAGCAAGGTATTTTAAATTAAAATTAACTACTTAAACAAATTTTCTGCATACTGATAGAACTCAAATATATTCATAAACATTTCATACCATATATCAAGTAAACATATAATCAAAATACATTTTCTTTTTCGTATTATTTTATTCAGTTCAAAATTTTTATAAATCGTACTAATAATAAACTTATCACTAATTTAATATTATCACAGCAAATTAAACATTCTGATACTAAAATGTTTACATTTTCTTAGGATGGTGATGATGATGTTTTTTCGGGACTATGTGATGTGTTTTGTGTTTCACTGTTGCGTGGAATCTGGAAAGAAAACGGAATAATTACTCCCACTGGTAAACCACTAATTTTTAGATTACATTTCGGCTAATCCAGTGATATTTATTATGACTGTAGTAACTACCTTCCAGAGTATTTAACTACCTTCCAGGATTACTAATAAAAGTTAAATGTAGGGTTAAATAAACTCTTTAAACGGATAAATTTTTAGGGTTTTCAAAATTTTTGTGATAAATATTATTATATTAAATGTTTCTTCAGAAACCATTTTTTTAAACATTCGGAAGAATTAATAGTTTCTAAAGAGCTTTTCAAGAGAGTCTATAGGTAATACTATAAAATAAATCCATTATTGTCAGCCAACTTACCCACTATGTTTGTCTGCATGGTACTCAACCCTTCTGACGGTACCACCAGGCTCATGCAATTCATAATATCCTTTCACGGAGTCTCCGTCCCTATGTTCATGTTGTGATTTTTTATCACCAGTGTGGTGGTCCTCCACTTTGTACCCATACTTGTACTTAGGATGAGTCTAAGGAACAAAAGTATTTTTTATTACATCAGACGATTATATTTTTCAGTTAGGTATATATTTATCTACTTAGAATTGTTGGATTGTGTTAAGCTACAACTAAAAAAAAGAACACATTGATTTGAACTCAAAAGATTTGAGCACACATGATATGTACATGATATGTATGTTCAAATCTTTAAAACTACAGAATGGATTTTGTTGCGGTTGTGAAAGAGGAAGGTATTTTTATATATTACATCCTTTAAATAGTGGAGTAATTTAGTATGAGCATTGCTTTGAAACCAGAGCGGATCGCTCGTTAATAATAAACTGATCATGAGCATAACCTCAAATATAAAAAATGAGTCTTTTTCAATGTTACTCCTGTGTCGTGGGTGCGTTTACCAACATACAATTTCAAATGCACATCACACCCAGACCCGAAACAACAATTTGTGGATCACACAAACTGTTGTTTCGTGCGGAAATCGAAAGCGCGACACGTTGCACGGCAGCCAGTTACCTAGCCACCGCGCCAATCGTGCAGTCAAAAATGTCTTCAATACTTACATAGTAGTCCACATGTTTGTATTTATGTTCTTCCTTTTTATGAGGGTCATGTTTGTGTGGCTTGTGATGTTCAATGATGTACACTTTCTGCGCATGACCATCATGTCTCAGGAAGTGCTGAGATGAGAACGCGTGTTTGTGCTGCTTGTGCACTGTCACAGCTTCGGTGACCAGTGCCAAAACGCTTAGTGCGCATACCACCTGAAATATTTGGTATAAATGTAAGAACGCACTTGACATTCACATTTCGTTGAAGGTACGAGAAATTTTATCATAATGTATAATTTGAGCTATTTAATGAATGGCATAGTTCTTAAGTTTCTCTTCCTCTATTTTAAACTTTTCTTTTCAGTAGAGTTCGTGTAACAAGAACACTTTGGGTTTTACCTTAGAGAATAAAATGTACAAAAAAAAAAAATATATAAAAATCAAACTATTTGACATATTAAAACACTCCTTTTTGGGCATTCATGTAAAAACCGCACTAAATGTAATCGAGTTAAAAAAAAACAACACTGCACTTCATAAAATTCACCATCCTCACGAACAAAATTATTAATTACCTTAAGCACCATTTCTATTGTTATTCAAAGTGTACAAAAAAATATACTGATCTCAACTTTTTCCAAACAACGACTTTTATATCAATAGAATATGTGTAATCAAAGCAATTGTTTCATTAATATTAGTTTGTAATTGCTGAATTTGTGCACGAAACGTATAAACCATTTGTAATGCTTTTGTAAAAGTAAACCGATACGTCTACCAAAGTAAGTCTAGATTTAGTTTCTGAATGATTTTTTATTACACACGTTTACGCAAGCGTGTAAATAAAGGCTTTATTTTTTTAACTACACGTGATTCAGTGGATCAAAGTAATTTTACAATAACAAAGTTTATTTTTTTATGAGGTAAGTCGCCTATCGAGCAGACGGTCTTACCTGATGGTAAGCAATCGGCGTTGCCCATAGACAACCGCAACAACAAAGGAGTTACGAGAGCCTTGCCGGTCTTTTGGGGATAAGGGTTGCGAATATCAAGATTAGGAAGGGATAGGGAAGGGGGAGGGATTAGGCCTCCGGTAACCTCACTCACACGGCGAAACATACCGCTGTGGTTATTTCACACCTTTATTCTGCGAGGCCGTAGTATCACTCCGGTCGAGCCGACCCATTTGTGCCCAAGCTTGACTCTCCCACACTTATGATTTTTGATGATGATCAGTCATACATCTAAATCCGCACACTAAGAATGTAGGCTACCAAGCCAAATAAAATATGTATGTTTGACAACTTTTAAGAAACTGTATATTCAGAGACCGCTTTTTTGGCCGCTCTTATCCTACGTTACTCAGAGGTCGTCACGGGGTGTCTTCTCACAACCCTATCAAGTTTTAGTAAAATTCCATAAAGGACGACTCAAATAATCTTTTTTGACTTTAAAGTTATTCGTTATTTTTTTCTTTTTAGGCGGGGTGCAATGGATAAATACAAATAAATAAATAATGTTAAAATATGATTTATTTACAGATTTTATGATATATTAACAATCAACAATTCAACAAACTATATAACAGTCGTTAGGAAGTGTTCGGGAACGATGTGTACTGCGTGACCTTCGTACTTCACGTTGGCGTTGAACCTGATGAAACACATAATAGTACTTTAGTTCTACGATCCTATATTAGGTAATATTTTAGTTTTAAATTTATGTAGGATTGTTTAAAAACACTCACCCAGTCTTCTTGTCAGCATGGTACTCCACGATCCTGATAGTACCATCGGGCTGGTGCAGGCTGTAAACGCCCTTCACGACGTCACCATCACGAGACTCATGCTGAGATTTCTTGTCACCAGTGTGTGGGTCTACCACTTTGTACGCGAACTCATATTTGGGATGGCCCTGAAATATTATTCAGTTAGATAACAATATCTATCTCGATTATTTTATAAGGAATAATTAGTTTGGATTGAGGAACTATCTTACATAGTACTCGACATGTTTCTCAGTAGCTTTCCCGTGGTACTGTTTGATGCTCTGTGAGGAGGAGGCGTGGTGGTGCTCGTGGTGGTGACCATCCTGTGGACGTGCCGCGACCACCGCTACTACTGCAGCTGCTAGAATTATCTGTAAAAATATGACATATTTGGTTAGCCTACACCATTTTAAACAGTTATATTTAAACAAACTCTAAGTAGTCCACATCGTTTGAAAAAACTCATTTTAGAAACAAATTTGAAAAAAATCAGAACTTTTCTCGCAAGTTGTTCTAAAATTAAACTTAAATACACCTAATATTTAAAAATATAAGTACCTTGTACATTTTAATAATTTGGCTTGATTACTCTTAGAACACTGAATAGTGAGTGGTAGTTATTCAAAGTACATTGAGCTTTTTATACAATTTATTAAAGGTATTGTGAGGCAATTTTTGTAAAAGTTTGTAACTGGTCTTTTTTTTACACCATCAAAAATATTCTGCATTATAAGCCTCATTTTGAATTCTTTATCTTACCTTGATACAGATACAATATCCAGTTAATAAACTCCTTTCTTTACGACCAGACCTTATGCCTTCATTCATCAAAATTTCGAAATAATACGTATTACCTGGTAACAACATAATCATTATGTACAAAAAAATATCGACGCGATCAAATTAAAGTCCTACTCATATTATTAATGTGAAAGTTTGTGAAAATGTAATTATAGATGTATGTTTATATGATGTAACCATAAAAATAATACGCACCTAATTTTATTTATACTTCAATTTTATTATTTTGCGGTTTTCTATAGGATGCATTTTGGAGAGTGTGCTCAGAAATTGCACGATTTGATTCCGCCATCCCAATTTCACCTTCGGACATCCCGGCATACGGCGAATATCCACCCTTACGTTGTCGAGACACCTGCATCCCGGACTAAGCGTTTTGCCTCGTCATTTATACCGCGTACATCAAGGGATTGGAACAGTTTGCCGGCTGCAGACTTTCCGACCGAATACAATTTAGGTGTCTTCAAGGCTAGAGTGAATAGGCCCTTAATAAACTAGTGCGCCTTACCATCAACGATTGCATCACTGCTTACTATCAGGTGGGATCGTAGTCAAGCACTAGATTATTGCAAGTAAAAAATAAAAATTCTACGGGGTGCTTTAAATCAACACACCACGAGAGCGAAGATGTGGGATTATTATAACTGTGAAAATTTATGAATGCATGGCTGTATGTTTGTTATTCTATCGCACAAAAAAGGGTGGACCAATTTTTTTTAAATTTGTCTATTCGCAGACAGAAGCTTGTTTTTAATACTAGCGGTCTACTCCAGGTTAACTCGGGCGATATATTATCCTGATACTTTCTGTTTTACGAATTTCATTTTCATTCAAATTCAGTCCTAACGTTAACACATAAACGCGACAAAATGGTTCATCCAATTCGATTAGCTATGGGCGTACAAACAATCTATGGTTAATTTAATTAAGTTTTATTTATATTAGGTATGCATAATTTTAATATCAGTCAAAATTCACATGATTGTAAGTGTAGCACTCAGCCTAGTATCATGGCAGAATTATTGGGCTTCTCGGTAAAAATATGTTACAGATATGGTAAGAATTAGCACTACTCGATCTGGAAAGTAGAATATTCAGGATCACGTCTTCTGGTTTTTTATTTTATGATAAACGAATATGACACATTTGTAAGTCAGTAGTATTATTGATAGTAATTTTGAATTGCGGTTCAGTTAAACCAGTTTTGATACAAATAACGTAAGCAGTAATTTAATTGAATGAATGTCAATGCCCTTTGCTGAAGAAAGTAAAGAGTCAATTAACTCAGATTTACCACGTTACCCAAGGTCAGTATTAATTCTACTTTTATTTAAACTGGTAAAACACGTGTTCTTTTGTTGTTGCAGTATTTTAAAAATATTAAGTATAAAAAGGGATAATATTTGTAAAGAGACTATCAGTCACCTGCTTATGCTCAAGGAGTAAAGACAATTAACAAGTACTTACTTCAAAATGTACAAGGTAAACTAACTTGCATATCAGACTCAACTAAAAAAATAAATGAATACACTAAAAAATAACTTTGGGTCTAAATTTCATTATTTGCTTCTCAGGTTCTTTTACTCGCCGCAGTGGTTGCAACGGTCGTTGCACGGCCACAACACGGTCACGACCAACACCACGGTCACGGTCACGCCATCTCCTCACAGAGCATCGTACTGCACCACACTCACGAGACCCAACGCCCTGTTCACAACGAGGAGCACCATGAAGAGCACCACGAGGAACAAGGCAACAAACACGAACAGAGTCACCAAGATGACCATCACCACGAGCAGTACCACCACGAGGAACAGCATCACGGAGAGCAACACCACTTAGAACAGCACGGCCATGCCTCCTCCTCACAGAACATCAAGCAGCACCACGGACATGGCACTGAGAAGCACGTCGTGTACTATGTATGAACTGTTTATTTAATACTAATAATATGAACATGTTTACATTATCAGAAACTCTTATGATAACTAATTGGTATCACATATTCCAGTCTCCTCCCAAGTATGAGTTTGCCTATGAAGTGGAGGACCCTCACACCGGCGACAAGAAATCCCAGCATGAGTCTCGTGATGGAGACGTCGTGAAGGGTGTGTACAGTTTGCATCAGCCCGATGGTACTATTAGGATCGTGGAGTACCATGCTGACAAGAAGACTGGGTGAGTGCTAACAACACGTGAATGTTATGATACTTAATTCAAATTTGCAATATAGAAATATAATTATTCCTATTTAACATTAACAGATTCAACGCCAACGTCAAGTTTGTGGGTCACGCCAAGCACATCGTTCCTGAACACCACCACCACCATTGATTCTGATCAAATTCAATTGTTATACGACCTCATTGTTGAACCTTAAGTCTTAGTCATTATTTATTTTGTTGAAGCAAGACATTGTTGTAAATATAATAATCAAATAAAACCAATACATTCCCTCACTGAGACAGTTGTTTGTTTTAATAATATGAACTGCTAATTATATGAACTGAACTTACTACTCATCATCATAGTCATCATCTTTCTGAATTATTTTTTATCAAAGTCAACCGAAACTAAATATCACTGGTTTCAATTACTGAAAAGTTTGCCATTATAAATATTATAAGACAATACATTTTTTAGAGATCAATTTCCACCTATTAAACACGGTCCAGAGGGAGAAGCTGGTACTGGGGTGCCCTCGCCCAAAGATGAGAACAGTATTCCATATGGGGCCGAACTTACGCCTTGTTAAGTAGCAGGCGATGCCCCGAGGTGAAATAATGCACCTAGCTTCACTGACGAACAGACTGACAGACTACTATTCTATTTTAAAAGTACCTATTTATGGTTTAGTTGGAATAAATGATTTTGATTTGATTTGATTTGATTTGATTTGATCTATTGAGCACGCCAAGCTTCTTCGAGGCTAACTTGGCCTTACCCTATAATAGATGACCGCGAAACTGGACTTCGCTCGATATATCGACGCCAAGTATCCCAATACCGGCCGAGGTTGTTAGGGGGATGCTCTGAAATTGAGGAGATACGACCAATGGCAGTTCTTTAGCGGTGAACACGCAGACCTGTGTCTTTGTGGGGTTAAATTAGACTAAGTTAAGTTTACCCCAATCTGAGATTCTCTCTAAAGAAGTCTCGATTTCAGACAAGCCTGTTTCGACTCTCGATGACTTTTTCCCGAGAAATGTTAGCATGGCCAGCGTAAAAGGCGTGACCCGTGCTGTCATCCAAAATATCATTGATAACAGAGAAAGAGAGAGATTTGGAACAGAGTGAAGGACACCAGCGTTCATAGACAAGGAATCAGAGCATTCACCGTCGACCGCGACCTTTATGTTTCTGTCTGCAAGGAAGCTGGATACCCATTTACACAGTTTCTCGGGAAGCTCATTAGGAAGGCAGCTTCAAAAAAACCCTCTATGCCAAACCTAACCGAAGGCCTTCGCTACGTCCAAACTGACTGCCATCGCTTCGCCGTTGGACTCGATCGCCTATGCCCAACTGTGTGTCGGGTAAACTAAGAGATCACCAGCGGACCAGCCCTTACGAAAACCGTAATGTCGGTCACTAAGAAGCTGATGATCCTACAAGTACCGAAGTAGCTGGCAGTAAATAGATGACTCCATTATTTTCGAGAAGAGGGAAGTTATGGCAATCGGTCTGTAATTGGACGGATTTGCGCGATCAACTTTTTTAGGGATCGGGTGGACCAGAGCTGTCTTCCATAGCTTCGGGAGTACGCCTGAAGAGTATGAGAGCCGAAAAAGACGTGTTAAGACCGGTGTCAACTCTGGGATCTCTCTGGGAACTCTGTTATTTAGGAGTTTAAGGATAGTATTAGAGGATTAAGGAGGAGGTACTTGGGTTTCAGGTAACCTCACTCACACGGCGAGACACAGCGTACCGGTTTCGGTGAGGTCGTGGTATGACTCCAGTCTAACATAATTGAGATACTTAGTGACCAAGGTAATAAACAAATCTTTGAGAAACTTATTAATTTATCGAACATTAATCGAACATTATTTTTCTTTAATGTTATTTAGGGCTTTTGGTTAAAACTTACATATCAAACCTATTGTTCCTTATAGCTATTAACACATAGTACTTATCCAATCAGATTTATAAATAATTACAAGGGTCGGTGCTGGGTCTGTGGCACTAGCAAGTAAAACGCCTGTGCTATTTCTGATGAACGCTCACTTAAAACACTCTGTATGATATCTACGTTCATCTTTGCAATGCCATACTTTCTCAACAACAACTCCCGTTCCACTTTATTCCGGACACACTCCATCAGCAAATGTTGCACATCCTCAATCTTTTCACGAGTCGGAAAATTCAGTGTGTTAGCTGTTCTCATTAGATGTGCAAACTGCCGACGGATAGTGTCCTGAACGAAGTCTAAAAGCTAATTTCAACATAGATCTATTAAGTGAAGTGATTACGAACCAAGGCACTTGAGGAGGCTCACTTTGTAAACTTTTATACCATATTCCTTTTTCCTTGCTACGTATATCATAAGTATTCTTTCCAGAGATCGTAAGCTATAGATTTTACCTTCGGTAACAACACGGAATTATACGGATTTACAGATATTGGTATACCTTCAGTAGTTGCTAGTTTTGCAAGCCGGTCAGCTTCTTGGTTGCCTGCTAAACCTATAATGAGGCGGTACCCATTGCAATCTCAGAACTCTCTGCACTTTGGAACGAGCACCTAGCTTTACTGACAATCTGACTGACAAACTACATATGTAGATTCTATTACTAGCTTACGGCTTCGCCCGCGTGCTGTGTTGATAAAAAACAACCTAAAATCGAGGTCGACATAAAATTTGTCCGTCCATAGATAGAATGGTACGGATCTAACTAATAAGTAAGTATTATAAATATTAAAAAAAAAATATTTTATTATATTACCGCGTCGCGTCGAGCGCGGCAACCGTTACACAAAAATAATCCTTATAACATGATTCAGTGTTCAAATACAACGGCGCGATGGCCTATTATCCGAACTGTTAAGCTATCAGCACGTCGATTCTATAAAATTTGTTTGATTTTGAATCGTGTTCGAGTACGAAGTGAGCGTCGAAGTGACGCGGAAATTAAATTTTAGAATGCTACTTTTAACGTTATTTCATACTTTATCTTTCAAAATGTTGCTGTCAATTTAGTTCAACTCGCAAGTGTAGCGCTAGTATACTACTACTGGCGGATCCAGATTCGAAGTTTTCAATGAAGTCTTACAGAATCAGACTGCAGGAGTTACACGTGCTATTTAGTGAGTTAACCATAAAATATAGAAACATTTTTTTAGATCATTTTATGTAAAATATTTCCGTCACACAAAATTTCTATGTAACATTAACCATTAAGGCTACACACACGACGGAAACTTACAAAAGGGAGTAACTTCTCCCGTCTCCCCACCATTTCCCTTCACTGCTCTGCTCCTATTATTTTTTAGCGTGGTGAAAAGTATCACATAACCTGCCCAGGAGTATAAAGAATAATTGTACCAAGTTTTGTTAAAAACCGTCGAGTAGGTTTTGTTTCTATAAGGAACATACAGACAGACTGATAAAATTTATACTGATTGCATTTTTGGCATCAGTATCGATCACTTATCACCCCCTGGTAGTTATTTTGAAAATATATTTAATGTACAATATTGACCTCTCTACAGATTTATTATAAGTATAGATGTATGTTCAAATATTAAAAGAAGAAAGTTGATTTACATTATTATGGATATTAAATGTTAAAGGTAGGTTTTCTTTCTTTTGAGACGGGGTTATGTTCGATAGATAAAAGTAACAACAATAAATTTAAAATTTGATTTATTTACAAACTTAACAATTATTTAACAGTCACTAGGAGTGCTAAGGGATCAGTGATGATTGTGGTGTTCAGGAATGATGTGTACTGCGTGACCTTCGTACTTCACGTTGGCGTTGAACCTGATGAAACAATATACTAATAGTTAGTTCTACGATCGTACATAAGGTAATATTTTATTTTCAAACTTATGAAAAATCGTGTAAAAATACTCACCCAGTCTTCTTGTCAGCATGGTACTCCACGATCCTGATAGTACCGTCGGGCTGGTGCAGACTGTACACACCCTTCACGACGTCACCATCGCGAGACTCATGCTGAGATTTCTTGTCTCCAGTGTGTGGGTCTACCACTTTGTACGCAAACTCATATTTGGGATGAGCCTAAAGTAATAATATTCAGTTAGATAACACAATCGATCTCGGTTATACTCTAAGGAACAAAAAGTTAGCATTTAATCGTTAACTTACATAGTACTCGACATGTTTCTCAGAAGCTTTGCCGTGGTACTGTTTGATGCTCTGTGAGGAGGAGGCGTGGTGGTGACCATCCTGTGGACGTGCCGCGACCATCGCTACCAATGCAGCTGCTAGAATGATCTGTGTAAAAGGTTTAAACATTCAGTTCGGTCGTCTTTAACATATTATTATTTTTTCCTCACCCTCTATTGAATAGCTTTTTTTTAAACAAAAATTAGTCAATTTTGTTTGATAGCAGTTTGACTTTTGTAAACGACTGACATCTTTATTCTAAATTTATACAAATATTTCTAAACATAGGTACCTTGTACATTTTAATAATTTGTCTTGATTACTCTTGAAACACTAAATAGTGAGTGGTAGTTATTCAAAGTACATTTAACCTTTTATACAATTTAATAAGAGAATTGTGAGCCAAATTTTTCGTAATAAGTATCAAAAATATTCAACCATTCTGCAGCATAGGCCTCATTTTGATATTTTATCTTACCTTGATACAGATACTTACAATATCCAGTTGTTAATTCCTTTCTTTACGACCAGACCCTTTGCCTTCATTCATCAAAGTTTCGAAATAAAAAACGTGTCTTACCTGGTAACAACATAATAATTATGTACTAAAACTTATTGATGCAGTCAAACTAAGTATTTAATACCAGTGGTCCGCTCTCACTTGGGCGCTACATCCCGATATTCCCGGTTTTTCGAATTATAGTTCCATTTAAATTTCAACCTAACATTAACCAGTATGACAAAACGGTTGATCCAATTCAAAGCAATCAGCCATGGCCTTGCAAAAATTTTTTTGAACATTTTTAAAATCATATAGTGGTTTTGATTTTTTTATTTCATTCAAATCCACCAGATGTATATAAAACTACAAAACTACTTCCACGATCATTGCTGTCTATAATACATAGAGATTTAACTTCCCCATCAGTTTTACAGAAACATAGTTTCGTAGTCGTACGTTGCAATCACAAAGTGATTGTCGGGCTCCTCAATCAAAACATGTTACGGATATTATGAAATTTAACATTACTCGATCCTTAAAGTACTTTACGCTTCGCACGGATTCAACTATATCGCTAATAACGAAAAGATCACTTTTCAAAATATTCATCTATACTTTTCTAATTTTTCTTTGATAAAAATGTTCTCCTAACAATTTATTATAGACAGAAGAAGGTTACAAGTCAACAATAGTAAGGTGAAGAGCAAACAAAAAAAATTGGCAATGTCGTTCGGAGTTATGCGCAAACACATTTTGCAATTAATTTTTAAAGAATATAACTAGCGGTCATAAAATTTTCTCTAAGTACAAACCTTCTCTGGATTTTCAATTTAGTTTTTATGGTATTAGTCGGCAAACGAGCAGACGGATTACCTGATGGTAAGCAATCGGCGCTACCCATAGACACCCGCAACACCAAAGGAGTTACGAGTGCGTTGCCGGCCTTTTGGGGATAGGGGTTGCGAAAATAAGGATCGGGAAGGGATATGGGAAGGGGCGGGATTGGGCTTCCGGTAACCTCACTCACACGGCGAAATACAACGCTGTGGTTGTTTCATTCTGGTATTCTGTCTATATCACTCCGGTCAAGCCGACCAATTCGTGCAGAAGCTTAGCTCTCCCACACTAACAAGAATTCACAAAATTTATAAAATAAATTACAACGAAAAGTGGCATTGACTTTTAACTATATAAATGAAAATAAAATTATTATCACACAATTTTAAGTCAGTTCTATTATAACGATATTAATTTTCGATTGCGGTTCACAAACCAGTTTTTGATATTGCGTAAAAAGTTATTTAATTGAATGAATGTCAATGCCCTTCATCGAAGAAAATAAAGAGTCAATTAACTCAGATTTACCACGTTACTCAAGGTCAGTATTAATTTTACTTTTGTTTAAACTGGTAAAATATGTGTTCTTATGTGGTTGCAGTATTTTAAAGATATTATGTATAAAAAGGGATAATAATTCGAAAGAGACTATCAGTCACCTGCTTACGCTCAAGGAGTAAAGACAATTAACAAGTACTTACTTCGAAATGTACAAGGTAAACTAACTTGCATATCAGACTCAAATAATAATAAAAAAAAGAATACACAAACAAAATAAGTTTGGGTCTAAATTTTATTATTTGCTCCTCAGATTCTTCTACTCGCCGCAGTGGTTGCAACGGTCGTTGCGCGGCCACAACACGATCACGACCAACACCACGGTCACGGTCACGCCATCTCCTCACAGAGCATCGTACTGCACCACACACACGAGACCAAACACCCTGTACACCACGAGGAGCACCATGAAGAGCACCACGAGGAACAAGGCAACAAACACGAACAGAGTCACCAAGATGAACACCATTACGCGCAGTACTATCACGATGACCATCATCATGAGCAGTACCACCACGAGGAACAGCATCACGGAGAGCAACACGACGAGGAGCACCACAGCCACGCCTCCTCCTCACAGAGCATCAAGCAGCACCACGGACACGGCACTGAGAAGCACGTCGTCTACTATGTATGAACTGTTTATTTTAATACTATAATATGAACACGTTTACATTATCAAATGATTATTATAGCTAATTGGTACCAATTATTCCACCAATTATATAAAATAATCGGCATAGATATTGTTATCTAACAGAATAATATTTCAGGCTCATCCCAAGTACGAGTTTGCCTACAAAGTGGAGGACCCTCACACCGGTGACAAGAAATCCCAACATGAGTCTCGTGATGGTGACGTCGTGAAGGGTGTGTACAGTCTGCATCAGCCCGATGGTACTATCAGGATCGTGGAGTACCACGCTGACAAGAAGACTGGGTGAGTACTAACAACACGTGAATGTTATGATAATATAATTAATTCAAATTTGCAATATAAAAATATAATTATTCCTATTTAACATTAACAGATTCAACGCCAACGTGAAATTTGTGGGTCACGCCAAGCACATCGTTCCTGAACACCACCACCACCATTGATTCTGATCCAATTCAATTGTTATACGACCTCATTGTTGAACCTTAAGTCTAAGTCATTATTTATTTTGTTGTAGCAAGAATTCGTTGTAAATGTAACAATCAAATAAAACAAATACATTGTCTCACTGAAATAGTTGTTTCTTTTAATAATAAGAACTATTTTCTACTACTACTTATCATCATAGTCATCATGTCCCTGAATTATTTTTATAAAACTATCACTGGCTTAAATTACTGAAAAGTTTGCCATACTAAAACACAGCAAAACTTTTAGTGACAAAATGTAATGTGAGTGAGGTTATCCCCAATACCCGATACGCTTTAAATTTCTGATGACGTCGGCAACACTCTTTAGTGTCGATGGGCTGCATCGATTGCAAACCATCAGGTAAGCCATCTGCTCGTTCGCTGACTTTTACCATAAAAACATGTTAATTCAATCAAGTCTGTGGAAATTGCTTTAATATTAATTTTCATAACTTAGAAAGCACAACTTTCATACGGTTGAATAGATTTTTAAATCAAAAAAATGTTTACATGTAGAATATTATTATTTATAACAATGACTAAAATTAGTTAATCCCTTTGGTTGTGCTACAAATGATTTTTTCCTCTTTTTTCTTTAATCCTTTGGTTGTTTGTCGGCTCATCATCTCTTCACCATCAGTCTATAGTTGTAAGAGCCCATTGTTGTGCAAAGGCCTTTTCTCAAACGGAGAAGATTTGTTCATAAGTCACCAGGATTGCTTAAGGCTGATTGGCGATTTAAAATTTACTCTTAAAAATTATAAGTACCTACAAATGTTTGATTACAAAAAGTTATTTTTGGAGAAGGATAAATTTAAAAGATTCTCAAAGATTTTTTTTTATTATCTTGGTCACTAAGTATCTCAATTATGTTAGACTGGAATCATACCACGACCTCACCGAAACCGGTGTAAAGCAACAGTTAGGTACGCCGTGTGAGTGAGGTTACCTGAAACCCAATTAACTCCTCCTTAATCCTCTAATACTATTCTTAAACCCCTAATAACTGACAAGAGGCCAGCAATGCACTTGGTCTTTTGTTACTAAGAGTGTCCAAAGGCGGCGTTGATGATGTTGACAATCAGGTTTCAGGACCTATTACATAAAAAAATTGAGAAATAATATTTTGTTTTTGTGTCTCACTAAGGGTCAATCCGACCTGAGAGAAGTGACGACATTATAAGCGGTCAGTAAAACAGCCACGCGGCGCATCACTGCTATACACATCGCACGAAATAAATGTAACGTACAAAATAAAGATTTTTATAATCTCTCTTTAAAAATATGCAGCTTTTCAGTCTATATAAATAAACCCAATTTTTGATTAATCAAATGTGTTATTTAAATAAGCCATGTCGGTTGGAATCATTCCATACACTAAGCGAAAAGTAAATTGTATAAAATTTTAATGTTGCTATTACCATAATTCTGTGTTAGGTGTTTCTGCTTTGATGGTTGAGGATATTTTAGTCCAAAAAACTGTTTCTGAAAAAAATTTAAATGATGGACTTTCATTTACGTTAATTTCAACGATGTCTTTACCTAAACATACAAGATGTTGAAGAATAGTAAAAAATAGCAAAACAAAATATTTTGTTATAAAAAACGCTCTGAGAATTAATAAATGTTTTCAAACTACAATAATAATATAATCACATATTACACTTTAGTAAGTTGGGAAAGAGTACTATTTACAACATTGAGATATAACTTTGGACCTTATTGTCATAGCATAATGGAGTTATTTGATTTGAAAACCAAGCTATAATTTCTATGGGTAACAGATTATGATCGTTTGTGTAAAGAAAACAAAGACAATTTATTACTTGGCAGATTTAATATTTACACTACACAACATAATGTTTAACAATTACGAGTATAAATTAAATAACGTTTGTCAACAAAAGAAATCAGTGCAATCAGTGATGGTGGTGGTGTTCAGGAACAATGTGCTTGGCGTGACCTTCGAATTTAACGTTAGCGTTGAATCTGTAATAAAACAGGTACTGTAATTATCAAAATTCATCAAATAAATAACGATGAGTTTGATTATAGGTAGACATAAGATTTTACCCAGTCTTCTTATCAGCGTGGTACTCGACGATCCTGACAGTACCGTCGGGCTCGTGCAGACTGTACACGCCCTTCACGACGTCACCGTCGCGCGCCTCGTGCTGGTACTTCTTGTCACCGGTGTGAGGATCCTCCACTTTGTACGCAAACTCGTACTTAGGGTGGGACTGGAATGTGACGTGCTAATTAGTTATGATCGTTTGGATGTGAAATCATGTTCATCTAATATTGTTTTATTAATGGTTCGTACATAGTAGACAACGTGCTTCTCAGTGCCATGTCCGTGGTGCTGCTTGATGCTCTGTGAGGAGGAGGCGTGGCCGTGGTGCTCCTCGTCGTGATGCTCTCCGTGATTCTGTTCCTCATGGTGGTCATCATGGTGGTACTGCTCGTGGTGATGGTCATCATGATAGTACTGCGCGTAATGGTGTTCATCTTGGTGACTCTGTTCGTGTTTCTTGCCTTGTTCCTCGTGGTGCTCTTCATGGTGCTCCTCGTGGTGTACAGGGTGTTTGGTCTCGTGAGTGTGGTGCAGTACGATGCTCTGTGAGGATATAGCGTGACCGTGGTGTTGGTCGTGACCATGTTGCGGCCGTGCGGCGACTATCGCAACCACAGCGGTGAGCAGAAGAACCTGAATAGTAAAATGAATGAAATTTATTACTTTTATGGTAAACGTCATGGCTTTTAATGTGGTAAACATATACATAGTAAATATATCTAAATACAAGACGTTACACCTACTTTAAACCAGTTGTATATCTACTTCCTTATTATAGAGATGAGCCTATTGCATTTCAAACCAGACAGTTTGGAGTCTAGAATTTTAAAATAAAATCCTTCCAAACTATCCGGTTTGACCCAGAAATTAGACTTAGTTAGTTAGTTCCACAAGCACATTACTTCAGGAATAGTCAAAGCATACAAATATATTTATAATTCGTGATTTAAAATAATATTTTAAAAGCTTTGTCCTACCTTGTACATTTTGATCTTTCGTTCTTACTTGCTTAATATCAACAAGTGACTGATATTTTTTCCAAATGATTTACCTTTTTATATACAATTAAAGTTCTGTATGAAATTTTTGCAGTACGTAGCACTCCAGTTTAACCAGTTCACTCGAAAAACTTGAACCAGTCCTAACCTTGTTTATTCTGGATTGCAATAAATGACTTTTCAATTTCTTTAATAAAATTGGCATTGACATTCATTCTAACATGTGGCTCCACTTTCAGAATCATGATAATTTATGCAATCGATGCTTGTTAAGGATGCTGCTTGTCAATTATATAATATCGGCTTTACGGGAAAATACACACACACACACACACAGACACTTACAGTGCAACTGGTCCACCAACCAAAAGTCGCACACTGAGCTGTGGTAAGGGCTTTGCTTGGAGTCTCTCTGAAGGATCTTATTTGAAACGGAGTGATCCGACAGAAAATCTAAATTATCGATATAGCCCAAAGTACAAGTTTTTTAGCAAACTGAAGTGGCAGTGGGCACGTCTCATCTGTCGAAGAATCGATGACCGTTGTAGTAGACGTCTTCTAGAGTGAAGACAACGTCTAGGCAAACGTAGTGTAGGCCGCCATCCCCAGGTAGGCTGGCAGTGGTTGGATGAGAAGAGCTGAACATCGAGCTCGGTAGCTTGCAAATGGGGAGATAGAAAACACTACACTTGTGTGATACTTATGGAAGGAGGAATAATTAAATTAGCCCCATCGGATAATTTACAAGTCGAAGAACATCTGTTAACTCACTTTCAATACAGATGATATAATAATATGGTTTTGAAGCGCTTTATTTCAGATTAGTTAATTGGTAAATAGCAGTGCGATGTTCGCTGCGTCGTCGTGTTTCGGGCAATACTGCTCATGCATACGAACCCTTATCGTAAATAATCCGAACCGGACGGCGCAATCTTTGAAAACTGGCCCACCCCAGACTTTCGCTGGACGAATGGTGTCCCTGGATGCGGAAAAACGACTTGGATAGTGGAACAATTTCAAGCGGATGGAGATTTTATTGTCACCGCTACAACTGAAGCAGCCAACAACCTCAGAGGAAAACTATCCTGTCAAATTGGAGGATTAGTGAAATCGAGTGTACGAACAATGGCGTCTATCTTGGTAAACGGCTTGGTGGGGCGCGGGAGTTGTCGTCAACTTATGGTGGATGAGGCTCTCATGAACTACTTTGGGGCCATTGTGATGGCCGCCCGATTAACTCAAGCTAAGGAAGTTCTGCTTGTCGGTGACATGAATTAGCTCGTTCATTGATCGACACTACCTCTTCCCTCTCGTCTGCAGCCGCCCTACACTTATCACATCTATAAGCCAGAAATTGCTGTGTACTCACAGAAACCCAATGGACGTGGCATATGCTCTTAATACAGTATACAGTGGCATATACTCGTCCAAGCCTAGCGTGAGATCCCTTGAGACAAAAAGATTCTCAGGAGCGATGATTCCAAAATTACTTCCAGATACTTAATATCTGGAACATATACAGGTAGAAAAGGAAGCCATTAAAATCCAGGGATAAGGGTCAGGCGTGGGATCACGCGTCCTCACTATACACGAAGCTCAGGGTCTTTCGTGTGCGACAGTGGTTATTGTTAACAAGGCAATTCAGAGCCAAAAAATACATGAGAGCGTACCACACGCGGTAGTAGCAATATCGCGTCACACGAACAGTTGTATCTACTACACTGATAACAGTGACCACGCTATAAGCAAGCTAATCAGAAGGGCGGCCGACGAGAGCGAGCAAAGGATGAAGGAGACCTGAAAATGGCCATCAAGCATAGAGACGCGGCGGTTGTGGGCGCTCTTTTGGGCAGGGAATGTTCTTTTTAATGTGTGCGGGACTTCCACAAAATGGTTGCAATGATATTTTATAACGTAATGTAGCAAAAAAACGATTAGTACTTAATTAACAAATTAACTTATGACATTTTGTTAGCTCTGCTGGAGTCAGGTCATTATCGTGTGGGCTGAGTCGTCATATATGCTTAAAAATAACCTGTGACCATTGGGTTAGTGGGTTCATTCAATGGAAAGAGATTGTTTATAGAAAACAGTTATTTTTGTGGGTATGTACGAGTTAAGTTAATGTACATATTACAGGAAAATGCTACACTCTCGGGTAAATCATAGCTCATTTGAACTTATTTGAGAATGATTTTACAATAACCATCATTGTCACAGGACAAATAACAGTCTGTGATGCCATTATAAATATTAACACGTATACCAAAGATAATTTATAAGTTTGAAATCGCCAACCCGCATTGAGCAAGCGTGGTTATTAAGGCTCAAACCTTCTCCGTGCGACGTGCGAGAAGAAGCCTTTGCTCAGCAGTGGGCACTTATGGGTTAATGATGATGGTGATGATACCAAAGATGAGAAATTACAGTAGTAACAGTTAATGAAAGAAAAAGTATTATATTTGAAGTGATACCTACCATCCCTTTTTTTTAGAGTGGGATAAGCCCTCATATGACTCTCCCACCCTGGGTAGATGAGAGAAAGATACTGTTTCTTGTTAATTAAAATCCACCCTGTTCTTTTGCTTGCGTCGAGTCGGGGTGCATCATCGTGCTTGCAAATTGCAACTGATCCAAATCTCCTATTAGCTTTATAAGTTTATTCGTGGCACCCAAACGATTTAGTTACATGTTTTCTTAGCTTCTTTGTTTTTAATGTTAAAATTCAGCTCATTTCTAGTTTATGAATGGATAATAGTCCTTTTTAGGGATCTAGTCGTTCAGTCTACTCTATTCGGACAAGTTCTGTCAGTTCAGCAATATTTTCTGCAATTACAGTATAAAATTATCATCAGATAAAATATAGATACATATATCTATTTACCATTTCTTTGTTTACAGCTGCAAATATATTATGCTTCGACCGACCGTATTATAGAGGTTTATAATGTATGACTTAATAGACACTATTATCTAACGTCTTCGCCGGGGCGTTACCTTGCAAAAAGTATGCGTGTTTTATATTAAAATCAATACTTATGTCTATTTCGCAATTCACTCAATCCTTCTAGTACCTAGTTTTTTCGTCAAAGTGTAAGGATGTTTCGTAGGATATCTAGTCATTCAATAGTATATCAACTGCTTAAGTATAGCAAGCAGTCTTTTTGAAGGCGATTGAAAGGAGTAAAGGCTTCTCTGAAGTCTTATGGCTGCAATGATGATAATGATTAAAACAATTATGTGTGATGGAAAATAAATAAATTTAATTGTTATATTTACAACAACATTCTTGCAACATATAATAACTTAGACATAAGGTTCAACAATGTGGTCATCTAACAATTGAGATCAATTAGATTCAGTGATGGTGGTGGTTTTCAGGAACGATGTGCTTGGCGTGACCCACGAACTTCACGTTGGCGTTGAATCTGTTAGCATAAAATAAATCGTTCTTAAATTCTGACACATAATGTTTTTTAATGGGCTTACGTGTTGTAATTACTCACCCAGTCTTCTTGTCAGCGTGGTACTCGACGATCCTAACGGTACCATCGGGCTCATGCAGACTGTACACACCCTTCACGACGTCTCCATCACGAAACTCATGCTGGGACTTCTTGTCACCGGTGTGAGGGTCCTCTACTTTGTAGGCAAACTCATACTTGGGATGAGACTGGAATATATGATACAAATTGGTTATAATAATCATTTGATTATATAAAAATGTTCATATTATAAGTATTAAAATAAACAGTTCATACATAGTAGACAACGTGCTTCTCAGTGCCATGTCCGTGGTGCTGCTTGATGCTCTGCGAGGAGGAGGCGTGGCCGTGCTGTTCTTCGTGGTGTTGCTCTCCGTGATGCTGTTCCTCGTGGTGGTACTGCTCGTGATGAAGGTCATCATGATAGTACTGCGCGTAATGGTGTTCATCTTGGTGACTCTGTTCGTGTTTGTTGCCTTGTTCCTCGTGGTGCTCTTCATGGTGCTCCTCGTGGTGTACAGGGTGTTTGGTCTCGTGAGTGTGGTGCAGTACGATGCTCTGAGAGGAGATGGCGTGACCGTGACCGTGGTGTTGGTCGTAATCGTGTTGTGGCCGTGCAACCACCGTCGCAACCACAGCGGCAAGTAGAAGAACCTGTCAATTAAGAAATTACATTTAGTTCAAGATTTTTTTTAATATATCTCAATTGAAAATTATAACTATTTGTGTTAATACCTTGTTCATTGTTTATTTTAATTTACTACTTGTACTCTTTGACTGTAAGCAGGTGACTGATATTCTCTTTGGAAATATTTTCCCTTTTTATACAAATCTTGAAAGAACCACATATGCATTTGCAATACGTAGTAAGTACACGTGTTAAACAAGTTTAACTTAAATAAAAGTAGAATTATTAATACTGACCTTGAGTAACGTGGTTTAATTTAAGTGAATTGACTCTTTACTTTCTTCGGTGAAGGGCATTGACATTCATTGAATTAAATGAAGTAATGTTATATCAGAAACTGGTTTATGTGGACCGAAAGCAAATAAATCAGAAGATAATTACGAAACTGAGAGGTATTTGCATAAAGGAATTAACAGAATTTTACGGAATAAACATGAAATATGAATGCAAAGCCCAATATCTACCAGTTATGATAAATGTCCAATTAAAATAAGAGGAGGCTAGACTTTTAATAGGTTCTAAGCCCAATCAGTTCCAAGTAAAGTCTGCTCTCTGCAGTATATAAACCTTCACTTTAATAAATCTGGATATGTATAGATGACGGTTTTTTTAGAGGAAAATCACCTAATGACTTCTCCCGCCCAGGGTAAGGCGAGAGAAAGTGTCAGTCTCTTACTGACGAAAAATATTTTTTAACAAAAAAACCGACTTCAAAATGTAAACTAAAAAACAAAAAATAATTTTTTGAGTAGGTAAGTGCCAAATGCCAAGTAAAACAATGTAGGTACGGATCAATACATGTTTCTAATACTGTTGTTGTTTAGTATGTAGCTTTTACTTGGCACCGACTTCAAGATTATAAAAATAGTTATTAATATTATTTTCTATTTACCTAAAGGAGAACATGTATTACTTTGTACAAAGAAAATTTATTTTTTGCTTTTTAGTTTACATTTTGAAGTCGGTTTTATTTTGTTAAAAATTATTTTATTTCACATTTTTAGTAAGATAGCCAGAGCAAGCAAGGATAAAGCTTTTCCAATGAGAAGACTACGGCTATTTGAGACTGAAAATCACGGTAATGGTAGTCCTGCAGAGTTAGTCAGTGTTTAGTGCTGTAAATTGTTGAGGAATTCCCTCGACTGTCAATGGTCTCCATCATCAGGTATACTGCAGACCGTCATTATACATAATCCATATAGGTGCAAAGTTCTCATCAATATAAATGAATTAAGTTCAACAACATATTTACTCCAAATAGTCAAAGAGATCTCACGACGGTTTCCCGGTTCCATCATCAGATTTACTATATAACTTCATTGTTACCCATATAGGTGCGAAGTTTTCATAGATATAAATGAATTAAGTCCAAACACGAGGTAGTGTACTGTAAACTGATCAGGATTTCCCTTAGCTGTCCTTCGTTCTCATCATCAGACCCCTAATGACAGTCACTACCAGTCTCGGTGCAAAGTGTTCACAAAGCAATTACTCCAATTACTCCAAAGCCCACACACAAGGCAATTACTCCAAATAGTTAAGGAGAGCCTTCGACTGTCTTTCGGCTTCATCATCAGGTCGAGTTCAACCATCGGCAGGTTGACGTAAATACCTGAATAACTTCAGAAAATATATGAATCATGCCGACTGTCCCTGTCTGTTGGCTCCATGAGGCCCGCGGGAAACGCTACGCGCCGTACAATCGAGTCTGGTTCTGGTTCGGCGGCGACGCTACCCTTACTCGCCGTCGCAGACCCGCTCATACGGTGGCCGGAGATCGTCGCTCGGTCTTTGCGACCATAACTGTTTCACAGAAGTAGGAGACGGCGTCCAGTTCCTCTCGCTCCGCACCATGGCCTCGAGTGAGGACAAGCGCGAGAGATCGCCGCCGCCGATCACTTCCCTGAGGACACGGCGGTGGAGGTGGTGGAGGGAGGTTTTTATTCAGTAAAAGTCTGACACTCCCTCGAAACATACTCATCTTCTGTAAATAGGTCCTAATGTTCTTGAATTAGAGCTCGTATTTTCCGTGTTACTCGGCCTTAGGGTTATAAGGCACACCAACCGCCTCGACTGTATGGCCTACCTAAAATATACAGGGTGTAAGGGACAGCCCTCCACAAATTAACAGAGTGCATTCAGCTCCTTATTCTGAATCATATTCCAGTGAAAATTCTTTCAGGAAAATTTTCAATTTTTTTTTCGTTTTTCAGTTCCTACACCTCTATTTCATGTATAATTACATTCTATGTATGAAGAATAACATTAATGTAAATAGCACAGCTAAAACAAAAAAATACGCAATGGTTGTGTGAATTCTCTAAAAAACTACGCATGAAATCAGCTGTTCAATTTCTACCTAGCTACAGTCGTTTGAACTCACCGCACCGCGGTCACGGCGCAGCGGCCGAGGCGCCCACCGCGCCGATCGCCGCGCCGTAGGTATACCTACGATCCCGTCCAACGTACAGAATAGCTGCGTCCCTTTCTGTCGCCCCGCCTCCGCGTGTCCCCATGTCCCCGATTCTTTGCACAATGTTTGCCCGATTGAACCAGTGTTGCCAATTTTTAACTTTTGTTACCTCAGGTTGTAAACGAAAATGTTAGAACTAGCGAAATTTATCTAAAACTTGAGAACTCCTTTGCATTCATAATTACATTGATGAGATTTTCATTAATCAATTAATGAAAATCATGTCGCGCACATAAATTGAATAAAAAATAAAGATTAGTCTAGTTTTAATTTTAAAGCATTTACAAATACTACCTAATTTATTAATTGATTGTTCTTTTCAAGCGATTACTGGCTAGTTTTTAAACTACTTACAGATTTTTACATGGCTTCACAATAGCCATGAATTGATAGTCGAGCCAGAAATTAAACACAATCTCCCTGGAATGGAAGCACAGCTTTCTATCACACTGCACTTTTATTATTCTAAATTAACTAAACAATGAAATTAGAATTAAATTGATTTAATCAATTCGTTTCTCTACAAAAAATTACAGAATGATAAATTACGACCATGCATAATTTTTCATTTTTTACCCCGAAATTTTGTATTTTTCGTGTAATTGGCAACAACAGATTTATGTCTGTGTGTGTCTCATCACCATGCAGTCGCCATTGTGCCTTGCTGCGATGTTACTGTTTGTGTACCGCGAGCGTGCGTCGGTACGGATCGCTCGCGCATTCGGCTTAAAAGTTTTGTTATAAGTAGTGTTGTTAAGTTTTATTAGTTATGTAGTGTGTGAAGTGTAGTGAAGTTTTGTCGTAGAAATTGTGCGAAATTACTACCTAGGTACGTTTAGCGCGCGTGATTATGGGGAGATGATAATGTGTTGTAGTAGTGTAGGTATCCTGACCGTCGGCATCCATCAGACTCCAGGATAATTACTGGTGACTATCAACGCTTGCTAGAAAACCAGCCCATTGTTCCCAGACAAAAAGGCGCCGGAAGACCAATACCTACGTGGATTTTGGAATTGGTTCGCTAACGTAACGAGACGCTACCACTTACCAGTGCTTTTCTATTTAAACGTAGTTTAGGTAGGTTTGGACCGCAACCGTGGCCAGCACGATCCCCAGACCTAACCCATTTGGACTCCTTTTTGTGGGGTTATGTAAAAGAAAAAGTGTTTGTGAGTGCGTGTGCAAGTGAGTACGAAATGCGAGACCGCATCACAAATGCTTTCCAGAGCCGGAAACCGGAGCGATTCTAAGGTACCTGCGCATTTTTCTTTTTTTAACATTTATCAGTTACCATGTTATGATTGTTAGATTTTCTTTTGTGAGTAATACGGCTATCTTTTAAATAATAATTTATTGTTATTAAAACGTGGCGCGAGCGCGACCGTTTGTCCGAAAGGTAAGGTCGCGGTGCTGCCCATAGTGTAAAGTAATAATACTAAAAGTGCTGCCGTTCGCTGCGTGCGTTTGCGGTGGTAGCGATACATTGCGTGTAAGGTAATGAAATAAATCGGTTTAATTGGATTCCCATAACGTTCCTGAAATAATTTCATGTACCGGTCAACTTAAGACGATATACTGAATCCACCTTATCAGTTTGCGGAAGGCTGTCCCTTACACCCTGTATAAGTCCAACGTGCCATTGCGGCCTATTGTAAGCCAAATTGCCTCACCGACTTATGATCTTGAATGGACGTTGCGTGATTACTACTCGACTACTAGACTCACGAGACTTCATCCAGATTGTAAAGAACCTGAAGTTGGAACCTGATAAACTCATGGTAAGTTTTGACGTTGAGTCGTTATTTATCAATATGCCAATTAAGGAGTGTCTGGATGTTGTCAAAGATGTACTTAGTGACAATGACACTACCTGGATGGCAATTACATCCTTTTTCAAGGCCAACATTAAGTCCAGTGACCCCTGTGCTAGCTAATCTTTGGATGGTACACTTTGACAGACACTGAGCCTCGGCCCAAAGACCATCAGGCTTTGGAAAAGGATGGATGATATTTTTAGCATTATCAATTGTGGTGAAAAGAAGTACGTCAATATGTAAATCACCTAAACAGTTTCTACCCAAAATGGCGCTTCACTTATGAGCTGAAGAAGGGCAGGTCGTTGTAATTCTTGGGCATTAAAATAACCGCGAGATTAGATGGGTCCTTATCGCACTGTGTATACCGAAAGCCAACTTTTGATAAAACAAAGTTTAGATGTTATTCTGAGTTAAAGCAAAGCAAATTGTGATAATTACAAGCAATTCAGTTCAGTACTTTCGGAGATAAATATAAAAATACATACACACAAACAGACAAAATATTCGAAAGAAAGCTTTTTGCTTTTTAATAATCTTTTTAAATCTATCAATCTCAGTAAAAAATACTAAATGTATTTACAGACAGAATATTTTTACCGTTTTATTATATGCACAAACAAATGTTCCGCCAAATGTAACACAAGATTATGTTTTGTGGTTGTAATACTTTTTAAATATTAATTATCGTGAGACACACAACAATTTATTTTCGCTGCGACGCAGATGCTGCTCATGAACAACAGTCCCGTTGTAACTTGAAGCTACTATAGCATTTTTCAGTTAATTCACGGGTAAAACTACAGTGGTACGACACGTTCAATAACAAACAAGATTAAAATAAAATAAAATAAATTGTTTTATTTATAACAAGATTCTTGAGACAACGAATAATGACTTAGACATAATTAAAGTGTAACAAAGAGGTTATCTATTAATTGAGATCTGAATTAGTGTTGGTTGTGGTGCTCGGGAACGATGTGCTTGGCGTGGCCCACGAACTTAACATTGGCGTTAAATCTGTAAAAAATGAAGAAATGTAGCTAAAAAGTTCTGAAATGTAAATCATATGGATGACTTCATTAAGTTGAATTTATAAACTTACCCAGTCTTCTTGTCAGCGTGATACTCAACGATCCTGATTGTACCGTCGGGCTCGTGTAGACTGTACACACCCTTCACGACGTCACCGTCGCGAGACTCGTGCTGCGATTTCTTGTCGCCAGTGTGCGGGTCCTCTACTTTGTAGGCAAACTCGTACTTGGGATGAGACTGGAATATATGATACAAATTGGTTATCATTAGATTTTGTAAACATGTTCATATTATAAGTATTAAAATTAACAGTTCATACATAGTAGACGACGTGCTTCTCAGTGCCATGTCCGTGGTGCTGCTTGATGCTCTGTGAGGAGGAGGCGTGGCCGTGGTGCTCCTCGTGGTGATGCTCTCCGTGATTCTGTTCCTCATGGTGGTCATCATGGTGGTACTGCTCGTAGTGATGGTCATCATGATAGTACTGCGCGTAATGGTGTTCATCTTGGTGACTCTGTTCGTGTTTGTTGCCTTGTTCCTCGTGGTGCTCTTCATGGCGCTCCTCGTGGTGTGCAGGGTGTTGGGTCTCGTGAGTGTGGTGCAGTACGATGCTCTGTGAGGAGATAGCGTGACCGTGGCCGTGGTGTTGGTCGTGATCGTGTTGTGGCCGCGCGGCGGCTGTAGCGATCACAGCTGAGAGGAGGAGGATCTGTAAACCAGAATGAGAAATTAGACTGTTTTTGTCACGAAAAATACTCACATTGATATATTTTTATATTATTGTTATTTATTTATTTGTTAATTTTATTCTTAAAATATATTATTGGAATTGTGAATTAAACCAAATAATAAGTATAAAAGGAAAATTTAATTTTGTTACTGAAAAATATTTTTTACCTTAAACATATTGATTTGAATGTTATTGCTTCTACTCTCAATGAAGAACTGATATTTTTCGACTTTAATATTTCGTTTTTATAGAAACCAAATGTGCCTACGTACACCAAAAATGAAAGACCAGTTTTTATTTTACTGAATGAAACATGACTTTATGTTAAAGTTACGACTTATTCCACGTATGTAATAAAACTTCAATGAAGGTTACTGTTACTAACCAAGAAACCTGATAATGAAACAAGATAATTGTGAATTAACGGATTGTGTAAGTTGTCTTACTGTCCCTTTAGACCTTATAAAAAGTAAAATTTTGCCATCCAAAATTATCAGTCACTGTTCAGTACTCGACAGTAAATAATACAACTTTTTCAAAATGTACAAGGTACTGAAACCTTTCAATTAAATATTTTTTATTTACATTCTACAGACTTTTGGGTAGTGACGAAAACTTAAATTCTAATTCCACAGATCATTCTAGCAGCTGCAGTGGTAGCGGTAGTCGCGGCACGTCCACAGGATGGTCACCACCACGACCACCACCATGCCTCCTCCTCACAGAGCCTCAAACAGTACCACGGGAAAGCTACTGAGAAACATGTCGAGTACTATGTAAGATGGCGCTTCAATCCAAACTAATTATTCCTTATAAAATAATCGAGATAGATATTGTTATCTAACTGAATAATATTTCAGGGTCATCCCAAATATGAGTTCGCGTACAAAGTGGTAGACCCACACACTGGAGACAAGAAATCTCAGCATGAGTCTCGCGATGGTGACGTCGTGAAGGGTGTGTACAGTCTGCATCAGCCCGATGGTACTATCAGGATCGTGGAGTACCATGCTGACAAGAAGACTGGGTGAGTGTTTTTACACGATCCTTCATAAAATTAAATAATACCTTTTGTAGGATCGTAGTACTAACTATTATATTGTCTATCATCAGGTTCAACGCCAACGTGAAGTACGAAGGTCACGCAGTACACGTTGTTCCTGAACATCACCATCACCACTGATTTATTTCAAACACATTCCATTTTCTTCAAATGAACTGTTCTGTTAATTCTTTAATTATAAGATTGTTGATTCTTGAACCTCAAAAATGTTGTTGTAGTAATGTAAATAAGTAATTAAAATAAAATTTCTTTATATTTTTAATATTCATAATGTATTTTTTTTATTTATTTACTCGTTGGATTTTGTTCTTAGTCGTGATTGCGTTTAAAAACATTCAATTTCACATGCACAAGACACCCAGACCCGAAACAACAATTTGTGGATCACACAAAGTCCGATTAGATCTCCTTTCTAATTGATACGAAAATAATGTTTTGCTTTTCATGTGGTATCATTTGTGTATCTGTTGATATAAATGACAAATTGGTTTTGACATTTTCTTTAATAATTCATTATTTGTATTTGAAGACCATTAAATCGCCTCACGATATAAAGTTTATTTCCATGATCAAGATTGCACGTCACACTAATGGTTGGTTGGTGGATTATTGGCGAATTTTAATTACGTCAAATATAATAATAGCTTATTAATAGAATTACTTAAGTGCAGCTTATGGAAAACTTATGAAAAGTTCACACTGGGCTGTTCAAGAATGTGTATCTCATAGGGATAGCCACTGACCAAAATGTTCCCTTTACCTATACAGTAAAAATTTTATTGTAACAACGTATTGTTGGGGTGCCTGTTTAAAACAGTACTTTTATAGTAATGAAATTGGATGTACCTTCTTTTTATATAAATTAATATTAAACCTTTTCTATATTGTACAGTTCCTTTTTATCGTTGCTGTATTAGCAACGGTGGCTGCACGACCTCATCACGATCACCCGCAAAAAGATAATAGTGTCCGCATCTTATTGCCACTAAACCTTTTACTGGACCCAACTCACGATGCCAAACACGGAACCGCACATTCCGAAAAACACGAAGATAAACACCAACACCACACTACCACAAAAGATGGCCACCAACGACTCCACGGAGAGCACCGCTATCATCACAAAACATCATTACCAGGACATCATCACAAGGAGCATCATTACCAAAAACAGCCTCTTGAACAACACCACGATCAAACCTCGTCCTTACATAACATCAAGCAAGCCAAAGAAAAAGGAACTAATAAATCCGTCAAGAACAGTGTAAGTTGCAATTGAATTAAATATAGTTTTTTCTCAAAATAGCTTAATAAAAAGTTGAAAATTTAAAATAGATTATGTTGCAGGATGATTCCAGTTCTGCTGAAAAATACACTCGTGTACCAACTGAAACTACAATAATAATAGTTAAGTTTATTAATATCTTTAAAATAGTTGTTCAATTTCAATTGATTAAAAAAACATTTTTGTTTGTAAATAGTATTCAAATTTGATATTATACTTAAATAATTTATTGGAAAATATATAAAAAACAATATGAATGAAAAAATACTCAATATCTACCTAATTGTTCTATTGCAGATGCAGCCTCAATTTGACTCCAACAGGGACAGCTACACCGGTGGTAAGATACCCAAAAACCAGGCTTATGAAGGTGACCTTATTAAGGGTGTCCATAGTTTGCATCAGCCTGATGAACCTTACAGAATCGCAGAGTATTATTCTGAGAAGAAAAGTGGTTGTATATACAAAATATTTCCTAGATTGGTACTTACTTTAATCATTTCTACTGTAATTATTAAAAAAAAATACCAATCAACTGGTTTACTTACCCTTTTATTTTATTTGCGCAGATTGAACGCCTACCGAAAACAACAGCTATTATGCATCCACATCATTCCTGAATGCTGCTACTTTAAGACTGTTAAATGATAATTGTTGAATTTTATTATAATAAATATAATTATGATACCTGATTTAATTTATTTCATTGTTCCCATTATATACTTAATATTAACAATATATTAATAAATGGTATTGCGGTTATAAAAGTAATTTATTTGACATTATAATATGACAAATGTTGAAGGTAAATACAAAATCATTTTCACTAATATTCACATTAACCTATGTATATAACTTGTTAAGAAGTATAGTTCTAACTTCAAAAATTTCCTCTAGTGTAGTGATTTGCTCGTTCTAAAGGGTAGATTCTAATTAAAAAGAACGAGCAACAAACACCATTCATCTTTAAAAGTTATATTCCTTAGATTTTCGCTCTTCCTAACTAAATAACATCCTGTTCCTTCCCCTGCTCCGGGCTGGACTGAGACCGCAGTAAATTGCACTAGGAGCCGCAACCCAGATAAATAAAAGTAGCCAATAACAATAAAATTATATCAGCAAAGTCTTCAAGATAAGGTATTATTCAAGCTTTCGAGACAGATCACCATAATGTATGTATGTAATTGTATAATGGGGATTTATAATATGTGTTAAAAATAAAATATGGCAATATTATGTTTTGTATTAATTATTATTTTCAAATAAATTATTTACAAATTAACACATGCTTTGCTCAATAAATAACATAATATTCAAAAAAGTTTCAACAATGCAGCGTTTCTCTTAGATTGAACTGGATCAGTGGTGGTGGTGATGTTCAGGAACAATGTGAATGGCGTGACCTTCGTACTTCACGTTAGCGTTGAATCTGTGACACGATGGAAACAATAATTATTTAAACATCAACAAAAATCTAAGTTGTCTTTTTAGGACTTAAAATAATTACCCGGCCTTCTTGTCAGAGTGGTACTCCACGATCCTGACAGAACCATCAGGTTGATGCAGACTGTACACGCCCTTCACGACGTCACCATCACGAGCCTCATGCTGGGACTTTTTGTCACCGGTGTGAGGGTCCACAACCTTATACGCGAATTCGTATTTGGGATGAGCCTACAAACAATAAAGAATGTTATTACAAATTTCATGTAGACACAAACCGGTTTAATAATTTCTATATAACAATAATTCTTACATAGTACTCGACGTGTTTTTCAGTAGCCTTTCCATGATACTGCTTGATGCTCTGTGCAGAGGAGGCGTGGCCGTGGTGTTCTCCATGATGTTGTTCTTCGTGAAGCTGTGCCCCATGGTTTTGTTCCTCATGGTGGTAGTCGTTATGGTGGTACACCTCAAGGTTGTGTCCACCATATTGGTGCTCGTCATGTTGCTGTTCCTCGTAATGGTGGTTATCTTGTTGTTGTTCTTGGTTGTCATGATGGTACTGTTCTTCATGGTGCTCCTCATGATGGTGTATGGGGTGCTTGATCTCTTGAGTGTGGTGCAGTACGATGCTCTGTGACGAGATGGCGTGACCGTGACCGTGGTGTTGGTCGTGACCATGACCGTCTTGTGGCCGCGCACCAACCAGCGTAACAACCGCGGTGAGGAGAAAGATCTGTTCAAAGTTAATGGATTAGAATGTTTACGTAATACCCAACGACTAATGGATTTAATTGAACAGGAATATTTTTAAATTTACTGCAATTAAAACACTTTATGATTTTTTTGTCTGATATAATTAACTCTTACAATAAAATAAAACTTATTTTTTTTTACTAAAAACCGTACCTTGTACATTTTACAGGTTTGTATGTTTACTTTCGGAGTAATAAACAGTAACTGATAATTTCTCAGTGTATGATTTGTCTTTTTATACGAACAATTGAACACATTAAAGGTACTGGCTGAACCAGTTTGCGGTACATTTTGCCATTTTTTGGTAAAATGTGTTGACCTTGAGCAAGAACACTTCGCTACCAAAAATACCTAAACGTTCATTTAAAAGGGGTGAACGATATTTTGTTACATACTTAGGTATAAAAAAAAAATACAGAAAATATATACAGTTCAGAACTGTCATATCATTTCATACGAAATTACTTAACTTCTTAAAACAATAGTAAGCTTTTACGATGTTAACATCTACTTTTTAAAAACTCTTTTTTTAAGTATTTCTATGGCATCATAATGAAAAGTTATCTCATTCCTTTTCCTGTTCCAAGCTGAGCCGCGGCACATTTTTGTTGTTGCACCCTTAAGCCTGCCTGGAACTTTGAAGTAAAATTTGGATGTGGCATAGGGTGTACTACAGGGATCGATCTTAGGCCCTACTCTCTTTATAACATACCTACACACAGTAAAGCCAATCAAACACTGTAAGTATTATATTATACGTTTATATTTAAATACATCTTCTATGTAATCCACAAGATTATGATTCTGCAGTCGGGGTTATTAAAAATATTTAAAGGAAATAGTAAGTTGATCAGAGAGAAAATTTTTAACATTACAGAATTTATGACTTTTGTATCTCATTAATTGGAATTGGAAAAAATGCTTTAGGCAGTGTTGCATGTAAAAAACGGCAGAAACCTGGGTTTTGTAATGGAGGACAGTTTTACATTTGAGCGCTATAATATTATTGTGTGGCTTGTAGTCTTAAGTACTGTCAAAATTAAATTACGCAGATACAGTCATAGGTCCCATTTTGACCCGTGCTGAGAGACAAAAACAAACTGCGTTCGTTTTCCTTTTATGTACCACCAAAAGTACATGTATAAAACATACCTATTCTCAACAAGCATAGTGTATTAGAAACGAAATCACGTCATAAACTTCATATGGCTTTTCTCTTATTTGGTGTATTTATATACATGTATTAAGCATTGGGATTAATGATATGCACAACAGCTAGTCATTCCGCAACACAACATGGCAGTTTTTAGTGGCTGCTGCTGGATTCAAATACCGCTACCTATAAAAAATTATAGTTTCACGATAAAATTAAAAACTTTAATATTGACGACCCAAAATAATCCCATGCCCCGTAAAATTTTTGTTCAATTGCATGTAAATAAAAATCGAGGGAAGCTTTTATGTTTGTTGCTTACGCACAAATTATTTACTAACACATCCACAAAAATTGCTGTCACCGTAATTTATCGTTCTTTTTTTCTAGACATTATATTCTAACCTACCCTGATGTAGTACTTTAATTTAAAGGATATATCTAATTATTTTTTATATCATATCATTAAATCGAATAAGCTAAGTTCTTACAAAGTTACATCACAGTCAAACAAAAATGTTAGAAAATAAAATACTTTTACGAAGAGGAAAATTGTGAATGTCCTTGTGAATTTGAAACCTGGAACACACGTATATAACTCTTATTGGAGCATAAGTAACATACAGCGAAAAAAATCATCGTGAAGATTTATAAATTTAAAATTGCCGATGATGATTTCCTCTCTATTTGGGAAAAGGCATTATTGCTAGACATCCCAGTCAACTACGTACCTACAACGTAACTAATAAATTCACTAACTACTAAATGTAACTAATTTAGTAGTTAGTGAATTTCAGCCGGAGAATACGTTTCAGCCGGTATCAACAGAATTACTGTTTTTTTCTATCTTATTAAAAAATCCAAACCTGTTTTTTTACTAGCCTGTATATGTATATGTTCATACTGATACTTAACTATTTTTTTTAAATCTACGTTTTTCACTTAAATGATTGTATTTACGCTTCCCTTTGTTTAATTTGGTTTATTGCACTAACTACCCACTACGTTTTCCCTGCAGGCTGAACTACACGATATTATTTTCTTAAACATACTCTTGTGCAATAATAGGATGAAGACTTGTTTACATAATGCCGTGCGTATTCTTTACCACGCAAGCCTATTTATTATTTTATTAATCCACTAATAATAATTATACGGATCGGCATGGCAGCTTGTGGCGAGCTGTTGGGCAGTGGCGACCCCACGGACTGACTCCCAGGAGGTGTCTTGTTCTTCTCTCTCCCGTTAGTCCTCGTGACTAGCTGGAGTGAACACTGAAGTGGAACAAGCCCTCCTACCTCATTCTTGCCTTAATTGGCTGGCTTGAGTGGAGACTCGCAAGAGTAGGAGATGAAGTAGTCGGGGGAAGGATGTATTTCAGTAAGATGCTGGTAGGGGTCTAGACCGTACTTCCGGGATTGCTCTGTTAGCCGTGGGATGCCTCTCCTTCCCCAAGCAGCTCAACGTATGTTGCCCCCTTGTCGCTACATGATAGCGGCCGTTTCCGGGGGCCCATTAATTGAGTTTGCCAGTCACCCCCTGCCTGTTTATCCGTATGTATCAATATTGGTCAGGGGCAGGGGCCATAGTATTTCCATAGTTATCATATTCACCAATATATAGCAATCCATTCCCATAACCCTATAAATTTTTACCACATTTCGCAATAGTCCTGCATCAACCGGGGATTGATAATTGCCGGCTGATGTCCCATTTCACTTACATTAAAGTTGTTGCGCTCTGCGAGTTGGCTTCGGCCCCTCGTACGCCTTCCAAAAGTCCGGGACCCTGTGGTCCCGTGAGTGGAAAGGATTATACGGAAGATTGCGATCAATATTTTTTTTTATTTATTTATCATTTTAACAAATATTACTAAAAAAAATTATTATTAAAATAACACTAAGGTTTACTTGTGCTATCATTAATCATCTCAAATCGAAACAAATTTAGTTATAGTTAAAATATAAGACTGACTCAAGGAACATAAATGCCCTCTAGCAAGAGGACGGCTCCGCAAACAACGCGCCACGTCTCCGTGAATGAGACCGAAATATTCAAATACTATATTTCAAATCGAATGCTTTTCGGGAGCAAATAAAATTGTATGTGTAGAATCGGATAGGAGTATTCTACTTATATGTAGGATAAAAACGTTTAAAAATTAAAGTAAGTATATTCAATTATGGAAATGCGTAATCTTATATTCATATATATGTTATGTATGCTGATCGCTGTGTGTTTGAGACTGTCAAAAGTCTCAGAGTAATCCACAAAAGCTCCCAAGAGTTACACACCAAAACTGAATAAAGTTACCTTAGTAGTTCTGGTATAATTTAAAAATCTCAATAGAAAAAGTATAAAGCCTGAAACAATATTAAATTATACTTTTGTATAGAAAAACAAAAATACAAAATTAGGCAATATAATGTCACGACTTGAATGTCGACTTGGTGACTAGAGCGGCTGCGTATCGCGTGTTCGTTTTCCGCACGGAGCAAGTTTTTGTTTGATCTACAAATTGTTGTTCCATGTCTGGGTATGATGTGTAAGTTTGCGAAATTGTATGATGGATATCGATTGAATTAGTGTTCGCCATATTAATTTTTTCAACGTATTCGTGTGTTTTGATGTTAAGTTTTCTTGAAATATGTATATGTCACCGGAAAATAACACGATCCGTAAGTTTATCATTTTACTAGGAAGTTTATAAACTTTCGTAAGATTCTAAACGGGAGATAAATTGTAATATTTTACGTCCACATTCTCGTAAATTGATAAACTTACTGAACTCACTCGTAAAATAATAAGTAAGCAGTAACCAAACGCTACGCGCGATCTGATTGGTTGGCTGTCACGTGTTACTTCTCCTTAATCGCGGCCGCCATTGCTGGCCACGGAACATAAACAAACCGGTTTGTTATTGAAACTGATAATAGAAAACTCAACTCACTACATCCGTGCCAGAGGAGAACCAGCCATTGTTGCTTTTGCTTCCAATTTTCAAATTCCAAGTTTGTCAAGTCTGATCATTCCAAAGTCTATGGACACAAGCATTGCCACTATGAACATTGATCAGAAAGAAAGCAGTGTGTTATTTTAAGTATTTCAAAGATCGTATAATAATATTTAAAAGAGTTTCTGTGATTGGTCGAACCATATAAAATCTTACGAATAGATATTCGTTAGTTTATAAATTTACCGTATGACGTCGGAAATTGATAAATTTACGAAAACGTGGACGTAAAATATAACAATTTATCTCTCGTTTAGAATCTTACGAAAGTTTATAAACTTCCTAGTAAAATGATAAACTTACGGATTTTGTTATTTTCCGGTGACATATATATACTGATATTTTTTTTTCCTAATCTACTTTTTTCACAAGAATGATTGTATTTACGTTTCCCTTTGTTTAATTTGCTTTTTTGCACCCACTACGCTTTTCCTGCAGGCTGAACTACACGATACTACTTTCTTAAACGTACTCTAGAGCAATAATAGGATGAACACTTGTTTACATAATTCCATGCGTATTCTTTACCATGCAAGCTTATTTATTATTTTATTAATCAACTAATAATAATTATACAGAACATTGCGATCAATACAAGACTGACTCAAGGAAAATAAATACCCGCTACCAAGAGGACGGCTCCGCAAAGAACGTGTCAAAAAACGTCTCCTTGAATAAGACCTAAATATTCAAATATATTCCAAATCGAATGCTTTTCGAGAGCAAATAAAATTGTATATGTAGAATCGGATAGGAGTATTCTAATGTAGGATAAAAATGTTTGAAAATTAAAGTAAGTATATTCATTATGGAAATGCGTAATCTTATATTTTTTAATAAATTAGGTAATTACAAATCAACACATCATGCTTGTTCAATAAATAACAATGTTAAAAAAGTTCAACAATGTGAATTTCTTTCAGATTGAACGAAATCAGTGGTGGTGGTGATGCTCAGGAACTATGTGGATGGCGTGACCTTCGTACTTCACGTTAGCGTTGAATCTGTAAAGAAATTGACACCAAAAATTATTAAAAATCAAAGAGTATGTTAGTTATCTCTTCAGGACTTTTGATAATTACCCGGCCTTCTTGTCGGAGTGGTACTCCACGATCCTAATAGAACCATCAGGTTGATGCAGACTGTACACGCCCTTCACGACGTCACCATCACGAGCTTCATGCTGGGATTTCTTGTCACCGGTGTGAGGGTCCACAACCTTGTACGCGAACTCGTATTTGGGATGAGCCTACAAACAATAAAGAATGTTATTAAAAATTTCATTTAGTCGCAATAATAGATTCTACATAACAATAATTCTTACATAGTACTCGACGTGTTTTTCAGTGGCCTTCCCATGATACTGCTTGATGCTCTGGGCAGAGGAGGCGTGGCCGTGCTGTTCTCCATGATGTTGCTCTTCGTGATGCTGTTCCCCATGGTTTTGTTCTTGGTGGTGGTAGTCGTTATTGTGGTACACCTCAAGGTTGTGTCCACCGTATTGGTGCTCGTCATGTTGCTGTTCCTCGTAATGGTGGTTATCTTGTTGTTGTTCTTGGTTGTCATGATGGTACTGTTCTTCATGGTGCTCCTCATGATGGTGTATGGGGTGCTTGATCTCTTGAGTGTGGTGCAGTACGATGCTCTGTGATGAGATGGCGTGACCGTGACCGTGGTGTTGGTCGTGACCATGACCGTCTTGAGGCCGCGCGGCGGCCAACGCAACTACAGCGGCGAAAAGAAAGATCTGCAACATTTGAAAAGACAATAGAATACTTAGGTAATACGTTATAACAAAAATAATAATTGAAGTAATTTTGTATTAGCTCTATCCCAACTATTTTTTTTTTTCAACAAATGCAATAATGTAATGTAATGTAATGCAATATAACTTATTTTTCGCAATTAAAAACAGTACCTTGTACATTTTGATGGTTTGTATGTACTTTCGAAGTACTAAACTGTAACTGATAATTTCTCAGTGCATATTTTTTCTTTTTATATGAACGATTTAACATGTTTAAAGGGACTGGAGAAACCAGTTTGTTGTATATTATGACATTTTTGTATATAATAATATGTGTAACGAAAAAACTTTACGATCTCGCTCAATAACCTTGAGCGAGATCGTAAAGATATTTCGTTGTCAAAAGTTAAATAAATATACCTGTAATTGAAGAAAGTAGCTTATGGAGCAAAACATACTGTGGTGTCAGCAAATAAAATTATTATTGCGGTTTATTTATGTTTTTAATTTTTGCCTGCCTACTGAGGGCAAAAAAGAATTGAATTATTTTACTTTTTGTATTTACCATGTCTTAGCTAATAAAATCTTCAGTTTATTTAATTCCGAAGATTATTTTATTACAATTTGGTTGCATATAGCGGCACACTCTTGATGGTAAGCAATTACTGCATACCGCTCCTTATTTTGATAATGAACACTAGTTCATCAATTTAGGCTTATCGCAAATATTCTTACTTTTTAGTTAATCATTTCTCTATTGCCTCTTGTTGCAATGAAATGTCTACATTTGGGGCTCCCTAAACGTGTTATATTATATTATTACATCATTACGGCAGGTGCCACAATGCCACCCAGAGGCATATTTACCGACGCGACACTGAATAACTTTAAAATTTTGTTTGACGTTAGAAAGTGCCTGTAAGGGTCTAATAGAAATAAATTATTTTGACTTTGACTTTGCACGAGAACCACCTGAAGGGCACAGTGGAGCATACGGTGTAGGTGTGCCTTGCTAGGATCGGTTTTGGTGACGGCTCGTGTCCAACGCTCGTCTGAAATCGATTCTACTTCATCACCCGTTACAGAAGACGCTCCCATGGTCGGCAATCACGCAACGATCTCCAAACCCGAAACAATAATTTAAGGTTCACTCAAAGAGATGTATCGTGCGGGATTCGAACCTGCAACACGTTGCAAGGCAGTCGGTTGTACAGCCACTGTGTAGTCAAGTTAAACATATTTGACACACCCTGAATTATTATTAGTTAAGCAATTTTTAAGTATAATATCGTTCTTCTAAAACAAAAAAAATCAAAGACCTTGATAGTGTAAAAATAACGGTTCAATTAATACGAATCAGTGACCTAAACCAGGCAATGATATTATTATAATTTATTAAATTTTAGTTATCTCACTCAAACCGGGTCACTTTTTGTTTCAGATAAACTGAATAGTTTCAAATCAATTGTTAATGTTCACTTTGTTCTGATGTTGGGAAAATTATTATTTGTTCAACAAGACTCTTGAATATTTTTTTTTATACAATAGTGTATAGTCTTGACAGTATATGTATTTTTATATAAACAACTAGCTACTTTAGCGTGGTTTCACCCGCTGCTCAGCTCCATTTGATTGTAACCTGATGTTTTATAGCCTATAGCACTCATGAACATTGTAGCTATCTATCAGTGAAAGAATTTTGACAATCCGACCAGCGTGAGCGGTTCCAAAGATTACATACAAACATACAAACTTACAAACTGACAAATTTTACCTCTTTATAATATTAGTATAGATATTTGCGTCTCACTTTTTAACTTTATGTACATACCTATTATATTTTTAGGGTAATATTGCTTTCGTTATAAGAATTTGGGATTTAAAATGCATTATTGACAAAAAATAAATGACATGAAGGGGTTGTCGGTAAATAAAATCAAGAATTTTAAAGATTGAAACGTGTAATATAAAAAATATAAACTCAGCAACAATTAAACATTTGATCACAGTTTGTAATGAGAAAAGTAAAGGTAATATCACAGCTTTGGCTTAAATCAGTAGTGGGCGTTGGCATGGTGGGGCACGATGTGGTGGGTGCTGTGCTTCACATCAGCGTGGAAACTAAAAAAAGAAAATGATGATTAAATAATGATTTGAATTCCTTTATAATCAGCAACGCATTTATCATACTGACAATGTTGCAAGTGTACTTTAGTGTCCAGTAGATAGGCCTGAGTGACCATTTACTATTAGATGGCTTACGGTTTTTTTTTTTTTTGTGAAGGGAAAATCATCAAATGACTTCTCCCGCCCAGGGCCGGGCAGGAGGGAGTGTCAGACTGACTAAAAACCCCCTGTTCCTTCTCCTGCTCTGTGCCGAGGTCGCGGTACCTCATTGCGCTTACCCCGCAACCCCGGCTGAACATCAGCCCTTTAGGGCCCCGTCTGTGGTGGTCGAATGGCTCTTTGAGGCGCGCGCGGAACGCTACGCGCCTTACGCTCGGGCCTGGTTCTGGTCGGGCGGCGAGCTGCCCTTACTCGCCGACCGCAGGGCCGTGCTTACGGTGGCCGGAGATCGTCCCTCGATCCCCGACGCCCGTAGTGTCGCCAGTTGCGGCTGCTGGGTAGTGAGGAGGAGGATTGCTCCCTCACGCGGGCCGCCTCTCTCTTTGCGAGCATGACTGCTTCACAAAAGGAGGAGACGGCGTCCCAGTTCCTCTCACTCCGCACCATGGCCTCGACTAAGGCCGGGCGCGAGAGGTCGCCGCCGCCGATCACTTCCCTGAGGATACGGCGGTGCTCAGCCCAGGCAGGGCATACCGCTACCGTATGCTCCACCGTAGCAAAAAAGCTTGCGGACCTTTTGGTGGTTAGCAGAACTATTTTTGTAAAGATGTAGTGTGTAAATTTTTTTGCTATTTTTTATATAATGAAAAGCTAGATGAATTTTTATATGAATATGCCTTTTTTGCTATTATATTAGCTAGCTAGGACTACTTCATTATTTTAAATGTCATTAGTGCAAGATCGACATCATTATTTTGAATTGGTATAGTCATAAATTGGAGAATATGTTTCTCAAAAGTGATCATTACGTTAAACAGTTCTTTTCTCTTACCCAGAGTGCTTGTCACCGTGGTATTCAACGTGTCTGATGGAGCCATCGGGCTGGTGGAGAGCGTAGTAGCCCTTGACGACGTCACCGTCGCGGTGCTCATGCTGAGACTTGATGTCGCCGGTGTGGGGGTCTTCTACCTTGTAACCGAACTCGTATTTGGGGTACGCCTGAAATTTTAGAAGGACTTTTTATTAGAATGGGAAAGACTTTTGTTTCATTTTGTCAATATGGTTCTCAACGAACTTGGTATCAATTTTCAGGGAGTATAAAGTTCATCAGCACGGCTTGTTTTTTTTTTTGTAAAATAAGGAATATTTACATGAAATTAATCACCAATGATATCTTTTTCGTAAGGTGAAATTTAACTTACATAGTAGTCAACGTGTCCATGACCACCATCGTGTCCGTGGCCATGACCATATCCACCATGACCGCCATCATGGCCATGGACATGGACGACTTCTGCGGGACCGTCATGACGATGGATGTACTGGGAGGAGTAGCCATGACCATGACCGTATACCGCCTCCAAGGAAGCTACGATAGCGACGAGACACAGGACCTGAAATTTAACAGCAATGAAGGATACTATTAATATCATCAGTTTTTAAAAACTAGGGCTATTTATAGGAACAAAGGATATCTGAAAGATTTTAAAATTTGTCTTTTTGGGATAGTTGTTTACACCATTCTTTCTATACTCATAATATTAAGTTTTTTCCGAACAAGGGGTAAGTAATGTGTAGGGGATGTTTCGGGAGCACTAAGGAAATGTAACCAGTAGCCTTTTGGCCGATGGTGTTAGAAAAACACCCTTCACAGAACACTTCCACACAAAACACTTCACTTAATAAACACTAAGGGTTGAATAAAATGTTTACCTTGGAGAACATTTTGGGTAAATAAATTGTATTAGCTGTTGTGCTAATGATAGGAAAATCAATAGTTGACTGATACATAATGAGCAAATTCAACGTCTTTTATATCAATAACAAAGTTAGTCAAGGTGATATAGATTTCTCTCTAAGCTATGGACAAGCAGTACAAATTATTCACGAACTTCAGTAAGTATGCGTTTGCAATGAATTTCGTAAAAGCGTTTGTTCGGTATGACTACGTATACCTTGCAGTGTGACATTGCACAGTTTGTTATAAGTGAATTGCGCAAGATTCTGTGTGTTGACACAAATAATAATTGAACAAAAAGTGGCCTAAGTGATAATCAGTTGCAGTAGTTTGGTTAATGAAAAAACTGATAGAGTATTAATGAAGTCGAATGTTGCTGCAAACGACGTCGTTTTTGTATGCGGACGCAACTTGTGTGTGGATAAATACAGCTTTCATAACACGTGCGAGCGTAAATGATATTTTGTAGTTAAAAGTTATTTTAAGCTTTATAAAACGAATATGTAATAATTATTTAATAAGTATTTCCATGTATATTTGGTAGCATGCCAAATTATACCTATTTTAGGCGTAAGATATTATTTCGAAAATCTCTTTATGGACGATTTGGTTTCTTGCTGAGTATACGAGAATGATACATTTTTATTTATCTTGAAATTTGTATTGTATATACCTACATGTATCGTATCAACCTACACCTTTGTATCGTGTGTTGCCTGATAAACATAATAAAAGCATTGCGTTCAGAGGTTAAATAAAAATAACTCATTAAGTTAGCTTTGTTAAGAAGCCGAAATTTAATGTTACTTCTATTCTGTAATTTGTAAATATTATTAACAATTGATTTTCGATTAATTGAATTATATCATTTTTATTTAGTGAACTAAAAATTTTACATTTTCTGACAACTTTGCTTGTACTATTGGTTGAATTGTAAATATGAGTATAACCAAAATTTACAGAAGTATGAACCACGATGTCTGGAGATATTATCATCATCAGCCTATAAATGACCATGCTAACCAATTGTCTCTTCTCACATGGAGGCTTCCCTCTCTTAAGTGGATAAATGAGCCAAGCTTCGGCCCAAATGGGTTGGCTTGGAAAACTGGTGTCAAACTACTACAGCGTTGTGTTTCGCCGTGTGAGTGAGGTTACCAATCCTTAAATATCCGAAACCCTTATCCCTAAAATGCCGGCAACGCATTCGTAACTCCTTTGGCGTAGCGGGTGTATATGGGCGGCGCTGACTGCTTGCTATCAAGTCCGTATGCTCGTTTGCCGACCTATACCATATACAATGGGGAAGATTTGATAAAGTCCACTACAAGCGGGAGTCTTAAACTTAATCTCAAGGCGACCACATCATATTTGTTTGGGAATCTTGTAAATACATTGAAAGATCGTGAATTTGTATGACTCTAGGCTTAAACAGTTTAGGGACCTACTAAGTTAGCCAACTCATATTATTTACAAAGTCTTTAACGAAAATTAAAGTTTATTGGATGCAAAATTACTCAGAACCTGGGGTGGATATGAGTAAAAATCTGACACTTCTAGGCCGGGGCCATAGGATATTATTGAGCTTGCAACCCACTTGGCTTGTTAAAAACAGCCAAAAGTTTCTAATGCAGACTTGACTCTAGCTAGATGGTACTAGGGTCGCCCCTAGTTTAATGAAAATACACACATTTCTAGCAAAATGTGCATGTCCATTAAGTACATAATATATTTACTATATAGGGTTTTGCGAATTTTATTTTGTTTTGACTAAAAGTTTTTAGCTGAACATATTATTTCTCTACTAGTTACTTACTACAAATAGGTATAAAATAATGAAACGTTATTTATGAGACAGTTTCAGAAAATATTAGATGAGATACATTAGGATAGGTAGGAAATGATCTCTAAAGAAAGAATTTTATAATTTCTGAATTACAAAATGCTCTTTTATTTATTAAGATTATAAAATTAAGGTTTTTACATATAATCGGCGTTGTTGTTATGAAGGTTACATTTATCGTGGTTACTTTCATATTTACTTTCGATGACAGATTGGGTACTTTAAGTGCTGAAGAAATTAAGACTTGCGTAAAGATTCACGAACTCAGATTACGTGTGTGAACCAGATTTTCAGAACGTACCTTTATTTTGCCGAAACCTGTTTTATTTCTGATAATTTTTGAGTATAAAATTAAAGATTTTTTGGGATCCAGCATCATACGTGTACCAGCTTTTGAAGGAACAGCAGCAAGATGTTCACTAAGGTATAGTTTTATATCATTCTTACCTAAGAGCTTTATTATATTATTTATAAGAGCTTATACATATTATTAGTAAAGAGGTTATTTCTTATATCCGGAAGAATTCTATGACACTTGCCATAGAAAATAATTGAATATTATTTATTTGACCGACAATACATTTATCAGTTCATCTATTACTTTTTCTGAAGTCTTACTTAGACTTCAGAAATAAGGATAAGAATAATAAGGTAGGCATTAAATAAAAAAAGACCCGTGACTAACATATAAATACATTATATACAATTGTGACCAGTAAAAAAATCTATACATTAGTGTCATGAAATAGCAATAAATTGCTCTAATGGCAATATTATACAATTAGAATATCTAAAACTCTTTCACGTCTAGACTATTTACCTGTCCAAATAGCAATGTAACGGAATGCATTTAGGTAGTTTTGTATGTTGATGAAAAGAAGTAATCTAATTTCTAGGGCCTATTTATTATAAGATGGACTATATATCATTCTAGAAGTAAAAGAAGCTGTTATTGTATAATATCGAAGTAATAATTATGAATGTTCTATTCCAGATAATTGCAGCAATGATTTTAATGGCAGCAGGATACTGCCAAGACCATCATCATCATTCCATCTCCTTAAAATCAGTTATCAAGCATGAAACACCAAAGAAAGTGGAACACCATACCGTATATAAGGCGCCTGTACAAGCTCATGTAGTCCAAGCAGTTCATGCTATTCCTCAATACCATGGAAATGTGCAATCTCATGAGCAAATCCAGCATCACGCTCCTAAACATTACTTCGTTCCTGCCAAAGAACCTGCACCAGTTCATGAAGTCGTTGGTGTTGAAGCTCCAGTTCACTATGTTCCTATTGTTCCTGTGCATCATGTGGTTCAACAGGCTCCTCACCATGAAGTTTCACATCACAAAGAAACTCATCATAAGGAATCCCACGACGATCATCACAACTACCACGTTGACTACTATGTGAGTACTACAGTACTTACTTAAAAATGTTAATTTTTGAATTAGCTATTATGATGACCTAGCTAGCTCACTACTTAAAAATGTTAATTTTAGAATTAGCTATTATGATGACCTAGCTAGCTATGAGCTATGACAAAAATATTTGATGTACAATTCAATAGTAAACTTATTGTGTAAGCAATTGTTGGTTAACCAAACAAATAAATACATAAATAAATCAACAATTAACCAAAGTTTAAAGGAATTGAAATACCACAAAAACGCTTGGCTATTAGAATTTATCAAACTCATGATGTGTTAATATGTAAATATTTTTACAGGCTCATCCCAAATACGAGTATGAGTACAAAGTAGAAGATCCTCATACTGGTGACAAGAAGTTCCAGCATGAGTCTCGTGATGGTGATGTCGTGAAGGGCGTATACAGTCTGCATGAAGCTGACGGCTCCATCAGGACAGTCAAATATACGTCTGACAAAAAGACTGGGTAAGTTCTATTGACAGTTTTTTGGGGTAAATTATTAACTTACAACTGTTTTCATGGTTTTGGTTTCTGTTAAAACATTATTTAGTTTATGGATTATGAGAATTTTTATTTTAGAGTCACTTGATAATACTATATACCTCACTAAATGAAAAGATTTTTTTCGCATCAAGTGAAACAGTTAATAAAAACATCCAAACACATTTTAACTTTGAAATTCCTTTTTATTTTTAGCTTCAATGCTGAAGTTCTACACAAGGGCCACTTCAAACACGACCACCATTATCATCATTAATTAGTCACCGATTTTTAAATAATAATGATTGCCTATTTATTGATTTAAGTTTAAAATAAATGTTTAAAATTTAACAAAAAAATACTTTATTTCCACCTCTACACAAGACACGATTGAGACATCATAAAGGCTAGAAATAAGTAAAAATCTGTATGCATCAGTGACATAGATTTCCGATAAGTAGAAGAAATCCGTATTAACTTACATCATGGAAAGTTAACCGCATCGCTTGTTACATATATCCACATACGAAAGCATGTAAACTAAGCAATAAGGAAGGTATTAAATACTAAAGTACCCACGACGAATGTCGATGTCATTTTGATTAGGAACTTGAAGTTAATATCGCACCTTAAATGTTCTGTGAATAGACATTTTTATTTAATCTGTATTTTGAAATCATCTTCTTCTTTCTTTACCTTTTTCTTGATTTAAATTAAATATAAATTAATTACAAAGCAATAGATAGAGAAAGAAAGAAAGAAAAAAAGAAAATATTTATTTGTGAGAATGTATTACAAATATAGGTGTTTGTGTTATGTGTATGGAATTTCACACATTCTACCGAGCTGGTGTACAAATTATTTAGCTTAATATCTAGTTATAACTATCCACTACTTATTCTAAGTCTATGATAGGTCATCTAAATAATCTTTAGTGCAATAATAACATTTATTTAGCAAAAACTCAAACAATTTTCTTTTAAAAGACATTATTTTAAGATTTTTTAGGTCATTTGGAAGTTTATTGTAAATTTAGATAGCCATGCAATATGAGTTTCTGCTATATAATGTTGTGCGTTGGCTCGGTACAAATAATTTATCTACTATTTCTACTAGTAACAAAATTTTTCTTAATAAAGAGATCCGGGTTTTTGTATACAAAAATAGAAATTTCGTAAATATACAAACAGGGCAACGGCAGGATATAGCAGTATTTGTTTTGATCATAGGCACATAATAACTGTAAAGACATCTGGATTAAACTTCTTATAAACATACAGGGATACTAGGAAAAATATCATATATCGAGCTGTAGCTCCAGTATTTCTCGAAATATTATGAATGACCTCTTCTATTCACTAATTTCGACATGTTCGTAACGTAACTTGATCGAATCTTAGACAGTAAAACTAGTATTAATTACTTCGTTTGTAATAATAATAATTAAATATTAGAATAAAAAGAAATCACCGATCCGCATGACGGACATTGCAAAATAGGCGGTAAGTACTTAAATGTGGTTCATGGTTACACAATGAAGACTTCTATGCGTAAGTGGTTAGTTCACCTGATTTTACTGAGAAAAAAGTATGGCAATGACACCGTTGAGGTCACTTTCCATTGTCATGAGGGACGAGCTCGATATAAAAAGTTAAAGAGTGGTTATTACAAAAACAGTTATTCAAACATGATTGACTGGTCACCGTGCCAGCCTATTTGTTGCGATTGATTGGACATTGGCTATTGAATTATTATTTAATCAGCGATTTTAGCTTTTAGTTTTTAGTGTTGGTGGAGCGATTTGGTGAATAACTAGTCTACGAGAATCGAATCTATAAATCTCTAAGTTGTTGTAGATGATATGCATTCATATACCAATATCTATGAAATATTAAAATGTTATGTTTAAAAGAAGAAATCATGTGCTTTGATTGAGAAACATTAATAACAGTACACAGCAAGTTCGTGTAATAATACCTTAAATCTCCACGGTATGAGAATCCTTCAGGAATGTCGTGGTGGCCCGGAGGTTAAGGAGCCCGCTCCTCATGCATGAGGGTGTGGGTTCGAAACCTGGCAAGTACCAATGTGACTTTTTCCGAGTTATATGTACTTTCTATGATTATGTAGACACCACTGACATACGGTGAAGGTAAACATCGTGAGGAATTCTGGACTTATAATTTCTAATTATAAGTTTGAAATCGCCAACCCGCATTGAGCAAGCGTGGTGATCAATTCTCTAACCTTCTCCGTATGAGATGAGGCCTTTGCTCAGCAGTCGGCACTTATAGGCTGATGATGATGATGATGAATCTCCACGGGCAGGGATAATTGCTTATCATGCATCAGTCGATCCGTATGTTCATTTGTTACCCTGTACTATAAAAAGTACAACTATTAAATTAATAATGGGAATGGAAACTAGCATAATTGAAAAAAAAAACGAAATTGATATTTTCTTTTTTTACAATCTTCATTTCTATTAATTCAGCCAATTAATATAAATATATCACATTTTTTTAATTGCAGATTAGGAGTAAGAAAGCACCTTTTTCACTATATGTATACTATTTTCAATTCTTAGTTAGCCTTATTCTCTTTACCTCTACATGGTTCGAAACGAAAGGTACTTTTTCTAGATAGCCTTTGATCTTAGATAACTGTAGGTACGTTTGAATAGGTACCGACATCTACCCGGATACCAAAACGTTTGGTTTGCAAACGTTTTCTAGGGCATGACTAGTCTGCTCTAGTTTATATCAACATTTTTATTTGTCTATCAATACCTTGGAATTCGATGCCTCAGAATTATCTTAACATTAATAATTATTTTAAAGAATGAAAAAAGAATAAAAATACCCCCTAAGTTAAGGCGAGGAGGAGGTTTAAGTTCAGCAGTTCCCGTGACTGATATGATCATGTACCTAAAGCGATAAGTTTAAGTCACTTATTATTTAATCCCTTGCTGTGGCTTCTAAGTGTATGTTTAAATTATGTGTTAAAATTAACAATTGAAATATAAACAACATATGTTTTCACCACTTTCTAGTTTTTTTTTTTATTAAGAAGAGTTAATAATAATTGTAATACAGTCAAAGATATATTCCTAAAAAAAGTTCTACGAAAAGAATAGTACTCTAATAAAAACATCTCCGAATTCTATGACAATTATAAAAAACATATTTACAAGAATAATACACATTTAAAAGACACTCTACAAGTATGTTAGGTCACTGTTTTCACACACGTGATAAATTAAACAGTTGCAAGTTCAATTCCATGGTCATATGCGTAATTGAATATTCATTGTAACACTCAACTTGACCAAAACTGGTTGCAATTTTTGTAATATTCAGAAATTTTATGATTTTGTATATTAATAAAGGAGTTACAAATTGCAGCTAAAAATCTTACAGCTGGGTTGCTTAAAATAATTAACGTTAATGAAGTTAATTTAACCAGCACTGTACGTAGCCACAATCGTGATTAGGTTTATATTAACAACTTTAGGCCATAATTTTTACAGTGAAATCGGAAATCGTACTTTTAATCGAATTTCAAGAAGTATGTTGATAGTCAATTATGCAAAGGAACAAAATACTATTCTAGAATACTAATATAAAGGAGATTTCTCTCAGTAATTGGAGTACCTAGTGTACCTACCTCAATGTAGGTACTACTAATACCAATACTTTAAAACCTAAATCTTGTTAGATTATCTCTTTTAAGAGCCATGGTATGTAGTAATTAATAAGACAATAGTCACATTTAAAGTGATCTAATTCGACGGATTGACAACCTTCACATTGGTTACGTAAATTACGTCATAGATCTGCGCGCGCGCCGTGGGTTACAAACATGACGCCCCGAGCGACAGCAAATTGATTCAATACTCTCTCGTAACGTCTCCGGTATATATTGAGCTAATGACTATGTTAATTCATCAGTTCCACCACGGAAGTCTTAGGAGAAAGAACAAAATGTTTGCTAAAGTGAGTGTGTGACATCAAAATATTGTTAGTTCACAATACAATACTTATTTGTTTTAGAAATATCATTAAACGGTTTTATTGTTTTAGGTGATAGTGCTTACCTTTGTCGCTGCGGTTTTGTGTGAGGAACACGGATACTCTCTACGCAATCATCATGAACCTCCTAAGAGTTACAGACAGTATTATGAACATGCACCCATAAAGGTTCATGAGGAAGAAGGTTCCCAGGAAGTCCAGTATGCTGCTGCTCCTGAAGCCCACGGACAGGGAGGACACGCCTACTCTTCTCAAAGCATCATCCGTCTTGCTAGTCAAGGAGAGTCTCAGGAGTCCCACAATGACCATGTTGCTCCCGTATTCCAGTATGTGCAGGAAGAAGAACCGGCACGTCAAGAAGCTCCTGTACACCACGAGTCGCCCGCTCAACACTATCAGTCCATTCATTTCGCTCCCGCTCAAGAGCATCATGAAGCTCCCGTAAAGGCCCAGGAACACTACGCTCATGGACATGAAGGCCTTAGCTACTACCAAGGAGCTAACGCTCATGAAGGTTTGAGTTTCCACCACGGTGCGCAACTCCACACTGCTGTGCATCACCCTGCCCCAGTGCACCACGCTGCCCCAGTGCACCATGCTGCCCCTGTTCATCACTCAGTTCCCGTTCATCATTCAGCTCCCGTTCACCACGCTGCTCCCGTTCACCACGCTGTTCCATCTCACCATGAAGTACCCGCCCATCACGCAGTACCTGTCCATCACGATGCTCACGCTCACGATTTCCACGACGAGCCTATTGACTATTATGTAAGTACACAACATTATTGAATATAAAGCACTTATTTCCGATTCAAAGTTTTATAGTGACTTTCCATTTATTTATTCCAAACACAAACTGCACCGTTTAGACCACGGTAGTTGAGTAGACGCATTTAAATAGACTTTAATATACTGATAACCTTTTGTTATTCTAGGCGTACCCTAAGTACCAGTACGAGTACAAAGTGGAGGACCCTCACACCGGTGACAACAAATTCCAGCATGAATTCCGTGATGGTGATGTTGTGAAGGGAGTGTACAGTCTTCAGGAAGCTGATGGATCCATCAGGACTGTCGAGTACAGCTCTGACAAACACACCGGGTACGCTTAAAAAGTTTTTTTTGTTATCTAATACCACTTCTTACATAAATCAGTATGTTTATCAAAGACCCCTTCAGTCTTTTGGTAAATTAGCGGTCATTTCATTATTTCATTATTATTATCACAAAAAAAATATATTTGGAGGCAGGATGAAAGGATATTCAAGTCTAACAATGTACTCACTTTCTCTAAATTCCCTCTTAATAAGATAATATAGCTTTGAAAGGCTTAACACTATTCAATACAAAACCAATAACTTGTAATAGGTATCTAGTTGAAACGATCTCGAGTCTAGACGTAGTTCATTTTTGACTACTTTATGCGCCGAGTCACGCACTGCCTTCGTATTGTTTAGCTTTCTATTCCGTATCATCACCTGAGGCCGTGATATTACGTGTAAATGGAATTTGAGAAGCACCATTGTTGTTATGTAAGAGAAAAGGAAATTCAGCAAGGAAAGACAATACTATTTCACTTCCTCAAAAAAAACGGTTGTTTTTGGGAGATACAGGCAAAATAAAACTCTAGCACTTAAAGTTTTCGTCTTCACTTATAACTTAAAAGTCGTGGTGGCCCGGAGGTTAAGGAGCCCGCATACGGTGAAGGTAAACATCGTGAAGAAACCTGGACTTATAATTTCTAATTATAAGTTTGAAATCGCCAACCCGTATTGAACAAGCGTGGTGATTAATGATCTAACCTTCTCCGTATAAGAGGCCTTTGCTTAGATGTGGGTACTTATAGACTGATGATGATGAAGATGATGACGATAACTTAAAATTTACAACTCACATGAGATATTTTGTGATTTTTGGGAAATGAATATGGACATTAATTACATCAATTACTCCAGAGGTTATCCATCTTCAATACATATTTGAAACCAAAATTGTTACCTTTACTAAGGAAGACTTTTTTACTGAGTCCATTTTTTTTGTTTACAGATTCAACGCTATAGTGAAGCACTCCGCCCCTGGTCATCAGGTCCATATTGAAAGCCATCATCAGAACTAAGACAAGACTGATCACTTGTTCTGCTGTTTTATAGTCTTTATTGTTACTAGATGTGTACTTGCCTACTTATATTATTCTATACCTAATAAAGCTTATTTAATATTTTGAAGTATAATTATATCTGCTGTTTCATTATTACGACCCTTTGACCACTCGTTTACTCTCTTTAATTATGGTTTAGAATAAGTATGGAAACTACATTAAAGTCACTGGAAAGAGTTTGGAATCTTTGTAATAGCTGGCCGGGTTGGGCATTCAGAGAAACGTTTAAAATGATATTTTGCAATATTCTATAAATGTATTTAGATTTACCTCAAATTTTCAATTTACAAACAAAAAAGGCGATGCTAGGCAATATTTCTCTGTTGCATTACTTACATTTTATTTGAATTCAATCACAAGAAATTGCGTCAATGAAATTGAATCAAGTGCGTCGTTATAACAATACCAGAGCAATACGGTTACTAAATTTGTATTAAAAATATCATTAGAATATCGTGTAATTTAAATGAAATTAATAATGCAATTTATTATTTGCTAATAAAAATGGGATAATTCAGTAAGACATCAGTATAGTATTTACACATAGAACTGATTTAATAGAAAATTTTGTTTGAAATCGACAGACTGTATTTCCGAAATGTCATGGTGAGCTCTATAGTATTGTAGAATATTGTGAAGTAGATAGTATTGTACAGGAATTGTAGAGTATTGTACAAATACAATAATATCATGACTTACAAAGGCTACTGTATACCTTTGACTTATAACTATATAATTAATCTACCCATTTTATATAGGACCTGTATGATGCAAGACGTACATTTATTTTTGTTTAAGTTCATATTATTAGAATAAAATCAAACAATATAAAGTAAAAATAATTCAATAAAAGATTGTGCTTATTTAATATGTATTGTACATATAATATATAGACAAAACTTGAGCACATGAAGTGATAGTACCGTAATACAAGATCTCACGTAGTCAACCGCGGAATCTTTCGGACGACACTTTTTATTGAGTAAGGTCATAAAATCACTAGGCGAGACACGCACCAAGAACAACCACTTTAGTTTTATCGAAATAGAATCGAAAATCTGTTTTGAGTCACTGTCAAATCATTAAATGTTATCTAATACTTTCGGTTTAATTGAATTTATTTAAGTAAAGGCAGATTTTCAATGGTTACGTAAAAGTTATCTGGGGGATATTTATGATGCTGTCGCGTCAAAATGTGCACGCAACAATTTTATTCGTCTGATAACATTTATCTGACTATTGAAAAATCAGCCCTTAGAAGTACAATATTGGAGAAATTTAAGTGAACGTCATCATAATGATGAACCGATAGAAAATTAAAGTAATACAGCTTACAGCTCAAAAAATAGCAAACTGAAAGGACAGATCATATTTGTTGAAGCGCTGATGACCATGACCATAATAGGGTATGTGTTTTGGGGCGGACATCGCGCCTAGTGACATTATTCGCCGCAAGAATTTTAGGATGCGTATAGCTAAACTCGCGAGAAAGGTAAGATATCAAGCATTGGTGAGTTCGGATGGAACCTGGTCGGCAGTAAACAGAAATAACGATGACGTCATTATAGTAAGAAAGAAATATAAAAATACACAGAACTATTTTTACAAACGAAAGCAGGACGAGTAAGAACTTCACTGACACCAATGATACTGAATTGAGATTAATTATTTTTGACGTCGATAACCTAGATGCCGATCACGATCACTATTATATCAATCATTAAAATTGAATCATATTATATAATCGTACTCGCATAATTATTAGTTTATTTATGATCGTGTGAAAGGAAAGCAAGTGGGAAGGACCTACATGGGTTTAATTTCCTTTTGGTATTAAATTTTATTACCAGAATGCTGTTTGGGTTTCGAAATGTTTTTTTTAAGTTAGTAAATCCGAGAAAATTAAGTATAGAGAATACCCGGTTTCCGAAAGGCCGATTAATGTTAAAATCAATTTAATCCCTTGTCAAGTCATCTGATTGGTTGACTGAATTATCAACAACCAATCAGATGACTTGACACCGGGTCTTACTCTCGGACTAATACAGTTCAAAATGATTGATGTTTAAATATTTACCACATCAATTGTACCACTGCATGCACATTCGTACTGGATGATAGTAAAATGAAAATAAAAAACGATAAATATGTAGATCCACTAGACTAGATAATATATTTAACAGTTAGAAACAATATAATGAAGATAACATATTATCAGGTACTGGTGTGGCTGTTCTCTTAGTGATGGTATTGGTGTTCGTGGCCGTGCTTGGTTTCAGTCTTCACAACCGCGTTGAAACTGAAATGACAAGAAAGTTTTATGAAATACTCATATAGTGAATAATGAACCAAAACTTGTTGTTATTTGTTACCCTTTTAAGTTTATGGAGAACCAATTTCAGTAGATGTGACATTTAAATTAAGAATGGGGTTGGACACCCAACATTCGGGTTAAGAGAGTATCCGCACTGTACATTATCGATCTAATCGGTGGTTGAGTTTTCACGCCTGAATCTGACTCACTTAGATTATATTTTGGATATTATAAACAGGAAGACATATATAATACTAGCTTTTGCAAGCGGTTTTGACCGATTGATGGATAAAGCAGCCTATGCGTTTATCCAGGAAATCACCTAACCACAATTCCAAATTTCAACCAACTCAGTCGATCCATACATTCTGACAAATTTCACATTTATAATCACGATACCAAGCAGATCTTCATAATTAGTACAAGATAAAGAAAACCTTTTGTTTTTAAATTGTTTTACATACCCGTTGTGCTTGTCAGCGGTGTACTCAACAGTACGGATGGAGCCGTCAGAGTCGTGCAGGCTGTACACGCCCTTCACGTTCTCACCGTCACGAGACTCGTGCTGGTACTTGTTGTCACCGGTGTGAGGGTCCTCGATTTTGTACTCGTACTCGTATTTGGGGTGAGCCTGGAAGTCAATAAAGTACATCGGTTAAGTACCTACATATTATGTCTAGATGCATCCATTCATCGATAAAATGTAATATCGTTCATAATCTCTATCTCTTTATTTTTGATTTATTATTTACCAATGAGTTTTGAAAATGTCTGTATTATAATTTACTAGTTGATGAAATTCAATCAACTCATAATTTGAATCTAAATTTTTCTATAAATAAAGGAGTTAAATACAAATAGGTATCTTGACTTACATAGTAGTCAACGTGATGTTCTCCGTGGTGGTGTTCCTTCTCATGATGAGCAGACTCAACATGATGTACAGCAGGAGCTTCATGGTGTACAGAAATGGGAGCTTCGTGGTGGACAGCAATGGGAGCTGCATGGTCAACAGCCACGGGAACCTCATGATGGACAGCAATAGGGGCCTGGTGATGCACGGCAATGGGGACGTAATGGATGGGTTGTTGGTGCACAATGTGCTCTCCACCGTGGTAACCATGGTTTATTTCATGGTGTCCTTGAGAATCACCATGGTAGTCATGGCTAATTTCGTGGTTTCCATGAGAATCGCCATGGTAGCCCTGGCCTATTTCATGGCTTCCATGGGAATCTTCGTGTCCATGTGAAATGTCGTGGCGGATGATGGACTGGGAGGAGTAGGCGTGACCCTGTTCATGTCCATGTTGGTGATGGTCCTGAGCGCAAACCGCTGCGACGGCAATGACGAATACGATCTGAAATAGATAGAAAAGACTTAATTACGTGTTTTTTCTGGTTTCTACGAATTTTACGAGAATCCATGATTCTATGACTTGAATCAGAAAAAAGCTCTTATCTTTTCTCTTATCTTTTCTTGTCATGTATTTACAAAAATATTTTGTAAAATTAAAAAAAATACTTACTTTAGAGAACATATTGTGCGTATATGTTGTGATACACTTAAAAATTAAATGATATAATTGGAGAACCCAAGAGCCTTTTTATACTCAAAAACAAGTGCGTAAAACCTTTTCTTTGAATCCACTGATTGTTACGTATTCGCTGAAAACTGGTTCCATTTTTATCACCTGTTCTGCAACCATTGAACTTTATTTAACAAAATTGCATTAATGAAAAGCGAAAAGAAACTGTCGTTAAGTAACATTTTTAATCATCGTTATTATCAATGTGCTTCAAAAGTGTTTGTTTCGTGTGTTTTATAGTAAAAATGCCACAAGGTTTTTATAATAAAATAACAAGGCAAGAAATGTATGACAAATATTATATTTAATTTACATTATTATCAGTCACAAAAACCAGAGTTTCTGCACAGCACCCCGCAAGCAATCGTCTAACGTTTCACAAAATGTACGAAGATCGAAAATAAAAAGTATAAAAAAAAACACGAAAATCTTACACACTACAAGAAAATATAATACAAAAGGTTCTAATGCTTTGTAAAATAGATGGATGAAAATGTAAAAGTTCTACGCTAATTTGGGCCTAAGTCCCTGTGCATATTGTGAAACGTTTAGGGAGTAAGCACACTAGTCTGTAATCGTTCATAATACAATGCTCTTTCGTTGTCGCATTCCGTCCTTGCTTAAGCTACGTAGAAATAAATAGGTGTCGTCGGTGTTGGTCTAGGCTAAAGGGTCGTGTGGGTTTAGCCGTGGAGGAGATGACCATGGCCAAGGGCTGGGGCGGCTACCACTGCGTGGGCAGCGGGGTGCGCGGCGTGACCGTGCCTGCTGACTACGGCGTTGAAACTGTAATTTAAGATCATCATTTATTTACACATCAGTAAGATCCGGATAGGATTGATTTCGCCATGCAAATGTTAATAACCGTCAAAAACGATTGGTATACCAAACTTATTGCAATTCATTTTCATTACTATTCTGCTCAGAATATACACTATTGGAGCGTATTAGAAATATTTGGAGACCTGCAGTGTGATTTTGTAAGACTTCATTCTAAACTTCGAATCTGAATCCGCTGTGAGTATTAGTACACTAGCGCTACACTTGCGAGTTGAACTAAATTGACAGCAACATTTTGATGGATAAAGTATGAGATGAAGTTAAAAGTGACGTCACTTCGACGCTCACTTCGCACTCGAACACGATTCAAAATCAAACAAATTTTATAGAATCGACGTGCAGAAAAGGCATCGTTGGCAATAAATTAAAATCATCCAATAGCTACAATTTTGGCCGCAAAAAGGCCTAAGTCTAGAACTGGAGAAGGGACGGGGTGGTCTGGAGTCAGTAATTTGAGAGCAGTCATTTGATGATTACCCCTTCCCTCTCCCAATAAAGGCACTTTTTACTTATGGCACATACCTATTCGGATTGAACATATCATATATATATATATATATATAATTTAATATCACTAAACTCATTCGAGAATAAGCCAGTCCTCCGCCAGTGTAGCCCACATGTTGTCCCCCATGGTGTTTAACGTGATAAAAAACTTAACTCACCCATTGTGGTCATCAGCAGAGTAGTTGACAGTGCGCACAGTGCCGTCGGGTTCAACGAGGGAGTACTGGCCCTTCACGACGTCACCATCACGGGCTTCCCATTGGCTCTTCTGATCGCCGGTGTGACCGTCAGTGACACCGTAGTTGAACTGGTAGCGGGGGTGGGCCTGGAATTTTTCAGGTTTAGCTTTATTCGCACCATTAAATATAGATGACTTCTTGAAGACATTCTTCTCAATGTAAAGTGGATTATAAGTGTCTACTATAAGTAATAATAATCCATGGTAACATAACTAGACAAACTGTTACTTACATAAACTTCAACAGGGGCAGCGGCGTGCGCATAAGGTGCCCTGTAAACTGGCGCATGCGCAACCACGGCTCCGTGACCTGTAAGCGACCTGATGTCATCAAATCTATCATAGTAAGCTCTTGTGTTTACTTATTAGTATATTGAGATTTAGAATTTAATTTCAGATTTTCATAAGGTACACTCAGTACCTCATCACTCCCGGTAAGTAAAATTATTATATATTATAGTTAGTCTTGTAAAATCATCGTTTTGAATCATCATTCATCAATTCATAAATGATTGATGGAGCTTTGGATGTTCGAATTTCTGAGATGAAGTGTATTGTATGATTTCAGTAATAAAAAAAAAGCATATCAATTTGAATAGACTTTTGGCATACACTACTAAGGTAGACTAAGTACCTTGTATTATCTAAAATAAGGTAGGTATGGCAAAAAAAAAACATTTTTACTGAATCAATAATAATTAAACACAGAAATCTTGATTGTTTTATCATATACTGTACCTAATCCAAAAGCAGGTGCCGCTGCAGCGTAACCTCCGTAGCCATGCGCAAGGGCAGGGGCGCCCAGCACGATGCTCTGTGACGACAATGCGCCATGACCCGCAGCGATCAAACCTGCGCGTGCGACGCCTACTAGCGCGCATACGAACAACACCTGCGATGAAGGATTTCGATTAAACTTTTGGTTTTAGGAAAATATCTCCTGTGTCGTAGGTGCGTTTACAAACATACAATTTCACATACACATCACACCCAGACCCGAAACAACAATTGGTAAATCACACAAAGAGATGTTCCGTGTAGGGATCGAACCCGCGACATGTTGCGCCGCAGTTAGCTGCCCAGCTACATCGACAACCGTATAGTCAGACTTGAGTATATAAAAACTTTGATATAGGTATGAAAATTATTTTTACCATCAAATTAGATGACAATTGATAAACTATTGAAACAACAAAATCAATTTATAATATCGATCCTCATGTAATACTGAAGTGAAGTCAAATGGAAAAGCATACTTTTCTAATATGCTGAGCCTTTTGTCACAGGAATAAAAGTGCCAATAAAAGTAGTGATAAGTAGCTTAGTAACTAAATACATAACCACCATCTCACAAAGCACCATAAAATGAACACTTGTCACCAAGCACTCATGAACTGAATATCACTTTACCTTAGCGAACATTGTTTAAGATTTGTCTAAGTTCAAATGGTACGTTACTGTAAGCACTAGGGCTTGTTGTGTGCCGAATTCTAAGATACCGGGCGTTTATATAGAGGCTGTATGTCCTATAGATACAGGCTAGGGTCCTACTCGGGCGTGTCGTAGGAAACCGTATGTAGCTACACATGTGTGTCGGTGGGCGCTGCCGCAAACTAGATCGATGGAATATACTGGATATGATTTTCTTTTGTTTTTGTTTAAGAACACAAAGTTAATCTTTAGAATCAGTCAATGAATACAAAAACGTTTTATAAGATTATTTTTCACATATGTTTGTCTCATCATCTATCCTAAAAGGACAATTTTAAGAAGGCATATTAACACAAACTTGAAATTTTAAAGAAAAGCAAATAGGTATCTTCTGCCTCATTACTGCTGAGTCAATTTCTGTAATTGTTATAGGAAACCAAATATTAGTAGATTGATAATGATATTACTTGGACATAAAATCCCTTTTAGAAAACAAGTCACTAATTGTAAAGCCTTCGCTTCTATGTAATTTAAACATTAGATTACGTTGTAATTGTAATAACAATACTTGGCTAACTAATAACACATTAAAATAAAATATTTAAACAAAAAAAGTGTATCCATACAATTCCAACGGCTATAGTTCAAAAGCCGTCCGCGCTAAGAATTGGTATCAGAATAGTAAATAAATACATTTATAGTTCGCCATACTTGTGTTGTACATTCTGTGCAAAATAAATTAACCTGAAACATGCTACGGACCTTATTGAATTATTGTCTTTTAGACAATTAGTTCCATACTTTTCGATCTCGATAGGAACTTCTACTGAGCCAACCGTTTCATGAAGGACCAATTGTACAGTCAGAAATTATAAGTTCTTTTTATGAATAACAAATTCTTTTATATACTTCTAACAGTTAGTTCGTATAATCGTGTAGATCGATTAACAATACATAGTCATGAGCCTGAGAAATTGTAGAGTCTATAATCTATTAAAACGGATAGCAAAAAGAATACCAATTCCAATGACCATCATGTAGAATATCAAAAATGGAAACTAAATTCATTTTTTTTAAATAGAGATCTGATAATAATACAAAGTTTTATCATAATACTTATTATTATTTTGTTTTTGCAAACATTATGAATAAATTTATGGAAACGATATGTTTTTAAATGGAAATCATCTTTAGAAAATACTTTTTATTAAATAATAATAAAGCTTTTATTTTATTCCTTCTGTACCATGCTCTGTAACCTAACTCGGAAACACAATCTAAAACATTACGACAAAAAGCTAGGTTCGATCAAATATTAATGTCGCTAACATGTTACATTCATTATCTCTGATAACAAATTCGACTCAACTTAAAAAAAAACTTGCACTAGAATTGGGTTACAGTGGGCGGTACTTACTTATATTGCCAGACCATAATAAATTCAAGAACCTATTGTGACCATAAATATGGTCATGTGAAAATCGCCCTGATTGACAGTTTTGATTGGCCTGTGTTAGTCATGAATTGTTTCGCAAGTTGGCAACCAATTGTAGTGAGGATTGTTACCGAAATATAATTTATAAATATAGCAACTGATTTATGGTAATTCTGAACTAATTTTAATTGCAATTCAAACCTGCTAAAATATCATAGTGTTCAACGCATTTTATATTTCCATACTGCTGACAGTCCCATGTTATGTATACAGTATATCTCTTAAAAACATAACATATTCTTATTCATGTTATCAGCGCCTGCACAGGTCCCATTGTAGAGGTATCTCTCTCAACGACGCACTACGAGACTTTTCCATAGGGAATGTACATATTACTTACAAGTAAGACAACTTAAAAGCCTTGATACATTGTAAGACATATGGTAATGACAATGCGTGTGCGCTTGACATAAAAGCATTCTAGACGCCCCCGCTTATCTTGTCATGGAGATACTTTATACATTTTGTTTGGCTATACGAACAGGTACAAGCTTTATCTGTTTTTTGTTATACAAAAACTCTAGTGATTATATCTTCAATAGATGATTACTATGATCGATCCAATGTATCGGGTAAGTAATTGATTAAAACCATCACCCCCTATTAGCGTAAGCATAGTCATGCAAACAAAGACTTACGTAGGGAATTAGGCTAAATATTATATCAATGAATCACTACAAAAGCATTTGTATTAGCATAGTCTAAAATAGCTCTCAAACTCGTTAGCACTGAATTAAAATTAGATCTACTAGCGAACCACACTGCAGCTTGTAAAGGTGTGGTTTCATTGCAATGGATGTAAAATAGTTTTTTTTTCTTCTTAAACATTAAGCGAGTCTCCTATTTAATGTTTTCGACTACACTGCCAGTGTGTACATTAGACACCGAGGAATGGGGAGCAGCATTCTTTAAAAATTATCGGTGACCTAACTGCGCTCGCCAACCCGCCTGCCAAGCGTGGTGAGTATTGGCAAATCCCCCCATATGAACTGCTCAGATAAAACCAGGCCCCCAGTCTCCGGCAGTCCCGCCGTTCCTGGCTACCGTGGTAGCGGTCAGGGTAACGGCGGGACACGGGGTGCTAAGAATCCCCGGAGGTGGAGAAAAGGCTACCACCCCCGACGACGACTGGCCCTGGTAACACACAATGTTCGCACTTTGAGGACAGACGAGAAGATTATTGAGCTGGAAGAGGCATTGGGTAGGTTGCGCTGGAGTATTGTGGGGTTGTCAGAAGTCCGACGAGAGGGCGAGGACACGATAACCCTAAGATCCGGCAACCTATTCTACTACCGGGAGGGCGAACAACTGTCCCAAGGTGGTGTCGGGTTCCTCGTCCACAGGTCCCTCGTCAACAACATTCTTACCGTCGAAAGTGTGTCGAGCAGGGTGGCGTACCTGATACTCAGGGTATCCAATAGATACTCGTTGAAGGTTATCCAGGTTTATGCACCGACCTCGACACACCCAGACGAGGAAGTAGAGGTTATGTATGAGGACATAAGTAGGGCCATACATACTAATAAAACCTACTTCAATGTTGTTATGGGGGACTTCAACGCGAAACTGGGAACTCGAGGCGATAACGAGCTGAGAGTGGGGCAATTCGGGTATGGGCAACGGAACCACAGGGGACAGAGACTGGCTGAGTTCCTGGAGAAGGAGGACCTCTTTGCGATGAACTCCTTTTTCCAGAAGCCGTCTCACAGGAAATGGACCTGGATGAGCCCGGACGGTTCCACAAAAAATGAGATCGACTTCATCATGACAACAAAGCGACAGATGTTCAATGATGTCTCTGTGATCCATAAAGTAAAAACCGGCAGCGATCACCGACTGGTCAGAGGCACATTGAATATCAATATAAAGCTGGAAAGATCACGTCTGATGAAGTCTACGCTCCGACCTTCAAATGCACATATCGGTTGTCCCGAGAGCTTTCAGATCGAGCTATCGAATCGTTTTGAGTCCCTGGAGAATTGCGAGTCAGTGGACGAGATTAGCAACAGGTTTGTAGAAACTGTCCATGCGGTCGGGTCGAAGTTTTTTAGACCCCGCCGAAAAGACAGACCGCAGAAGCTTACCGATCGCACCCTCAAACTCATGGCAGAACGACGTGCTATGGTACTCCAGACCTCTGCCGATGCTAAAGCACATCGGCAGCTCAATAGACAAATATGGAAGTCCATGCGACACGATATCCGCAACTTTAACGCCAATAGGGTTAAAGAAGCGATAGAGCGGAACCAAGGCTCCAAAGTGTTCGCTAGGGACATGTCTATTGGGCAAACACAGCTGACGAAGCTGAAGGCGGAGGATGGCAGTGTAGCGTCGACGAAGGCCGAAGTTTTGGGTGAGATCGAGAGGTTTTATGGACAGCTATACACATCGGTCACTAGACCTGTTAGCTCAGTCGCCGATCCAAGAGCTAAACTCACCCGACACTATACCGAGGATATCCCGGACATCAGCCTATACGAGATTAGGATGGCCCTCAAGCAGCTCAAGAACAACAAGGCGCCGGGCGAGGACGGAATCACATCAGAGCTTCTGAAAGCGGGCGGAACGCCGGTACTGAGAGTCCTTCAGAAGCTCTTCAACTCCGTCATATTCGAAGGAGCAACGCCGGCGGCATGGAGCAGAAGTGTGGTGGTACTATTCTTCAAGAAGGGAGATAACACTCTACTGAAAAATTATAGACCCATCTCACTTCTGAGCCATGTCTACAAGTTATTCTCGAGGGTCATCACAAATCGTCTCACACGTAGGTTCGATGACTTCCAGCCTCCCGAACAAGCCGGTTTCCGGAAAGGCTATAGTACCATAGACCACATCCATACGCTGCGGCAAGTTATACAGAAGACCGAGGAGTATAACTTGCCACTATGCTTGGCGTTTGTGGACTATGAGAAGGCTTTTGATTCGATCGAGACTTGGGCTGTGTTAAGATCTCTCCAGCGGTGCCATATTGACTTTCGGTACATCGAGGTTTTGAAGTGCTTATACACAAACGCCACTATGTCGGTCCAAGTACAAAACCAGAGCACTAAGAATATTCCTCTGCAGCGAGGTGTAAGGCAAGGAGACGTCATATCTCCGAAACTGTTTACCGCTGCATTGGAAGACGCTTTCAAGCTCTTGGAATGGAAAGGATCTGGCATCAACATCAACGGCGAGTACATCACTCACCTCCGGTTTGCCGACGACATTGTAGTCATGGCAGAATCGCTGGAGGATCTGAGCACAATGCTCGATGACCTCTGTAGAGTTTCTCAACAGGTTGGGCTCCGAATGAACATGGACAAGACGAAAGTCATGGCAAACGCCCATGTCACGCCCTATCCGATATCAGTTGGGAGTTCTAACCTCGAAATTGTTGACGAATATGTATACCTGGGACAAGTGATCCAGCTAGGTAGGTCCAATTTCGAGAAGGAGGTCAATCGTCGAATCCAACTTGGATGGGCAGCGTTCGGGAAACTACGCAACATCTTCT